AAAATTAGGCGAAGTGTGAGGAAGTGAATGACTTAAACGAGGGCCAAACTGTGATGTCTGGATGACTAGATCAGAGCATCTCCAAAAAATACAGCTCTTCTGGGGTGTACCTGGGACAGAGCGGCCAGGGCTGAAAGATGATCAAGGGCAGTGAAGGCTGGCCTGAGCTAACAGAAGAGCTACTGGAGCTCAAATTGCTGAAAATGTGAGTGCTGGTTCTGGTCGGGGCGAAATGGATTCTTCACAATACTAGCCGGTTGTTATAATGATCCTTGGATATCACTTCCTTTTCTGGAGCATCTTCAAGGTTAAAAACCATTGAAGGTTCTAGAGGTTTAGAGTGGTCTCAGTTCCTTTTCCAAGTCACGGGCCCTGAAAGATGAACTTTAAACTGTTGCATAAAGCGTGGGATTCTATGCATCAAGCTTTCTTTAAATTCCTCTCAGTCTTTCTTTCTTCTATATTTTTTCATACAAACTGATCATTAAAGTCTCTGTTATACCAAGAGTCAGATCACAGAATTATCTTAAAAGCGTTCATATTTTCTCCGACGTTCTGTGTGCTTTGTATTCTAAAGTTCTCTCATGTTGGTGTGTTGTTATCAGCTGATCAAACTGCTGCCTTAAACCTCTGTGGGTTCAAAGACAGACACAACATTAAAGCATGTTACCTTTTAGCTTTTTTTATATTTCATCAGATAAAAAAAAAAAAAAAACAGCCAACATTTATCCTCCTCTAAAGTCCCTCGTGTCGGGATTTCCTCTGCAGTCACTGAAAAAGTACAAGAAAATCTCTATAGGATTTAATGTTGCGTACTAATAAGTGACTCATTACCACGGTAACGGTTAAATGGGACTTAAAGAGCCAAGGTTACTTCGTCACGAACACTCTGTGAAACATCCTGCTTTTAGAGCTTAACACCCACCGTCGCCTCCGAGCTGACATCAGGCTGTGGGAAGTGGCCTTGCTCTGTGTTTTACTGTGTCAGTGGGGAGTGTTTAATAATCCATCAGGAAATCTGAGCATTATGTATTTTACTATAAATAGTTTCGGCATGAGCACGAGTGCATAATGCTCTTACTGAGCGAAAATACTCAATCAATACATGATAATCTATTAGTGAATCTTTAACAGATCATGGGACCCTCTGAGTAAGATTTTCAAAATGTTCAGGCTACCATGTTGAAATGATGTCAAGATTTAAAGAGAGCTGTTATTACTTATGAACTTATGAACAGTGGTGTTCCTTTTGTTTGATGTGTCTCAGACACTGATTTTATAGTCGTATGTTTTTGTGCTACAGCAGCCGTAAAACTCAGCATGTATAGGTGGGCGGCCGTCGCTCAGTTTGAGTCATTAACTCTCAACCGAAAGGTTTGATCCCCAGCTCCTGCAGCAACATGTCCAATGTGTCCTTGGGCAAGACACTTAACCCTGAATTGCTCCCGCTGCTTCATCAGCGGCGTATGAATTTGCACGAATGGATTAGTTACTTCTGATGGTCTCACTACACAGCAACCTCTGCCATCAGTGTGTGAATGTAGGTGTGACATGTGGTGTAAAAGCACGTTGAGTAGTCAGACTCAGAAGACTTGAAAAGCCCTATATAAGCTCAAGTCCGTTGACCATAAGACAAAAGTTTCAGGTCCTAGAGTACCTTATGAAAGACATGTTCTTCTTATTCCCCGCTATAGACAAGGACTTGCTAGTAGACTTGTGCTGGCAAACCAATTCTGCTCTGACCAGTTGTTTGTGTATTTGGGAAAATGTAAAAGAAGCATGGTATACAAGGTTCTTCAGAAACAAATTTGTCTTAATGAATGATTTGAAACCCAGTGTCCAGCTTTCATGTTTTAATAAAAACATGATGCAGTTATCCAAACTGGTGCCCGATTGATCTAAATACAAAATTCCTCAGCAGAGTGTGCATCCCTACAGATGTTATTAAGAACAGACTGTTACGTATCATCTCATGTTGAGTATCTTTACCGTCTGCAGAAAGTCGCCTAACTGTTAAAGCAACAATATGTAGGATTTTGGTTTGGTGCGCTCTGGCTCCCACCAATGGTCTGTAAATGCAACTGCACTATAATAAGTCACGCAGAGCCTTACTTTCGCCACACAGACAACAAACTTTTTGCATATGGAGTATGTGTTTGTGTCTTCATCTGTGACCATGATGTCTATAGTCCGTGGCTATATTGGAAAGGCTTATTTATGACATGCTAGTTTAGATATGTTTGTAAGGCTTATACTTCCAAACATATCTCTTACACGGCTATACAGTTAACTTGAAGATCGACAATGAAAGAGACGACTTTTTGACGTAAGATAGATTTATTTATCTATCTGAATGCAAACCTGATTCATAACTTGAGTAAGGATTGGACAAGTGTTTTTATTATTATCATATTTTGCTGCTGAAGCACATTTACGATGAATTTGTTTCTGTGCTTGTGATTTAGGAGATATAACGTTGATGTTCAGGTTTTAATTGGAATACAAATATATTTTGTAGATATATGCAATTAAAGCACTCATTACTGTGTCCACATTTCACTTCGGTCTCTCATGAACATGTCGTCTTTTCTCCATCCCTCCGTCTCTGACCATAATCGCCTCTCCCCAGTGAGGCGGACCAGTCTCTGAGCTCAGACACGTTGGTCAAGTGTCTGGTTACCTCCCTTGCAACAATTCCCAGAAAGCAATCAATTATTCTCAAAAACATGTACCCCAGAGTGGGACTCTTAATCCTCTACAGCCTGAGCCCTAAATTGAGCAAATTTAGTCCTCTTGAAACTCAGCTTAATTAGAACATGTTAGTGTTCCTGACATGTGTGCAGCCAAGAGAGAAAACGTCTGTGAACCCTAAAAGACAAAAAAAAAAAAAAAATGCTGTACCACTCAGATAGAATGAGTGTCATACAGTATGTATGTAGAAACTTTCTTCCATGCATATATATGAATATAAACAATCGCACATCCTGCCCACACATACTGTACACAGTACACACTGTGTTCCTGACTGTGTGGCAGCCACCTACCTTGTGAGATTCATGCGGGCCTGTTGGGTCTGCAATCTGTGTTTATTTATAAATCTCTCGTGTCCTTCACGGGGCTCTGCCTCAGAAAGCTTCTTCTACATACAACTATTGCAATATCTGGCTTCAGAAAGTCACACTGATGACTCCTTCTATTCTTCCTCATGTGTTTTACAATGAAACACTGCACAGATTGTAAAGCCCCCCTCAGGTGAACTTATTGATCTTAAGCTTTATGAATTAAAATGTTATTTATTTGCCTTGTTTGTTGGAGAGATCATTTATCTGGATATGGATTAGCTCTGGTTACATCTGATTTTAATTATTGGCTGTTTAGATGTTTACGTCAAAGTCTTACAACATTAATGTTAATCATTATGCAACATTGCATTTATTATACTGAACAGGGACGCTGGTATTTAACAAAGTTTCAATAGAAAACATGAAACTGATGAACCTGAGTTGGGCCTTTGAGTAAACAGTGTATAAAATATACAACATTCAATAGCATAAAACCACATACATACTTCTACTGCAGTAGTGTGATATGTATCTAATGTAGTGTGATTTCTGTTTGTGACTAATAATGTTTGATGGGGAATTAGTTGCATTTTGAAACAGAGGTTGAGATCAAAAAAGGTTAAACATCGGTCGAAATTTGATCCAAAAACCCATCGTTAATCATCGAACAGCAGTTGAGCTTAAATCTCATATCTTATCAAATGAGCACAGATATCTGAATATAGACGTCGTCTCTCAACTCAAACTCCTTTCTCACGTCTCAAGTTCCCTTGGCCTTCATGTAATCTGTCTCATAATCTTATATGTGCATGCTACACCTGAAGCTCGGGACCCTCTGTTTCCTTTCAATGTTCAATCAGCCTCAGAAAGTGGATTTAATTAAAGATTGTGAAAAGCTTGTCTATTGCCAGGGAGACCATGACAAGCAGCATCAAAATACAAAATACAGAGTCTGGTTTTTTTTTGTTGTTGTTGTTTTTTTTAAGATTTATTTTTGGGCTTTTTATGCCTTTAATGGATAGATAGGACAGTGGATAGAGTCGGAAATCAGGGAGAGAGAGAGAGAGAGAGTGGGGAATGACATGTGGGAAGGAGGCCACAGGTGGGAGGCGAACCTGGGCCGCCCGCTTGAGACGACAGCCTCCATCCATGGGGCGCGCACACCAACCACTGCGCCACCAGCGCCCCAGAGTCTTGCTTTTTTAACTTGACATGTGAAGTCCGTCACATGTTTCTCCCTGAGAGGACGTCAGTGACCAGAGAATAAAAACACTCATTGAGTAAAGAAACACTGAGCGTGAGATGTGCCTTCATGACTTTGTTTAAGGAGGGTTAAGACGCTGCACAGAACAACTTGAGTCATTCAGGACAAGCTTGTTGGATGTTATTTATGAGTGCAAATGAGGGCAACATGATCGTCTCCCGTAGACGAGGCAAAGCATGAGTTTTCTGTCTGAGAGAATTAATTCAGCCCTGTCCTCCTGCTGTGCCAGTATATGGAGAGTTATGACAGCACCTCAATCACTAAGTGACCTCAGCTGTATCAGTTTACCCCAACCTCGACGAGAAGACAAAGTTTTACAAAGTGAAATCACTTTCAAATCCTACACATCTCACACTCTCTTTACACATTTTAATTCTGCAACAGCAGGTCCTTCACATCTTTGGGGAATTTACAATCCTCACTTCCTGAGAACTGTTAGTACCGCTGGAGAAGGCACATGCAACTAGCCTGCAACAACAACAACAACAACAAAAACTCTGTCATATTCAAAAGTGTGCATGTTACTTTTACTCTGATATTAAATGTTTGGTTTGGATCTTTTCAAGAAAATCTAAATACTATTGGGAGCTGAATTCCAGTTGCCTTTTATAGCTTTGGCTGTGCGTTCTTAGCTGATGATATAATGTGTTTCTCCTGTCTTTGTGTCTCTGCAGCATCTTATTTGCAGACATCGAGGGATTCACCAGTCTGGCATCGCAGTGCACGGCGCAGGAGCTGGTGATGACTCTGAATGAACTCTTCGCTCGCTTTGACAAGCTGGCAGCGGTAAGAATGCAATCACTCACACTTATATATGCTGCATGTAGAGGTACAAAATGTGTCATTCAATTTGTGTTTTTTGAATGTTCAGTCTTAGATACTTCTTTTTAAGTCCTAAAAAACTTAATCTTGGTATTTGTGTTTGACAGTAGTCAAAGGTTAGCGTATAATTTGTCAGTGTCCATGTGAAGAAAAAGTGACTGTACAGGATAACAGCACACCAGCTGCCATCACACTACTGGAGAGAAAGGTGTTATTCAGTTTCCAAAAATAACACCAGTGAAACATGGCGTTTGCAGGCCAGATATTTCCTTATATTGGGTGTTACTTTTGAAAGCATCTGCAGTCATACTTCCATGTGTGGTTTTATATTAGAAAAAAGACAAGCCTGATCTATTTACTGCCATTTCTGAGAACCTTTTCCTCTTCTCTCGGCTGTAGTTATTCTTAACTAAAGCAGTTTTCACATTTTGAGAGAATTTCAGGAGGACTACCTGTGAAATCCTCCTGATCCGGTTGTTCACACACGCACCTTACTGCGCACCTTAGAAATAATAACTATCATGTTAAGAATCATGATAATAAGAATTTCCAGCAGTTGCACCCAAATGCTAAACATGCATTGCTACGCATAGTTAAGAGGTTAGACTGAACGGCTGTGGCTCAGTGGTTGTGTCGGTCCTCTCTCAATCGGAAGGTTGGGGGTTCGATCCCCAGCTCCTGCAGCAATCTGATTTGTCCTTGGGCAAGACACTTAACCCCTAATTGCTCCCACTGCTTTGTTGGTGGTGTATGAGTGAATATGAATTGGATTAGTTGCATTCTGATTTCGGACACTTTACATAGAAACCTCTACCATCAGTGTGTGAATGAGTAGGTGTGACCTGCGGTGTAAAAGCACTTTGAGTAGTCAGAAGATTAGAAAAGAGCTAAACAAGCTCAAGTCCATTTACCATTTCAGTGGTGGAAATGTTGGTTTCACTGACTTTGCCATGACATGATTCTAACTCACAGGACTACACAAGGGACACTCGATCAGAACGGGCTCTTCCTTATTTCTTTTTCATGAGGAGGACTGAAGGAGTAAAATCTGTTTAAAAAAAAAAAAAAGAGCTTTGGCTGCATGGCGAGTAAGACCTTGAGGCGTGATGTTTATAGCAGCTCAACTGTCTGAATATTGAACGTGTTATTCAAACACTGGTGGTACGCTGCGTTAATAAGCCATGACATAGTTCGGCTCTTTCGGGACTGTGATCAGCATCATGTTTATATCCATGTCGACAGAGGAGCTGCTGAGACACTGATCAAAAACATCAGAGAGAACACAAAGTTCAATGTTCAGCCACCACAGGAGGGGAACGCTGTGTCATTAAAAATGAATTGAGCATTCAAAGCAGAGCGACAGATTTCAAGCAGCCTGTGAGGAGTAAAGAGAAGTGTAAAAAAAATCTCAATCATGAATCCTCACACTTTACTGCATCTGGGCTTTGGGTTGCAAATAAGTGAGCTATTCTTTGTGGATAACTGTCTCAGAAAAGAACACATTTTTTAAGGTCTATAGTATTAAACAATAATAATAATAACTTTATTTAGAGCATCTTTAAAATCCCGGGTTGCATGAGCAATCAAGAAGCCATAAAAGCTACCGACCAAATAAATAAGAAGTATGTACAACAGGTTGACAAGTGATTGTTGATTGATATGATTGTTAAGCAGCGTTGTAGCAGTGGAATAAAAAAATTATGCTATGAGGTATAAGACACAGGTGCAATAAACATGAACGTATAATCTCTTATCACATAATGTTGAAGAGAGTCCAGCTATTAAACAGAATATCAAATGAAGCATGATGTGTACAGCGTGATGTACTAAAGTCTGTACATACATATCATGTAGTATGATATAGAACAGTAAATGTCATAGGTGGTATATATGTGAAATCATATAAAATGATTGTATCACATTTTATTATAAACATTGGCCGTGTTAAGAGGGAAGCCCAGAAATATCTGCTTCATATCGGCCGTCTATTTCCTGCATCAGACGTGTGTTTATTCAACGTCTCTCATGTCTCAATCACACACTCATAAATGACACGTTCATGAATATTGATGTCTTTTTTCCCCCCCCTCGTGCTTCCAGCGGCGTTATTGTTTGTCCAGCTAACGCTCCATGTATGTCATTTGTTTATGAAAGGTGGATTGGTGTGCTGATCAATATTTATGAGTCAAACGGGCATTATGGTGTTATAAAGCAGAAACGGTGCTACTGACACTTTTATGTCCAAGCCAGATGCACCTTGTATATCTCTCTCTCACACACACACACACACACACACACACACACAGACAGACACACACACAGACAGACACACACACACACACACACACACACACAGACACACACACAGGCACCCTGTATGAACAAACAGAACAAAAATATTCTCTGTCTGTGCTCTCTACACAGAGGCTCTTTTTGTATTTTCTTAGAGCCATGAGCTACAGAGACTCTCAGGTGGCTGTCATGAGACACATATTCTCCCAGGCCTGAGAAACACATGAACCAACACTCATACACATGGCACACAAACACATGTCAGATTATTGCTGCCCTGCGACCTGCGGGACCCAGGAGGGCTTAAACTTCTAAGAATAATGTGCAAACACGATGCTAAGATGCAACTACTGTAAAAATCCTGCTTTTTTTGTGACTTGACTAGCTGCAAATAAAGTATCTTCTTATCTCTGCAGTTTCAAGGTGATAAAGATTCAGATCTGGGGTTAAATCCCCTTAAGAAAAGAAAAAATCATGTAGCTCCCGTCATCTGTATTTTAACATGAATATAGCTGTCTTCAACCATAAAGCTCCTGTGAGGATTTTTAGGAGGTTATAAAACTGACTGAAGTAAATACAGGTAGCTCTTTATGAGCTACAAAAGACAACAAGACAACGAGGAAGAGTATTGATTATTTCTATGTCATTATTTTAATTGCCGGTAAACACTTCCACCGCTTAGCTGTCAATCAAAAGCATAATGCAACAACAACATAAACAGCCTTTTTCAAATGACTTCTACTAAAAAAACACATTTAACGATATTTAACAATAAATAAAAGAAAGATGAGATTTTCCCCTCATAAACTCTACTTACACAATGGAGAAGAGAGAGGCTGATGGCGTAGTAGTTAGGTCACGTCCTATTGCAGAGGCTATATTACTCGGAGCGGGGGCCCCGTGTTCCAGTCCGACCTGCGGCTCCTTTCCTGCATGTCATTTCCTACTCGCTCTCTCGATTTCCTGTCCACTGTCCTATCTAAATAAAGCCAAAAGACCAAAAAATAAAACCTTAAAAAAAAGGAAAGAGATACGATGCACCGCTTTGTCCAGAGAGGGCGCCATTATCACCCAAAAAGACCTCACAGGAGCTTTAAACCGTACGTTATCGGCCCTGGAAGTTGCAGAAACATTTCATAAACACACAAAATCTTCTCACATAAGAAGTCTAAATTCTAAAAGATTTCCTCTTTTATACTTAAGAAAATAAAGCATCACATGTATCCGGGGACAAATAAAGTATTTATGTCATGTACCAACTTTTAGAAAAACTAATAGAGTTGGAAAATAAAGGCTCATTTCTTGTCTGACAGGAGAACCACTGTCTGCGGATAAAGATCCTTGGAGACTGCTACTACTGCGTGTCTGGGCTGCCGGAGGCGAGAGCCGACCACGCCCACTGCTGTGTGGAGATGGGGATGGACATGATAGAGGCCATCTCGTAAGTTGTCATTCTGGGCCTTTCAAGGAATCTAGTTTGAGCTCCTCCAACGGCACACACTCCCACCCGCACTCTCAGGTCACATGACGCAAACCTCCTGCCTCCCCCCCCCCACCTGCAGGACTAACCATCAGTGCTGGTGGGCCTGGAAGGGGGGACTAACAATGTTCTACCCAGAGGTCACTCTAAATCAGACCACTGGGTCACAGCACTGAGATTAGTCTAATTTGGCTGTTACCTCTGCAGCAATGTTGGGATGCTAAGGTCATCCAACTGCTTATTAAGAGCTCTGTTAGTCTTGTTGCAGCGAAGTTAAATACCATTGTCACCTATTTCAGTCTCAATTTTTGAGTCTACTGTGTATGACAAGTAATCACCACATGTTAGTTCAGTCAAATAATACATTAATGACAATTTTGATACAGCCGTTCGTTTCTGTAAAACCCGTGAGATTTGCTGTTGATGCAAACTTTTAAGTATTTTCTTACGAGGGCGGGCAGATTGAAAGCTGTGCAGATCATTTGATAATCATTGTGTGTATTTCCTGCAGGCTGGTACGGGAGGTGACTGGAGTGAATGTGAACATGAGAGTGGGAATCCACAGCGGCAGGGTGCACTGCGGGGTGCTGGGACTCAGGAAGTGGCAGTTTGACGTCTGGTCCAATGATGTCACGCTAGCCAATCAGATGGAGGCAGGGGGCCAGGCTGGGTATGTCTCTGCGGCAACAGTCAAATTCACCACAAACTGAATATACATTTACTGATATGTCATTGTGTGTGTGTGTGTTTTTTCCCTTCTGTTTCAGACGGATTCACATCACGAAGGCCACTCTGAATTATCTGAACGGGGACTATGATGTGGAGGCGGGAACAGGGGGAGAACGAAACGCCTACCTGAAGAAAAACAACATCGAAACCTACCTCATTGTTGGCTGCAGTCAAAAAAGGGTACAGTCCTTATTACTGTTTAAATGTTGAAGGTAGAAGTGCGCCAGAAAGAGATTCAAGCACATGCAGGGCTTATCATTATAAATGTTCATTTGAATTCTTTGAAAAAGGGGAACAGCCTGCAGATGGCAGAGAACTGGCCTTGGGAGATTGTATTTCGCAAAAGCATCATCAACCCTCCAGCTGTTGGACCTTAAGTGTAGTTTTAAAATATTTGGTACATGATCATTCGGAATTATTTTGCTCCAATATGCTTTGATGTTCATTGAACAAAATATTTAGGAACATATTTCACATTTGTGTTTTATTTTATCCGAGAAAACAATCTCAATGCTGTTATCAATGAATATTGTTTCATGATTGCATTGGGATGGAAGACGTATAAACAAACCCTAAGAAATGAGCTCACAATTAGCAGAACAACTAACGTTCCTCTGGCAGGTCTTTTCTTTTGGAGAGGTCAAAGGGTGAAAGCTGCCTGTATTCATTTTTATCCACTAGGGGGCAGAAAAGACAAGCCAACAGTCAGCACTGGAACACTATCCCATTTCAGAGTTGAAAAGTGTTGGGTACTGCAGCAGCAATCTTATGTTAGATATGAAAGTATTCTAATCTTGATTTCTGTTTTTTATTATTTCCAGAAAGAGGAAAAGGCGATGATAGCCAAAATGAACCGACAGAGGACTAACTCCGTGACACACAACAGCGGCCACTGGACCGACCGTCCGTTCTACAATCACCTGGGAGGAAACCAGGTCTCCAAGGAGATGAAGAGGATGGTGAGGAAACTTTAAAGAGTGTGCAGGTCTTCTGCTCTGTAGAGCTGCTTTTAATCCAGCTGACCCTCTCCCACCAACGTCTCATCTCTGCTCTCATTTAACGATGAAGCCAACACATTGATATTACCCGTAATCCTTTGATCTGCGGTCCTGATAAGCAGCGGTAATGACCCTTCATGGCACACTCCAGCTCAAACACCTCACTTGAGCACTCAGGAAGAGAAACAGTAACATGTAGGTGTTAACAGAAGGCGGGGAAATAGCCCCCCCCCCCCCCCCCCCCCCCCCCCAATTACATTCAGAGGAGGAACTGAAAATGAAGCAGCTGCAGCAGAGTGATGCAACGATATCCAAATTCATTTTCTACATACACATAACTCCCTCCTGTTGAGCCGTCCCTGCAAACAGTGACTCACTCAGTGAATGGATGCACCCACACCTGACACACACACACACACACACACACACACACACACACGAACGCAGAATTGTTTTCTGTTTATGGTCACAATCATCAGTCCACCCACCCCTCTCACTGAATCTATTATAAGGACGTGAGGAGAGGCTGAATAAGTTCTACTTGACTGTTTGACACAAGCTGAAGTCACAGGCTGGTAGTAGTTTGGGCTACATGAAGAGTAATATTCAAGATATTAAAGTCATTCTGGGCTCAAATGAAAGCTTAGAACTTTGGAAGTTTATATATATATATAAATAAGACAGTGATATTGACCATTAAGTTCTTTAATATAATACTTTTTCATGAGGATTTGTCAAACTCTCAATATTTTTAATGTGATTTTGTGATTGTTTGGACGATAATTTAGAGAACTTTAGGGAACTATACACCAAATTAATATTAAAGATATAATATGCGACCTTCAAAAGAGATGTTTGGCAAAAATGAAAAACGGAATGTTTTTGGACTGTTGGTTGAGCAAAACCGAGATATTTAAAGATGAGCTCAGAATAAAAACAGTTTTTATTTTCTGTCGTTTTTACACATGAAAACGATTTAATCCGGATCCATGTTTTAATCTGTGAATGACTGTGTGTGTTTGCATGCTCTTGTAACTTTGTAGTGGGTCGCTATCTTGGCCAGGCCTTCCTGTTCAGTTCAGTTCATTTCAGTTCAGACCTTTAGAAATTGAATTCACATCAGTGGAGAAAAACACAACAAATAAACAAGACATAGGACAGTGCAACAAAACCTGATGGAATAAAACCAAGAAAATAAAAAATTAGATAAAAACAAGGTTGGACTACCTGGTAAAAAAACAAAAACCAAACAAACATTAAAATGACATAATGATAAGTTGCAGCACTAGTTATGAAGCCACATCTATCACCTGTGCTCCATCAGCTTTAGTATTTAATGTTTATCCAGAAGAGGGAGCTAGAGAGACGTATTAGATCAGTGTGTTAACAGAATTCAAAGTGGACATGATAATAAACAACACTTAATATTACCAATAAAGAGAAAGAATCATTAACTGAACTGTGGCTGCAGACCTGAAGCTTCAGGGTTTACTCTTAGTGTAGTCATAAAGGTAGTTCATTAAAACTCTGCTAACAGGTGAAATCCTCACACTGCAGTAAAACCTCTCGTCTCATTCTAACTGCTTGTTGTTGCCAGCAGCCTTTGTGTCTCGCTGTGCGGCGCCGACAGTGTGTGAGATAAGAAAAGATGGATTACAATCTTCAGCACAGCTTGCCTCAAATAAGTTTTTTTTTTTAAACAGACACCTGCTCGTCTGCAGCCGCAGGGAGCCTTCACTTCATACCTTCTGGTTCTTTTCTTTTTCGGTGGCTCAGACTTGTTGTTATGTCACATTATCATTGACAAGTTATGTTCAAAAGAGTCGGCCCAGCATTTAATGTAACAAATTAATACATTTTAACAAGGGGATGTGTAGCCAGAGGGAGGTTCATCCAGCTGGAATTAATGTCCTGTTAAGTTCCTGATATCTTAAAGAATGAAATGATTTCATAACATTTTCTGTACGTTTACAGCACCATCAGTTGTTCTCTAAATGTGAGGTCATCCAGCTTTAAAGTCAGGAAGTGAATAAAGGCTCTCTTTAATAGGCTGAACTGATATCATCCAGTTCATGTTTTGCACTTTTAAGATGTACTTTTTGAGATGTTTATGTCTTTATTGTAGAGATGGGACAGTGGATAGAGTCAACAATCAGTGAGAGAGAGAGTGGGGAATGACATGAGCCACAAGTGGGATTCAAACCCAGGCTACCCGCTAACCACTACACTACCAGCACCCCATGTTTTGTATTCTTTATTCTCTTTTTCTTCAAGCGGAAACTTAAAGTCACTGAGGGGCTACGTAGATGAGCCAATGTTTTAATTGACGCCATCGCCTTGCCTTCGCTCTTGAGCGTCTTGTGAAATCAAACAGTCCGATATCGTCTTCATTTATGGAAGATTTATTTCTCATTCCACTCTGGTCCTCATAACTTTCATGCAAGGTTCCAACAATTGTCCATAAATGTCCATTCAATGATTCACAGTGAATACCTTGTGTGCTCTTCGTCTAGCAACACTTCCTCCAAAGTTCCTCCTACTTGTGAAGAGTATAACCTGAACCCAAAGGTGACACCTGCTGGAGCAACCTTTGTCTCACACCTTGTAACTCCAACATGGCTCCTACAATGATCTTTAAACTACCATCATTGATTATAATATATCTGAAAAAGAACGTTTGCTTTGCAGGTTTCCAATTCCTGAAGGGATCTTTAAGTCACTGTTTCTGTTCTGACATCAGGCAACAACCTGAAGATTTCAAAAATATGAATATTTATGCAAGAAAGACTGAAGTTATCATGTTGGAGATGTTTGAGCCAGAACATGTTTGGACCTTCTTTCTTGATAATTTATTTTTGCCAAGTTAAATAAAAAAATGAGATTCTGTCATCACCACACACTTATTTTCTTTAGTCAGTTGTCATCATGGGATATGTCATACACCCATGTTGTAAGAGGCATAAAGAAGTACATTTATAAAAATGTATCAGACTGTTTGCACATTAGACATTTTCATCTCCTGCTAATTCTCTTTTTTTCCCCTCTTTTCTCTCCTCTCTCTCTCTTTTGTCTTGTAGGGCTTTGAAGACCCCAAAGACAAGTGAGTACAGTCTGTATCTCAGCACCTTTCTTTGTGTGTTTGCTTTAAATCTGGGTCTTACTTTATCTTACATTTAAGAAGACCTAAGAAAAGGGCGAGTCAGTGGCGCTCTCTGAAGTCATTATCAGACATTAGCACTGAGAGAGGATGTAAGTAACACTGTTAATGAGTGGTGAAAAGTTCAAATGAATCACCTGTAAGTGGCTGTTTGAGTCACTGTGGGCCTTAAAAAAAGAGGTTTCAATGTACGTCGTCTTCACACAGACAGAATCCAGAGAAAATACTCGAGCACACAAATCACTCAGGGCAGTTTATTAAGGAGTGAAGGATTCATGTTTCCACGTGCACTGCTTCTTCCTCAGGGTAGAAAAAACCCCCACTGTGGACCATTTCTAGAGGATGACTGTGACTGAATCAGGTTTAATTAGAGACTAAACTCAGATCAGACGAATGAGACACAGACGAAATGAGATTGAAATCAAATGTAGCTAACTCAGAAACTCCTCAAAGGTAATCAGTGCTAACTCAAAATGAACACACCTGAGCTGCTCACAATAAAGTGTAAAAAAAAACTTTGGATGATAAAGACAAACAGCAGCTGAAGGAAATAAACTTGTTTCAGCCCTAGGCTTTCATCAGCGTTTTAAAGATAAATGTAGGTGTTACACATTTTGAAATAATCGCTGCCAGGTAACAAACCAACAAAGCCAGACCTATAAATAAACACAATATCCAGAGAACATTGTGATGATTAACAATCTGACCCAATGAGGTCAGTAAGGGGAATCAAGTAACAGATAAGTTGTCGTATTGCAGCAGTGGCTCCTACAGTGTTAAACACATTTACTTTAAGCTCACTCTGTAAGCTCACACTTGTTAATGGGAATATAAAAGTGTTGGTGGTAAAAATCAAAACTAACATCTGTAGTCATGAAATGTTACAAGAGACTTCATGTCGCTGCATTTGGCTGATGGAAAAACCCCAAACCTAGAACAGATGGTAACATTGATTGATGTGCACATGGTTGTTGTTGTTGAGGCTCTGAGAGAGCATGATGTAAAGCCTGCTCTGTTCAAACAGCACCTGCACTTTGTTCAAGGTGAACCACTGTAGTACATATACGTTCAAAAAAAAACATCCCTCTCTTTCTGGGTACAAGTCTAGCAGAGTCGTTTCAGACTCTTGTGGGAAAAAATATGTCAAGCATTCAAGACGATAACGGGTGGATCAAAGAATTTTCTGCCATGAACATCACTTCATAAGTAAAAAAAACAAAGTAGATGCCATTTAAATTGTAGCTCAGTCTGTAGGGAACCGGAAGGTTGCGGGTTCAAATCAGTCAAGGGAACTGCAAAGTGCCTAGTCAATCTGTCAGTAGTCAGTACACAGTCCCTACTAGTCGTGCTGGTTTGATAGATAGAAAGTTGCTAGCACACTTCCTGAACTCTGCCAAGGTGCCCTTGAGCGAGACACCGAACCCCCGACTGGAGCAAGTCTGTTGTCATTGTTGTTTGATTGGCCCGGTCCCAAACAATGATACAGTCTGATAAAGCAGAATAATCACAGCATGCATACACTGCTGTGCTGCTTTCAGAGGTAAGATAAGAGATTCCAGCTTGTTTGTCTTTAGTCTCTTCTTTCTGCTTCTAACGAGGGAGGGTCTCAGTTTGAGAGATGTGTGTGTATGTGAATCTTTTCATACAGTACTGATGGTACATATGACCTGAACGTGAGTGGGTACATCTTAATTAATAATAATTGTGATAAAGTTCTCTCAGAGTTGAAATCATTTTATAAGAAAGCGCTCACATCATTTTGTCTGAGTCCAAAGCTGAGATCTCCTTTGCTCTAGCGCTGTCAGATCGAGATGTTCATAAAGCCGAGCGGTGACGCTCTCATTCACAGTTTTTCTATAAAACCACAGAGGAGGACAGTTTGAACCCAAAGTCTGCCAGTGATCAAAGAGCTGCAGTCATTCATAAAGAAGTCGCCCTCCTCCCCCTCTCCTCTCTTAACTGTTCTGTATCTGTGAGTTTGTCCTGACATCACACTGAGGCTGAGCGTCCCCGCTGACAGCCCACGCTCCGGGCTGCAGCACAGATCCTGCTTCCATGCAGACAGAGTTTTTGAGTTGAGAGGAAGAGCATGCTATGTTTTTATCACGCTCTGATAGAAACCATCACTGGGTACAAAATCACAGCTGAGTTGAGGTGAAATCAGCGTCTCGACAGTCACATATTTAGTCCATCTATCAGGAGATAGCCATTTATCTGAGGCGGAGCATCATCTCTGACCAACATCATTAATTTAATGTTAACCAGGTCCTCGTGAGGAGACATGTCCTAGTTAATTAAATATTTTTATTTGCAAGCACCTTTTGGGGTTATGATGACAACTGGGAATTGCAATTTCTCTGGGGTGTTTGTCATATTTGTCTCCTCTTGTTTTCTGTAATTTATGAACTTTCTGTCAATACAGCTTTACATGCACAATGAGTATAACTGGAAACAAGATTCAAGGGTGTGCAAGGATCATTGTTCCGCAACAAACACAAGTTGTTGTCGCACACACACGGTAACAAATAAATACGACAAAAAAATGCCTTTTGTTGTTTGTAATAGTTAAAAAAAAAGGTTTAGTTAGAGAAAATGTACTTTACTCTAATATTCTTCCATTGATTTTTAGAGAAAGGCAACCCCCCTTCTAACCTTTCCATCATTGTTTCTAAGTTGTGTAAATAAGCAACTTTTGCTAAAAACTTGATCATGTTTCCATCTCGTGTTCAAATATTGGTTTGCACTGCCCACTAGTGGCCAAAAAGAACAGCAGTAGCAGCTCATTTCTTAGTGTTCGTGAATTAGACTCCACATTAGACTTGTGTGGATTGTGTGTTGGACCATGATCGGCCTTCAGGGGTAACAACTTGAACGTTTCTAAACTCTGCATGAAAAAGATCCAACATCCACACGGAGACAGAATGAGCAACACACAAGACTCCTCCTTCATACATTTAGACATGAAGCTGTCATTATATTGATGTATTTTCTGTGTTTGCTGCTGCGTTCATTCGGCCAAATTCCCCTTTTTTTTCACTTTGGCATCCCTATAAGATCAAGACTTTCACACTGACTCACTAATCAGTTTGATCAGAGCCGCATGTCTTCATCAGCTGACGAGTGCTTGTCAGCAAAGCAGCAGAGTTTCAATCAATGTAAGTGACACTTTGCAGATTCTGTCATCAGTCAAAGACGAACCGGCTCAGCAGAGGCTTCAAGAATTGAGAGGAGTGGTGTGTTTTTTTAGGTCAATTACTCCTTTTTCACTTTAGACAAGATGAGCTAAATGTTACTACGACTCAGAGCGGGTTGTGAGTGTGACTTTATGACCATTACAGATGATTTAGAGTCATTCACAGCTTCTGAAGAGTGAATCGGCTGCTGGGTTAATAAGAGTTTTCTCAGAATCTGTCTTTTTCTCAGAATCTGTCTTTTTTTTTTTAACTCTGCTCTGGTCTTGTGTTCTTTAGACATTTTATTTTCAGAAACACGCAGGAAAACCTGAACCCAGAGGACGAGGTGGACGAGTTCCTCGGCCGGGCCATCGACGCACGCAGCATCGACCGTCTGCGCTCGGAACACGTCAAGAAGTTCCTGCTCACCTTCAGGGAGCCTGACCTGGAGAAAAAGGTTTGTACGCACGCACGCACGCGCACACACACACACACACGCGTACAATGTGACACACACTGCCAATTTAGCAACAAATAATTGGCCGTGACAAGCAATCTTCCCTTTGCAGAAAACTCTTCTGCTGCTTGCTCTTTTTGTGTCCCTGGAGGAAGTCAGTCAAAGCAGAGTATAAGAGAGAAAGAGAGGAACGGGGCTTTAAAGAGAGAGGAGACGGCTGCTAAAGGGAGAAGGAAGTAAACTGCTTCAGACAGTGAAGGACAGGCTCAGAGGAGAGGTGAAGGCTCGGGTCCTTGTAGAAGAGTTTTGGGGAAAACAGGAAAGTTTCAACTTTGAATTGCTTTCTTCCTGTCATGGTGAAAGAATAAGGGAGTAAAGAGTCAAAGCAGATCAGAGGGACTGTTTTTGAGCTTCCACTGGGCTCTGGGGGAGATTCTTTTGGAGATGAAAAAGTCACTTATCATGTTTTAATTGTGGTAATTTGTTTTATAACCATCATTTCACCTTTGATTTCTTTTTAAATTGCAAAGTTTTGAGTTTGTTTGAACATTGTCGGATGATAAATCACACTGATATGTTTTTAACTGGAAAAATGAAATATAAGGTGTTGGTATCTTGCTGGTGTAGTGCCGTCTCTCGGAGTGATGTCAATTATAAGTTCAACCCTTGGTTGTGCTGTTAACTATTCATTCATTAGACTTCATTTAATATACATCTGAGTGTGGGTAAACAAGAGCTCGGGGACAACTCCTGCTGTGCGTCTCGTACTTTTCATGTCTGTCTCAAAGCATGACACACCCAGACTGAACGACAACATCACTCCACCAACCGTAACCATGAGCGACCTTAAAGGCAAAGTGCATCGTATCAAACAGTTGCTCTTGCAATTGTATGAAATACTTTTTGTACAAAACTAAATGGAGCAAGCCTCGAATCAAATAACGTATATCACCTAAACCAGAGGAAAAATAAAGATCCAGCAAATAAAGCTTCACAAAAATAAATCTCATCTCCGTTTTTGCACTGGTGTGTGTTAACCAATTCATAAGAAATGCCAAACATGTATAACCAGGGTCCCCATTAGTTTGTTCTCCTAAGAGTACTCTGTCAAGTCTTTTCTTGAACTTTGAAACGTCAGACTCGGTGCATGTCAGTTATCCCATTACATGATAACTAAAAAAAAAAAACCTTGAAAGAAGTTGATTACTTAATTTGATGACTTTCTGAATCTGAAATGATCAATACCAGCCTTAAAAAAACAGCATCATTTAGTCTCAAGTCTCAGTAAAATATAAGTATGTCCTCATAAGCAAATTCTGCAGATGCATTTTTTAAATTAAAGAGACAGGACAGTGGATCGTGTATGACGTCTGTTGAGGGCGAGAGACAGAGAGAGGGAGAGAGAGAGAGAGAGGAGCCAGAGGTCGGATTCAACCCTGACCCTAGCCCCCTTGGAGGACTCCAGCCTCCATTCATGGGCAGTGCGCACTAACCATAAGCAGATTTTAATACGTTCTTTTTTTATTATGAAAATGCAAGACTGCCAAAAATGGATCTTTAAAACGCCCCTTCAGTGTGTTTTATTTCACAGCTGTACTGATTGGTCGGTTACTATTTATAATTATCAAAGATTTAAACTCGTCTTCTCCTTTTTGTTCTTCAATTTTTAGTCGGATAGAAATTGAAAGCTAAAGGTTTTCTTCATTTCCGCTGTAAGGAAAAATGCCCCAGACATGTATAACAGCACTTCGCGTTCTAGGGTCAACAAAACCAGAATAAAAAAAAAACACACAGCCCAGAAAAGTACACAAATAAAGTAAATTCACTCAGAGGTCATGTCAGTGTCAGGTGTATAGCTCTTAGTTTTAGTGAAGTGTAAAGATGTGCTACTTTACTACATTAAAGTGAACACCTAACAAAGTGTGTGTGCAGGATGTTAAATGTGGTTTCTTTCTCCTGTTCTCGTTCCCTCCTGCAGTACTCCAAACAGGTGGACTCCAGGTTCGGGGCTTACGTGGCCTGTGCCTCCCTCGTCTTTCTCTTCATCTGCTTCATCCAGATCGTCATCGTGCCTCCGTGAGTACACGCACTCAAACATTTTTATGACTCTGAAACGTTCTGTCGTTCTGTCGTCAATTTCATTTTAACAGCAGCACGGCTGACAGGTGCAGAAATCATCTGTGTGACACTTTTACGCTAACATCAGCATCCTCTGCTCTGTTTAATGAGTATACATCATAAAAAGTAAGAACAGAAGAACTAGTTCAATGAAACTTCTGTTATTTATGAATAATGAGTGATGGAGCCTGGCCGTTTGTGTAACAGCTCGGTCAAACTTACAAAAAAGGTGATCATTTATATGAAAGACATCATTTCAATTTCGGAAGGTCGGGGGTTCGATCCCCAAATGTCCTATTTGTCCTTGGGCAAGACTCTTAACTCCAAGTTGCTCCCACTGCTTCGTCAAGCGGTGTATGAATGGGGTTAGTTACTTCTGATGGTCACTTTACAAAGCAGCCTCTGCATCAGTGTGTAGGTGTGACCTGCGGTGTGAAAGAGCTTTGAGTCGTCAGAAAAGCGCGACACAAGCTCAAGTCCGTTTACCATTTACTTACTGCGAGTTTCCTGAGAGTGAAACAATGATACGTGCTCCTCTAGAAGACACAGGTTTGTATGGTCTGAATCTCGTTTTAAGAAAAACCTTGGTTTATTCACCATATCGGGGGAAAAGAACTACCCTACCCACAATCCTAGTTGTTTACTGCACTCGCACAACTGTCGTCTACTACCTCTGACGTTCACAGAAGTGCAACACACTATATAAACAAACACTAAAATATGTTACGACATTATTATTGACAATAAAAACACTTCAATAAGGATACATCTAGAAAGAAAGGCCGGTTTAAGTTTTTGAAAAAAAGCACACTAAATTATGGTTTGTTGGGTCCCGTTGGAATGGCAATGGATTGTGGGATGCGTAGTTTCTTTGCTCCCCAAAAAATGATGTGCACAGTCTTGTAGCTTTGCTTTTTTCCGTTTTTTTTCTGGCACCTGATCAAACGTTTATAGTTGTGAGTATTTGGGCGGCTGGCTGGCTTTGTTCCAGGATAAAAAAAAAAAAATGATTTTCTGAAATGTCAATGGAGGATTTGAATGGTGAAATTTACTTTCACAATCTAAGCCACCATAAAAAAGTGGGCGGTCACTGTTGAGTTATACTGTGATTTCCACCCTTACTTAATATAATGTGCTACCACTTGAAATAGCAATATATACAGAGTAAGTGACATTCCCTTTTAAGGTCAGATCATCACATTAGATATGGGGAATCTTCCCAAAAATTCAGTTTTATCTTTATGTTTGAAGCCTCAGAAATCCAACACATCGTTTAACCTTTAAGCATCTATGGAAAGTTCTTCCATCTTTAGCCTCAAGACTAGAGTTATAGAGTGGAAAAATATAACGCAGAAGTAATTTTCATAACAAGAAGTGCTGTATAGCTGAGTGATAAAAGAGAATAATTAAAATCAGTAAAGTTGCAGCCAAACAGACTGAAAAAGCTGCAGGCAAAAGCTGCTGTCTTTATCTTTATTTTACCTCCTCTGCTCTCAGACGTTGTTTTTTTTTTTTTCTCCCATCGCTGAGTGTTGATCTTCTTCAGTCTGCCTCTTTATTAACCTTTCTCCTTACCGGCTCCTATCATCATACCGCTCTCCTCTCCTCTCCTCTCCTCTCCTCCTCTCCTCCTCCCTCCCTTTATTTGATAATTTCCTGTTTATTCTTTGTCTCCTCCTGACATTAACATTTCCTGTCACTCCCACACACATAATGTCTCCTTCCATATGATTTATATAAAAAAAAAAAAAAACAAGGTCAAAGAAATAAGAGAGACAGAAGCTGCTGCCTACAGAGTGTCCTCCATCACAGAGTAAAGAGGAAAGAAACAGAAACCCTCCTTATATGTTGCATTAAAGATCCTTTCCTGTGTCTCTGCAGCTCCGGCCTGATGATCGGCTTCTTCATCACCTGTTTCATCATCCTCACGGCCGTCATGTTCGTCTCCACCGTGTACTGCTGTTTCGGGGTGAGTTCAGCCCGCTACATAAACTTGACATCTTGTTGCAGATCAAAACACATGAATCTTTTCTCCACTGATAAAAGGAACATTACGAGGGGTGTAGTTCTGTAAAAATGATTATCCGCAAATGTCATCAAACGGAGACAGACTGGTTCTTCTTTCTTGACTCAGATCTTCAGTGTGAGACATCACACGGACAGATCAGTGAAATCTTTTATCAGGTTGTGGTTTGATGTTTTTTCTCTCTATTGATTCCACATCGTGTCAGAAATTTGACCATGATCTGCTCTTGACCTTGCAGTAAGCTCTTGCAGATAAGACTCATTAGCTCAGTTCTTTAATTCAGAGTGCAGGTGGCGTCATTAGTCTCCACTTTATTTAGTTACAAATCATTTAACAGAGATTCGCTCATGGTTCAAAAACAGGTCTGTATGCACATATAACACTTTCTCCTAAACATAGAGGATTTTCATGACCAGTCTTGTTATCAGATAAGAGAAGGGACTCACTGTTTGTAAATCAGAAACTGACCTATGGATTGCCAGCATATAAACTGAGACGTTGACCTATTTAGGTGCTGAAGACAAATTATATCAATTAAATCGAACTAAATTTTCATCATCTGAGAACTTCTCTTAATCTCCCACTCTGTTCTGTTCTATCTGTTTTTCCCCCACGCTCCCAGCTCTTCCCAGCTGCCCTGCAGACTCTCTCTCGGAGGATAGTCCAGTCCAGACTGCACAGCACGCTGGTGGGCGTCTTCACCATCATCATCGTCTTTCTCTCTGCTTTCATCAGTATTGTAAGTTCTCCCTCGGGCTTGGAACCCCTCAGCAAGCAGTTTGTTATGTTTCATAAAATCAGACACACTGATGATTCCCACTCCCTCATTTTCCTCTGCGTTTTCCGTCTTTCAGTTCACCTGCAGCAGCTATGACCTGCGAGGCTGCATCCAAGAACAGCTTAACATCAGCCTGAACAGTGTGAACGCCTGCCACGCACACGACCTCAACTACAGCCTGGACACACAACATTATACTGCCTGTGGAGACAACGGCCTCATCTGCAGCTTTCCTGAGGTACAGGTGTGCCTTGTTTTGTGTGTCTGTGTGTTCTGTGAAGTAAAAGAACCAAGTTAATTCTGTGTTCGAATGCATAAACAAGCCCATCAAGAGGGCCCATGAAGATATGCATGTAAGAGTTAGGAGAAAATGAAGCAAAACAAGAAACTGAGGCTTTTAAAAAAGCTCAACTGAGATGGGGAACAATTTTATCTGCATCATTAAAGCATTTCTGCAGGATAATTACCATTATATATTTGTGAGTTATTATGTTGATCAGACATATCTGTTACAGATATTTAGGCAGCAGAAGAAGACTTAAGAGCCTCTTGGATTCTGTCGCAGAAGGAAAAAAAAAAAACCTGAACAAAACATGTTTTATTCAAGCACAGATGTGGCCGTTGGCTGTGCCCAGCTCAGGTGACAGGGTCAAATTTGCTGCATAATCCTCAAATGAACTAATCGTACTTGAGGCGCTGCTTGTCAACAGGCAAGGCAGGCAGCTGCTTGAGGCCACGGACCAGGAAGGGGTTTGAGGGATGAAAATCTTTAAACCAAAGCAAAATGTGCAAATTTTCAGACAGCAGTTACTCTAGTTGCCCTGCTAAGCCTCACATCCATTATTGCAGTGAAAACCAGTTTGTCAATAAAGTTCAACAAAGAAAAATTGGGTTGGAGGGCCCCCAATAGACTCTAGAATCGCCACTGATCGTACGCATGGTTAAAATGAGGCAAAGCGTTCTTTTTTTTACGGTCTGAGCGTCAAGCAGCACAGTGTGGCTGTGAAGTCAGTTTAAGAACAAGACTGTACTTCACTGCAGTAAAACAAAACTGTTCAGTCTCTTACAGTGAATCACTGGTAAATGTTTCCATCAGTTTTCTTTCAGGTGGTATGATTATGACAGAAGTGAAGCAAAACAATATGGACGCTAATCGAGGTTCATTGTTGATTTGCACAGTTACCTCTAAGTGTTCAAAATGTGGTTTTATGGCGTTTTCTAAATGTGGCTCATCTACTCAGACGTGCTTGTAACCGAATATAAAAGCTTCTATACTAAACATAAAAACAAGATGCACCCTTACAAACGTCCCGTCTCTCCCGCAGTACTTCTCGTCCTGCGTGCTGCTCAGCCTGCTGGCCATCTCCGTCTTCCTGCAGGTGAGCAGCATCGGTAAACTCTTCCTCATGCTCTTCATCGAGCTGCTCTACCTCCTCATCATGGAGGTGCCCAAAGTGAACCTCTTCGACAACCAGGACCTGCTGGTGATGGCCAACGCCATCAACATCATGTGAGTCAGTTATTACTGTTTTTTTACGCCGGAAATCTTTGACTGAGTGCAGATTTTTTTACCTCTGATCTGCTCTTCCCCCCCCCCCCCCCTTCACAGCGAGCACATCAATGGAACAAGGTGAGCATGACGTTTGTGATCTAATTAAGCTAACAGCATCATTATCACTCTTCTGGCACAAATGTAAATATAATGACCTGCAGGCAACAGATGCTAATGCTAATGAGCAGCTTTTGTTTATGTCACAGTGTCCCTTCAAAAAACACTTTTACACCCAAACAGTAAAACTTTACGCAGTTTGATGAATTCAGTACTTTTCAGAAAAATAAAAACAACTAACATGTGTGTGCTGACCTCCAGCTGTGTTGTGGACAACAAGGTTCCTCTGAAGATCATGACCCCGGTGGTCATCACCGTCTTCGTGCTCGCCCTCTACCTTCACGCACAGCAGGTGGAGTCCACGGCCAGGCTCGACTTCCTCTGGAAGCTGCAGGTCAGTGCATGTTAGTGGCAATATGCCGGACGGGGGAGTGGTTTAGTTTACGTGCCCCATGTGGAGAGGCTGTAGTCCTTGAAGCGGGCGGCCCAAGTTCGATTAAGATATTTGAGCTTGTAAAAAGCTTTTCTAGTCGTCTGACTGCTCAAAGCGCTTGTCACCACATGTCACGCTTACCCATTTACACACTGATGGCTGAGGCTGTTGCAGTATGTTAAGTGTTCATCATTAATAACTAATCCTATTCATACACATTCAGCGGATGGTATTGTCTCAATCTATGATTTAATATTAAATTGCAACATATGGTGTATCATAGGAGTAACATGGATTTGCTGTGATTTATTGGAACACACTGATTGAAGGCAGAGAGATACTTTGGATCTTAGTAACTGTTATGAAGCATAAAAACGTTGCTGCTGTTGTCGCCCTCAGAGAAGGGAGAAGTTCAAACTGTTTCGGAGCCACCTTTCTGGCCTCCAGGGGGTTGATGGTTCGATACTCAGATGATCACAAGAGGAGCATTAATCTAAAAGAGGACATGTCTCAGGGGATGCTCAAGGACCCTTTTGACATCTCATGGAGGTTGTGACGCAGGTTGTGCTGCTTGTGGTTGGAAATCCCTCTGAGAGGATAAACAAGTTACTTATCTGAAAAGTTTGAGCTGCTGGAGGGGCTTCGTCTTCCAGCTCACTGACGGTTAGGGCGGTAGTCTGCGAGTCTGCAGTCAGAGCTCAGAGTAAAGAAGAGACACTGTAAAGGGAACACAAGTCAAAAGTTTGCTCTGAAACTCTCACAGTCAGGGTGAAATACATTTAATTAGAGGGTGGCGTTACATTAAAGACAGTCAGGGGTGTCATGCAGACTTAAATTGGGATGTGGGGAGTCGATGAGGAAGGAGAATCCTTTGAAAAAGGAAAATAAAGCAAACAAAAAAATAATGCTTGTATTTCCACTCATCTTTTTTTTTAGTAACTTTTCAGATTCACAGGAAACAAAACAGGTCAAAGATGTGAAGATAAAAAGTGTTGATTTGCCAGAAAAGCATAAACTTAGCTCCAGCTTTAACTGCCTCGTGTACTTTGGGAAAGGTTGCCACTTGGTTCAGATTGAATGGACAGTACGTGTCTGTTTAGAGTTCATCACACTATTTCATTTGCATCAAAGCTATAGAGATATTTTTCTGGATAATTCACCGGTTGGTGTTGCCTCATGAAAAGTCACAAAGATTTAGCCAATGGGATTGAAGATCGACTCAGATTTCATGGCAATCCATCCGATAGCCGTTGAGATAATTCCTATAAATACACACCAGTACTGTTTCCTTTTTTTTATACCCCATGTCTCTGTATTTAACCCTCCACAGGCTACGGAGGAGAAGGAGGAGATGGAGGAGCTGCAGGCCTACAACCGCCGTCTGCTCCACAACATCCTCCCCAAAGACGTGGCGGCCCACTTCCTGCAGCGAGAACGACGCAACGACGAGCTCTACTACCAGTCCTGTGAGTGCGTGGCGGTCATGTTCGCCTCCATCAGTAACTTCTCCGAGTTCTACGTGGAGCTGGAGGGCAACAACGAGGGAGTGGAGTGTCTGCGGCTGCTCAATGAGATCATCGCTGACTTTGACGAGGTGAGACGTGGGGGAAAAAATATCAGAAGTTGTGTGTGTGTGTGTGAATCAGGATGTGAACTTGTGGCTTCCCTTTAGGGATGAACTGATGTAGCTGATGATTAATTAGGTGGATTATTCTTATAAAACTAATATTTAGTCATTTTCTTAGAAAGTTTCTCAGTCATACCAAGACTTGGATCAAAGTCTGGAGAGGGGGCCTTAAGTTACAGAGGTCCCCCTCTCTGGACAAACTGCCACCTGAAGTCCGTCACAATAGTCTCTACTTTTAAAGCTAAACTCAAATATCTACTGTAGTCTTCTGAGCATACAAATAGTTAATGTGTGTGTGTGTGTGTGTCTGTTTGGTCAAATAATTTCTTAAATTGTATCCGTTGAACCTCAGCTCACGCCCCACTAAACAAAGAACTGATTAAAAATTCCTCTCCTGCCACCTTCAGATCATCAGTGAGGATCAGTTCCGTCAGCTGGAGAAGATAAAGACCATCGGCTCCACCTACATGGCGGCCTCTGGCCTCAATGACTCCACATACGACAAGGCCGGGAGGTCACACATCCGCGCCCTGGCTGACTACGCCATGAGGCTGATGGACCAAATGAAATACATCAATGAACACTCCTTTAACAACTTCAAAATGAAAATAGGTAAGCGGCAGAGAAGCAAGCGGACGGAGTCAGATTCAAAGTCAAGTTGTTTGGTAGTTATAAAAAAAGTATGACATTATGTGTTGGTTTCTTTCTTTCCTAGGTCTAAACATCGGCCCCGTGGTTGCCGGGGTTATCGGGGCCAGGAAGCCTCAGTACGACATCTGGGGGAACACGGTGAACGTGGCGAGTCGAATGGACAGCACAGGGGTGCCTGAGAGGATCCAGGTAAACTGAAGTGTTTCAGGTTCAAACTACTTTATTCATCCCAGAGGGGCGATTCAGTTCCACAGCCTCCCGAGTCAACAGGCTGAAAGAAGCCAAGACGATATAAAGGAAACAAACACGGTCACAGCGACATTCAGACAATTACATTCACATGTCAGTTACTACAATTCAACAGACGAACAGGTCGCTAAATGAGAAGCCACAGCTAGCAAATCTAGAAATTCATAAACACAAAGCCAGAAAAGTATCTTATACATGGATAGATAAATGAATGGACCTGACAAGTTACCTACAGTAAGTTAAGGTAGCAGTCCATACAGTAAATCAATTAGAACTGTTCAGTTTGACTCTGTGATGTCAAAATATGTTTCTCACATTCATTACGGAAAGAGTGACAGAAAAAGTCGACAATGTGTTTTACTACGGCAGAGCAGAGCAGACACAATACATTCATATTGATTGTTTTGAAAAGTTATCCTTGAGCTACCTCTGCTTGATGACGACAAATCCATATTAAACAAATGCCACCAAATATCTATCCCTTTTGGTACATTCTCTCAACATGATTTTATTTTAGTCAACAAGAAAAACACACATTTAAAAACAAGAAACTTTGGATTTGCTTTCATGAAGTCATCTACGATTCGGTTCAAAATGGAAAGTTCACCTAATTAGAAAAAGCTCTGCCAAACTGCCTCTCACACATGGCTGATGGCTCCATTTAGAAAATGTCAACTCAAGTTAATAGGAAAATGTTAATTAAAGAAATCACCATATTGGTTTCACTTTATGAGCACAAAGCGGCTCATATGTGGAGAATAAAGTTGATAAATTTACATCCTGAGAAAACCGTTTAAAACATTTCGGGATATTCAATTGTGTTTGTCACCAATGCAGAATAGAAAATGAAGCCCGAAATAAAGAATTATTTCTGTTTTTTTAATTAGATTAATAAAAGAGTAATGTACCATCATGCATTGCAGTGATGCTTTCAAAGCTTTAACAAGGAAAAAGTGACGTTTGGCTGCTTTCACCCATCGTGGATGGACGAGAGGAGCACGGCCGGAAATTAAAACAGAAACACAAAGCGGTTCATATTTGGACCCGTCTTTACAGAAAGCTAGACGCTGTTTTAATAATGAGTAAAGGATTCTTGACGGAGTAACCATAGGCTATATGCACGAGCAAATGAGTCCTGGCATTAAAATATGTTTGAACTATCAAGTTCAGTACTTTATTAAAGGACCAATATGTGAGATATCTACTGAATGATGATAAGTTGATCTTACTATATAAAAGAAACGCTCTGTTGAAGTGCTGGCTTCTCTGACAACAATGCAGCAGCCAGTATGTCCTCCTTCAAAGTTTAGATGCCGTTCCTTAATGGTCTCGATTTGTTTTGACCAGAGAAGGTAAGCGGTTTTAAGGCACCTCCACACAGCCGTTTTGGACACCCCTTGGTTTGCCAGATATGAGACCAGTTATCACTGCAAACCAGCAAGTGTTGCAGCATTGGATGGGGGCAAGTGAACTGGTTCTACTCCATCTAAAAAGCCTCAGCATCTTTCCTAGTAAGCTCTACAAATGTGGAAAGACTAGGATACATTTCGGAGATGCTTTTGAAATATGGGGAAAGGGTTGGAACGCAGAAAGGGTTCAAGACAGAAGCAGAGCTGGCTAAACACTGAAGCTTCAGTGTTTGTGACATGGCAACCTCTGCGAGTGTCAACTTTAGGGAGGAGGGGGCTGGGGCGACAGCTCTCTCCAATGTTTTGAATTTGGACTGCAGTACTAATTTTAAACATTAGGTGTCAGAGTTACATATTGCTCCTTTAATTACATTTAATTGTTTTGTGAAAATATTCTCTGTATAGTTTTATTCATCACTGAATTTCATGCAGTCATTAGTAAGTGTTACTGATCCTAGCTGGCATTCAGCTTTACATTTTAGTGACACGACAACGATGACATCATTATCAGTGGTTGGCAATGAAGTCCCAAAGGTTTTTTTTAATTGTGCTGATGAGTGCATTATAAGTCCACGCCAGAGAACTCCCTACGTAGGGAGTAGGAAATGAGTGAGGGATTTAGGACACCACCATGGTTTTAAAATAGGTTACATCTGATTTAAAGTGTGCCAGTTTTGTAAGTGTGCAATTTGTAAGTGTACCAGACTTGAGAGTTATACATAACATACAGGTCAGATAGACAACAACATACAACACCACACATAAGAAAGACCACACAGCACCATCACACATTTAAAGCTTACTTGCTTCGGTGCTTGGTTCTGTGAGGGGGAGACAAGAAGTTGGCGTCGGAACAACGGAGGCTACAGGAGGGAGTGTTTGACGGTGGTGGAGGTTCCTTTCTAAATGTTCCTTTCTCTTCTGTCCTCAGGTAACAGCAGACCTGCACCAGTTACTGAGCTCCTATAACTACACACTAGAGTACAGAGGCATGGTCACAGTCAAAGGCAAAGGGGAGATGATGACATATTTCCTCACCGCTGGACCACCAAGCAGTTAACCCCGACTAAGAGACGTATAGAAATCTGACATGGCGATCAGGTTCATGGACCTCTGGTAGCTTACGGTGGACTGACACAGACTGACTCTTCTCTTGAGCGCCAGCACCTAGCGAGGCCACAAAGGGGGACGGGTCACAAATTCACCCGAAAGCTCAGCCTGTGGAGGAGACTATTATCGGCTCAATCTGCCATTGAGACCAAAGATGTCCAATCAAGGCGCACAGACGGATTTTGCCAGCTGTGCAAGTCGACGAAGGAAAAAGAAAGCTCTGGAAGAAGTTGTATCTGCTTCAATCTCTCAGAGAGGACGAACCTGGTCATGAACTACATCACTCCCTCTCTTTCTCTTCACCTTTCTCCTGCTGAAGGATATATGTACACAGAAAACACAGAGTTTTATGTGTAGGTATATGATGTTAAGTACTGTATGTGAAACACATTTTGTCCATATTGTTGTGATACAGGTACAAATCTCTGAGGAGTGGACACTCAATCAACACAGCAACTATCGTCTTTTTTCATCAATATCTGATCACATGATATTGATTAGCAGATTAATGGAGGCACTGAGCTGAAAAGAATGTCTCACAGAGAGAGGAGAGAGAGAGTCAGGTTGTTTTTTTTGTATGAAAAGAGAGGCAGAAGTTCCCCGGTGTTCTCAGAAAGCTTAATAATTCACAAACATATACGACAGTATCGACAGAATAAACACACACACACACCAAACACAAAGAGGATGTCACTGAAGAGCTTTTTCTATTCTTCGACGTTTTGTATTTTGAATTCAGAACACCAAACCCTATCAGATATTTTAAGATTCTATATTTTGTACATTAATATATTAGAGAGCAATCTATAAACACCAATGTGTATTCAGATGTTGACGCTGTATCACTCTCACGTCGGGACTTTAAAAGTCCTCACAGGTGTTCCCTGGTCCGAGCATATCGCCACAGCTGAGGGTTCCCATTTAGCCCAGCAGAACGCCTGCTTCTTTAGCTCTTTTAACTCAAATGAACACTTTTGATCTGCAGGAAGTCGAGCGTTTTCCCGATGATTCCCCTTCACTGGTGTGTTGATGTGATGTCAAACCGAGTGAGTGCACTCTTTGAAAGGCAAGACAGCAATGAAGTAGTCTTTTTGCACTCGAGCGCGGTCAGCCGTCCACACTCTTCTTGCGCCGCTCCACCCCCAACCCCCAACCTCCCACCCCTTGCTTGCTCAATCAGATGGTACGACCCAATGAATGTCCAATGATTTCCGATGAGGCCTTTTAACATGAACTCTATACTGAGGATGGCGATGATGCTCATCCTAAGGACCGGGACAGACGAGTCTGTGTGAAGCGCGCCCTTTCATCTGCTGTTTTCAATTGTTTTTTTTCCCCTATCAAAGCGTTTTTTCTTCTGTATTACAGCATCACTCCACATTACCTGACAAACCTTGTTCACCTGCCTGATTTCATCGATCTCTGTTGTTGTTGATTTTGTGCCATGTTCTTACCAAACATTACAGCTGGTTCTGTTTGTCTTGGCTGGGTCACAGAGCGAATGAAGTTAATATTTGGACCGAGTGTCGAGTTTTTTGACATGCAAGTGAAAATAATTGTTTTTTGAAACAAATCTTATGAAAAGGCCAAAATGAATCATCTGTTAGTAGATTTCTCAATACTTTATGACATCCCTTAAAGGTTAATTTATTGAGTTTTAAAGCAAAAGATTGTCAAACGGGAGCAAAGGAGAATGTAAGAAAACTATTTTTTTTAATGTAAAACACAATTTGGTACATATTTGGCGTGCTCAGTCGGTCAGTATTTACTGTATGAGGGGTTGACTCAACACCGACCACACTGTATGAAGTTTGAGGGTGACAAATTGAGAAGATTTTAAAAGTGTGTTAATACGATGCGTTAATGAATTTTTTAACATTTACTTATAATTGTCAAAAACCAGCGTATACTGATAAAACAACAGTGAAATACAAGAGTGGCCATCATTTTATAAAAGGCTGAATAAGATTTATTTTGAAAGGATAGATAAGGCAGACTGATAAATGATTGTCATTACAAAAAGTTATATTTTAGTACGATTCTTAAATACCTTTAGTTATTTTAAAAATGAATGTAGTCTACCACTTTAGGTCAGGTTTAAGTTAAATTTATATTATTTCTAAATTGTGACCTTTTTGAAATTGTGCAAACTTAACACATTACACCTATTTTTCAAAAGATATTTATTCACTGCAGGAAAATGAACGATTAAATGCACACTTTAGACATTTTAACACTTTCTTTATGCATGTTAAAGGTCACATATTATCCTCCTTTTCAACCAGTTTAAATAAGTCTCAGAGCTTGGGGAACTGTAAATCATGTCTGTAAAGTTTCTTATTCTAAATCAACTCTGATCCTGTATTTGATCATATCTATAAACCCCTCTATTTCAGCCCTGCTCAGAACAGGCTGTTTCTGTGTCTGTAGCTTTAAATGTAAATGAGCTGTGTCTGACCGCCAAAACAATGTATTGATCAGTTCTGTGGACACCTGGAAAAATATTTAAGAACCCCAAACTTTAGTTTTTTTTAATGAATTTTTGGATTGCTTTTGGTTTCTTGTTTTGAAAAGAAAAACTCTGCACTCTGTCCAAATGTTTGCTTTGAGATAGTAGAATGAAAAACAACGAGCACTGGTCTACTCTGATGGTTTTCTCTTATGTTAATGTACTGTACTGCTGCAAACACATGATCTTCACACACCACTACTAAAGATTTGAAGTGTTCTCCCATTTGACTCGTTGAATGCAGTGCCATTGTACGCTCAAAGTGGGCTACTTTTTCCACTGACGGTTGTGCAGGAATGTACTTTAAAGTAACGAAAGAAACGGCACAGAACAGAGATGGTTAAAAACTTTATAAGGAGAATCTCACCTACTGTCTCATTTATTTTACGTTTCTTGATGAATCTGAGAAGATGACAAGGAAAGGCAGAATTATGTGACAAACAGCAGCTTCACAGACAAAACCATGGGTTGTTTTTATTGTCATGCCAAACACTATGCTCTTTTTTTTTTTTTACAGTCAAATAAACGCCTGAGATATTTCACAGGTATGTCATGATTTCATTTGGGTTCTTTTCTGCTATTCCTCTTGTGTTGGTAGCTCAATAAGAGATTTAGATAAAGGCCTGTTTGTTAGAGATGTTGTCTTTGCTAGCTCAACAGACCACACTTCAAAACTACAAGTGTGGAGCCAAAAGTACAAGATCGTGCTAAGGCCTTAAAAGAAGGAGATGGACCAAAAAGGCATAAACAATACTAATAATAATAGAAATAAGTGACAGTCGGAAATAATAATAATATAATGAGGAAATGCAAATACAAATTGTTTTTAAAAATCCAAAAATTTTTACAGCTAAAGCAAAATAGTTTCCCCAAGAACGCAACAACCAAAAAAAGGGCCTGACTTACGTATACCTATCAGAGTCAGAACTTATATGTAACAACGAGAGACTAACTTGCAGGCTCTGTCTAAACTTAGCCCAGGGCGGCTGTGGCTCAGTTGGTAGAGTTGGTCATCTCTCAACTGGAAGGTTAGGGGTTCAATCCCCAGCTACATGTACACTGTGTAGTTGTATATGATTAGGATAAGTTACTGGTCACTTTACACAGCAGCCTCTACCATCAGTGTGAATGTGTAGGTGTGGCATGCGATGTAGAAGCACTTTGAATAGTCAGAAGACTAGAAAAGCACCATTTAGTCTCCAAAAATGTTAGAAAACCACCCTAGATCTTTTTTTTTTTAACTCTCCTGGGTCTCCCCTCAGATTATACAGTACATGATCTTTTTTTTCATTAGCATGATGTTAATTCATTAGTCTACCTCTTAGACGTAGGTGGTTTTTCCTCCTTCCAGTGCATGGCTTTACATTTGTTGTCTGTATAGCTTATATCATTTTGGTCTGTCGTTCAACACTGGCCTTGATAATGTAATCTTGATAATGTAATCTTGAAAGTAATCGTGTTTTCTGCAACAATTAACAGCGGTGACGGTCTGCATTGAAAACAGGAATATCAAATATAAAATGCAGTTTATCAAACCATCAACCTTTTTAATTTAAGTTATTGAACAATTATTATTTGAGGAAATATGGATGACTGATATTATTCAAATCAATTTGTAAAATGTCTTAATTCCTTCTTGCAGTTGTCCAAAGTACCCCTGTCTTTAAGATGCAAGATGCTTCCAGTAAGATACTTCTTTGAAAGCTTCCTCGTACATTTGATAAATACCCCTAAGCATTAGAAGGCATTGTGCTTCAACTTTGGATTGGTTTAATGTTTTGGCTCACCAACAGATGGCAGCAACACTACACCACTTGGTTCACTCATGAGGTCCTTTGTCTCCTTATTTTTAAAACATGATTACTGTTTATATATGATGGACGAGGTAGAAGGATCGTGCTAATCAGCTGATTATCAGCCTGAGTGTTTCTTCATCCATTACAGCTTTAATATCTGTATTTATACTGAAGTCAAATCACTGCCTATTACATCTAATGAGTATGAGTTAGGGTCTTGGTTGATAGTTAATTCAATAACTCGTGTTGAGCATTTAAGCAGCATCACTGGAGTTATTGTAATGGTGTTTTTTGTACGTTTTTAATTAAACATCTTTAGGCTACATTTTAAGGTTGTTAATGGAATATGTGGCAGTAGTGATGCAGGAACTATAAGCACTATATGAGGTTGGAGCAAACGAAGTCCTAAGAGCTTCACACGCAATGATTTTGACCATTTCAATCAGCCAACCCATGAAGCCCTGACCGTGTTAGTTTTATCACACATACACACACACAAAGAAATACATTATCGGCTCCACTATTCACTCGTTGCATGTTGAGTTGAAATTGCACTTCAAGTAGTCTTGATGTTACACCTGCGAGCACCCATTTGTCATTAAAATCCAGGTTCTTCCTGTTCATGGCTGTTCCATTAATACACAGCTGGAGAAAATTGCTGTTCCTCGTAATGAGACACCTACAAATAACATCCATTATAATCAGCATATGCATAATACCTCTTGTGCTGCCACTTGTGAGAGAGAAAAGAGAGCAGGCTGAAAAGTGTCTGAATCATGAGGCAATCCGTGTTTGTTGTTGCTCCAAAGAAGGAAAAAAAAAAGACTGATAAAAGTCAATTTGACTTCACTGAACAACTAAAACTACAAAGTCAGGTCAACTTTTTACTCTCAAAAAGTTCAGTTTGGATATCCTCATCAATTTTCCCCCCTCAAAGCTAGCAAACAAGCTTCTGATCACGTTGAATGCTTCATTTAGTGCCAGCAGTGCTATAATGAAAAAGACCACTTCAGTTCTGGTTGAATAATGGACACACTGTTGTGATGATAATGTCTCAGATTTATTTTTTTTAATGTTCCCTTGCTCAGCTCGGAGACAAAAACAAGAGTTCTCTTGAAAGAGCAGATATGTTTCAGGCTGCAGAAGATGCTATCATGAATCAATGTGTTCTAATGTGAAGGGAAAAAAAACAGGACAAAAATCAGACGCACTCAAATATGCAGCTTTCCAACACATTTCATAAAAACTAAACGCACTCTTAGGTGTTCAATTTAAAATGAAATATAACTTTAAAGTTTTCACACCTCGTGTTTGTACTCGCATCATGACAGAGACTTCAAGAGACCTGATATCACATTTGAATGAAACAAATTAAAATGTAAAAAAAAAAAAACACAACATACACATAAACACATTCGGTTGTCAGCAGTTCAATCGTAAGTTTTTAAGACCTGGAAATGATCACATTCACTCCCCTTCCTTGTGTTAACCAGTATTTTATGTATTTTTTAAATAATGTGAATTTCTCTCTCTGTCTATTTTATGCAACACACCCACAGGACACATCTACTGCTCTTGGAGAAGGAGAAAGTGAACACAAACCATCTGAGCCAGCGAGGCTCGACTGACATCTAATCAAGTCGGAGCCATATTTTGAAGAAAGCCATGAGGTCATGTAGGTGTGGTTCCCTCTGTTCAAGAGTACAACGATGATTCATAAGAGCCTGAAGTCTCCGAGCGATCCCCCTGACAGATCTCTAGTTTAGATGCCAGATGGACATTAAGTGGATTTCAGGGGATGAACTCCCTTTCATTCTCAGTTTAAACTTCTTCCAGTAAGAGAGAGAGAGAGCATTAAAAAAAAAGAGGGACATTTAGATGATCTTGGCACAACTATTGAGCGTTTCATGAACAATGGACAATAATGGCATGACTCAATTCTCCTCCATTTGTTTGCTATTATTTGTACAGGAAATCTTCCAATAAGTCCCTGAACAAATCGCACACAGCCTCACAGCAAAGAGTGAAGCACCTCCTGACTGTAATTATGTTGAATGTGAGCAATGTGCCAATGTCCATTTCAAAAAGGACACTGGGAGTTTTTGTCGTCCTAAGTGGCAGATGCAATCACGGGGGCTCGACGGGAGGAAAAAAAAAACAAAAACATGAGGCCAGAGGCAGCTCAGATGACACGGGCTGCCTCTGGCCTCGACAAAAACACAGCGACACATCTTTACCGCTGCCAACACAGACCTGTTTATTAACATAGTCACTTGACACTGGCATATGCTCGAGGCTGCGTGGGTGAGGAAGTCGGGTATGAATGCTAACAGGCTGTTTCTGTCTACTGGAGTTTCTTTGTGACAGCTAGACGCCCCTCTGCTTAAAAAAAAAAAAAAAAAAAAAAAAAAAAAGTGAAGCAATCACAAAATGACAAATTGAACTCACACAATTTGCATAATTTTCACTGACCACATGTCACAGAGCAATCAGTCAATAAATAAATAGTCAAATTAAATGTCTAAAATATGACACGAATCTGTTAAATTAAAGTTTGATCAATGACTCCTGAATACAGAATAGACCGAAAACTGAAATGACAGACATGCAGACACACACATACACACACACACAGACACACACACACACAAGGCAGCATTGCATAGTATTAAAATCAAGACAAACACCAGCGTCTGCACAAGGCCAGGTACATGTGAACACATGTGCAAAAGTGCATGTTACAGGCAGAAAAGAAAACTGGATTTACTGAATATGAGTCGGATAAGGTGGTGTAAACAGAATAGAAGTACATTGAGATTAAAAGCCCAAGACTTTCTATGTTCCCCTCTCCTCAAGGGAGTTGTTTCAGTCCTATTGGTTGAAAATTCTGTTGAACATTATTTATTTTTTTAGCCAGGGATTATTAAAGTATCACTCCTGGACCTTCAGTCAAGTTTACATATGTTGATGGCCAGGATGAACTGAATAAGGTTAGTATTGAACCTCCATGACTTGTGTCTTTAACTTGAGTATCAAAGACTGTCCAACACAGAAAGCTGTTTCCATGTTTCAAATGCTCAAACTCTTAAGAGTTAAAGAGTTAAAAGCACTGCATCTTAAAGACCTTCTTATTCTTTAGTATGCAACTCCAAGCGTGGGCGAGCTGTTGAATAATACCACTTATATCTCCCAGTTTTGATCTGACAGGTCTGCAGAAAGCATCAATCTTAAAGCTTTACCACAGCAAGTAAAGACGTTAGCGCTACGGTCCGGATTGAAGGAAGGTCCAAGACATGTCTAAAGAGAGTCGTCAATTGTAGTTTGTCAGATTAGTTTTAGCTCGCATTTTATTTCAGCAGTGATTTTGTAAACTAGCCATGTGTTGATATATTCAGATTCTGCCCAATTATTATGTTTTTTAAATTCTAGTAAGCTTTCTTTGAGGAATCTTAAAACATTTTTAAATTGAAAAACATTCAAAAAAACAGTCTGAATGACAGATCTCTTCTTCTGGATGTCATCTTAGTTTTGAATCGGTGTCTGTTTTTAGAATGATTCAGGTTGAAAGTTGAGCAGTATGAGTTATAACAGGCTGTGTCTGATATTGATTTACGGAGAATATGCGTAGAAAAAAAAAAAAAGAGTTGGTCCTGAACTATGGCCACCATGACAGAGAGTAAATGTAAATATCTTTGTTGGAAAAAGGCGAGGAGTAAACTACTCCTGAAACCATTCCATGTAGTTCCATCGATGATGATGGCCGGGGGGGGGGGGGTTAGGGGTTCTTCCACGTCCACACTGAGCGCTGTCACTGTCAGCTGGTGCTGAGATGTGATGAAGCGGCAATGTTTTTGGTTTCTCTTTTGGAGCTGAGACCATTCTTTTTTTGTTGTTGTTGTTGTTGTCGTCCCCGGATGTCCAGGTCCGTCTCTGCTGCATGTCCAGACCATGTGCGACACATCGGACTTCATCAGTCTGTTTGTCCTTTTTGTTGTTGTTTCAAAGTCTTTATGTCAGACGTTGTAGTCCGGCGCTTTCCCCAGCGGTTGTCTCAGTCTGATCTGCAGAGTCATGAAGGCCCCCACGGACACATGGAAGAGGATCTGCCACATGTTTCTCAGTTCATACAGATACATGTTGGACAGGCAGATGAGTGCAAACGCCAGGAAGGACTTGCTGTCTCTCCAGATGGAGAAGTAGGCAAACAGGTAGCACTGAAAGGAGAATAGAACAGAGGAGTTGGAATGCTGCTCGGGTTTTGGACCGACATTGAGCGGTGACATGTTTTCATTTTGGATGCCCTTCATGGGACAATGAGTCTGCTCACCAACTAAGAAATGTGATAACTTTGCCCCCCCCCCCCCCATGAGGTCGACCAATTTGTGGCGCTCCATTAGGTATGAGGAGCTGCACAAAAGGAGCTGATGAAAATGTTTTAGAGAAGGTGGTGGGGTTGAAAGGCATTGAGCTTTTGCTAATGTTAGTCTGGCTGACAGGCTGCTGAGCTGTAAAGTGCAGGGCTGTTAGTCAGCCAGTCAGCCGGTGACGGGCTGCTCTTACCGCAGACTATCACTTACCTGATACAGACAGGCTGCTGTGCCGAGGAAGAAGGCAATCACATAATTAAAGTCTTCATCGTCATTCTGAAAAAGAAAGAGATTACTTTTAGGTACTATTCATCCGTGTTTAGACAAAGCATCAAGAAAGCATTATGACAGGAGCATTCAGATGTCCCTGATATTCATCAAGTCTCATCTACTTACAAGAATGAGGTGACATTTACAGAGAAAAGTGTGATCATCAAATGTCAGACTGACCCTAATGTGCACCAAAGTAAGGGATGAATTTGATGAAAAAGGAAAAATCACCTCATGTTTGTTGCCCAATCAGACTTTTTTGAAGCAGTGTCACAAGATCTCATTAATTGACTGACTGCAGCCCACGTCGACTGTAACATGCCACCTGGTTTATAAATGGCCACAAAAGTATTATGTAATATGATTTTTCTAACTAGAAATGAGACAAATACCCGGGCTAAGATTTGAGAGTGGTTGGTGCTAATGACACTCTGCACAATGCTGACTTTAAGTTTCAGGCTGTATGGAATCAGAATTTCTCTCCTCACCTGTAATATGCTCTCTATGGCATGGACTCCTCTCAGCAGGTTCAGGCCTCCACAGAGGACGCTGAGCACACAGGACACGATGCCTGGAAGAGTCACCGGCTCCAACATCTGAGTGGGAGCTGGATGACAGACAGCACAGCGTATCACTGACTCAGCAAAACGTGCCTTTGCATATAAGTTACAAAAGCAAGAGAAAAAAATCGTTCAAATAATATAACACAAACTGAAATGCAATTATTACTAGGACAAAAGCATGAATCCTCAAAAAGAACTGATAAGCCAGACTCCGCTGTTTTAAAAAAAAAAAAATCTTCGTCCTCCAAAACATTCTCGCATAGTAACAAGAGTGATGCGTCACTATTATCAGATGAGCGTACTTTATCCTCCAGAACTAAAATGATTTATGCTCCCAGAAACAAAGACTGGCAAGGGCACGCAGCAGAGAGTGAACAAAGTGTGGAGAGCGGCTCTGAAGAGGATGTCAGGGGGAACGTAACAGCTCTAAGTGACCTGAGGTGGCATCGCTCACTGAGGGGAAGCTGAGGTTTGACGGTGCGAAGAAAAGGGGGGACGTTTTGAGAGCAAGTGAGGGTCAGGGGATCTGGACCACAGAGCTACAGTGGAGCTGTTTGAAGATATATCTGTTTATATGACTTTTTATTTGTCTTATTTCTTTATGTGGTGGAACAGATTCTATGTAGCTGATGAGCACATTGAGTTGATCTAAGAAGCAAGTCATTAGTTAGATTGGACATTGGCCCAATTTGTATGTTGCCCTGCTTTGAACTGTTTCTTGCAATGTCTCTCTGTTCAGCGCAGTTTAGAGAAAACTAATTTTAAATGATAACAAGGTTAGCAGAAAAGGTCCTTCCTTTCTCAAAGGAAGAAAGTGCAACATCTTACACATAAATAAAACAGAAATCAAGTATATCCTCTGTAAATATCTCTGAGTCATGACTGTCTACAGTGAGTGAGACGTGCGAGTCCCGCCAGCTGTGTTGTTGTTGTCGAAGCCGTGTTTACATCGTGTTTACATCATGTTTACATGGACGTGACGACCGGCTCCTCCCCTTGTGTATATTCATGCAAATGTGAGGGGAGGGGTGGTGCATTGCAGAGGCTTCAGAATGATGGAGATGTGGCCAAACAGAAGTTTGTTTTGGTTTCATGCTGGTGCTCAAGGGCGACATCTACTGGATCAAAAAAAAAAAAAAAAAAGAAATCACACATTCTACCTAATGTGCGCTTCAGTAATGAGCCTTTTGTATTGTTTTGCAACACACCTGTTTGCAGAAACTCATTCTCCTTTAAAGCTTAAGGCTTACTATGCTACTTTAAGGGCAGGTTTTAAGACCAAAACAATTGCTCTTGGACATTTGGACGCACTTCCTTCATCCCTCAGCCTCAACACTTCCACTGCTCCTCCTCCCATTCTGTTTCATCAGCATGTGACTGTGAGACGGGGAGCGGCAGACAAGTGCTGACAAACGTCTGAAAACAAGGTTCTGGGATCAATTTCAAGTGAGTGTACGCCATCTCAAAGTTAATTAGGTTGTTATCTGTTTGTCATTTTAGGCAAAAGAAAAAAAAAACGATTTGGTTTGGAAAGTCTAACGACTCTCCGCCATTATGCCCTTTAAATAAGTGTCCCTGAGCGAGCGGGGCCATCTTGCTTCCCCCTCGTTGTGGCAGGGCTAAAAGTTAAAGAAAAAAAAACACTTCTGAAACATGTTTGAGCCTCTGAGTGAAACACAAACAAGCTGAAGGAAATGCCGTCCTGTCAGCGTGAACACAGACCTGAGAAAAACTAATCAAGAGGGAGTTTGACATCGCTCTCATTTTAGGAAGGCATTACTCTACAATATGATTACGTAGGGTGAATTTGATTTTTGCTGTATTAAAATTCGCAATATCACACATTAACCCTTAAACTCTAAGTGATCTGTAGGCCAAGTCATAGTCTACCTTCAAACATTAAGACGGGCATATGGAATATATCACAGGTTTTCATACAAAAGGATATAAACAATGACAGGTTCATCAAAGCATCCAGCATCTTATACAGGTGTAGTAAAGGATTCAGTATTCTGAGGGAAACTACTTGCGACCTTCGTCTGTCATTGTGTTACTAAGGCCGGTGCTACAAGTGTTAATAGTGCCAAGTAATGAGAGTCAGATTAGACGAGATAACTCCTTATTGATCTCCAGGATGGAAATGAAGTAGGTACTCATATTAGAAAACCTCTTTCATACTTGGATAGAGCGCGTCTGTGTGTGTGTCCTACCTATGCCTTTGTATTTAGAGGACGTGTGCATTGAGAATCCGTTGATGGCCCGCAGGTCCTCATGGGAGAGCTGGTAGGGCGGTCGCAGCTTGATCTCTGTCTGCATGTCAGCCAGGTTGATCCTGGTGGACAGGGAGCGCGGGCTGTTGTAGCGCTGTTTGGTTTTCTGGATGAAGGTGTCTGATGGATGAGAGGCAACACAAGGTGGTAAATGACACGGGGAATGAAACGAGAACCTGTGTGTAAGAGAAGGACTCTAAAAGAAGTGTCAGAGTTCGGTCTTATTGGATTGTAGTTTAACAGTTCAAGTTTTTAAGTGTCTTGTTTTAGCTTTTCAAAATGTGATTCTTTACAGTTTTGTTATGTTTTAATTTAATTTTAATTTCAAATAGAATATCTCTGATTTTTAGATTGTTGGCTGTGAAAGACATTTGAACATTTCCATTTGGCCTTTAGATCTCACAACCGACATTCTGCATTCTCTCACATGAAGCCCTGTTCAGACTGCCGTTTCAAGCTGTGATATTTACGACTCTCCTTTCTGCTCAGTTTTTTTTTTTAAACACATAGAGGAAAAATAACAACCCGTCACCAGAAAGGGAAAATAAGAAATACCAAGATTTCCTAGTCCACAAAGGCAACACAAATTGCACATCTATTTGAAAAAAATTGCTTCATTTTGTGTGGCCAATTTTGTAGAAATCATGACACATTCTTCATTTTGGGATGGATCCTTTCCCCCAGAATCCCTGATAAGAAAATATGCTCTTGCTTTTTTCGACTCGGGGGGACAGCATCATAAATTTTAACCATGTGATGGCAGTCACTAACAGTCTGAAACACGCTGTAAAACTCATTGAAGCTCACCAAATTCAATAAAGGAGTACGGCCGCACGGCACTGCTGATTCGTTTGGTGTCATAGGTGACGATAAACTCCTTCTGCAGCTCGTCCAGGAAGCAGAAGGCCAGCACATTGGGGTAGTTTGCGGTGCACACCATCAAGTATCCAACACCCAGAGCGCTAGTAAAACTGGAACACACACACATGCAGTAACATTACAGCTTTTATACCACACTATTCTTTTCTCTTGACAAAAAAAAACCCTGGGAAACTGTAATTGGGACACCAAGCAAAGCACAGCACAGATTTCAGGACAACAACAAACACAATGGCATCATTTCTGTTCCAGCTTGTTGCTGCTCTACACTAAGAACAAACACTATTTCAGAACATTTGTGCCTAAAATTCACACTTTCACAGCTAATTAAACACACAAAAAACCACAGTCACATTCATATGCACCTCAGCAGACACGTTATCTTTTGGGCCTGCGGTGTTAATGGATACACAGAGCACAAATTAAATTCCCCAGACACAAAGACTTCTGCATTATCTGAATAGCTCAGAGAATAATTTAGGGGAAATTTGGTTATCACAACACCGTCTAAATTGATGTGGAACCAAAATGTCAACAAATGGTACAGACGGGTGTGATGATTATCATGTGGCCCGACAAAATACAAACAAAAAAAAGCCCCAAAAGTATGTGAGGAATGAGGGTGAATAAGTCACTGTGTTGATGCAGAGCCATAGAACTGATAAATACACATCGATTTCAAAGGAGGCATACGAGTAACTTACTCTCCTAATGTAAAATGATGGTTGCCTCCAGTTTCACAGCAGTGGAAAACACACATTCTCTTCACAGTTAATAAACAATTTCAAGTTTCTTCTGTTATCACTATGTGTTGGGAATATTTTTCTAGCAGTAGGTAAGTTGTGTTCAATTATTTAGCTTCTCTCAGGAGCGGACTTCTAAAAGTTCTTCACAAGAAAATAAACTACGATGTAAGAGCCACGACTTCAAAGACCCGGTCTCCTTTAGCCCGGAGGGAACAAGAAACCAACAAGCCCTGATCAGAAGAGCTCAGAATCCAGACGACCATAAGAGTTTACCAGGCAGGTCATGCCTAACCATGTAGGGAACAAAGACAGAAATGTTGAGGGAAACAGTTTGTGTCTTGCATCAACAAGTGCGCCATTGTCCTTCTAGTGGACACGTTTATTTCCACTTATCATGACAGTGTCCTGACAGGATGCACAGACAAGTAGTGCCTGTAAGATTTCACTACTGCCGTATCATGAAGCGTTCTAACTGAACGCCTGCTGGATGGTTGTTTTTCATAGAATTTCTAAACTGGCCACAAACAAGGAGCCGAGTCATGCAATTTTGAGCTGAACTTTAGTCATACACCCTGAACTTTGCTGAAAACCTTATTTTCTACCCGTCACTTGCATTGAGGCAGCTGATGTATGAAACTTAAATGAGGGTGTTTCTATATAAATGAGGCGGGAGTTGGCTGGAGGGATCTGATTGGGAGCTGAAAGTTACTGGGTGCAGTAAGTTTTGTGACAAAAAACAGCCCACTTGCTATTGACGAGGGTAGATTTTAAAACTTGGATATGATACCAGTTCAAATTTAACTATATTGAAATTATATAATTATATCTTGAATTATTAAAATTTAAATACTTTATTAATCCCTGAGGTAAATTCTTACACTTAGTTATTGAGAGACATGCTTCTCACATGTGCACAAACAGAACCTGCGGACAATTGGAGACATGTCAGAGTGGGGCTACTACACAGGGAGCCCACCAGAGAGGTTGGGGCCTTGCTCAAGGGCACTTTGGCAGTACTCAGGAAGTGCCATGGCTCTTCTTCAGCTACTAGAACAACTTCCATATTTTTTGGTCCGCACCGGGACTTGAACAGGCGGTTCCCAACCCAAGTCCCTACAGACTGAGTCAAAATGCTGGATATCATAAACTTACTGCTGAATAAAATATTTTTTATGAAGTTGACAAAAGTGTGGTGCCAGTAGCCTAGTGGTTAGTTTGTGTGCCCCATGCACAGAGGCTGTAGTCCTCCAAGCGTTCAGAAAAATAAACCTTCAAAAAAAAAATTAAGTTGACAAGTGTCAGTCATACATCAGGGGTACAGCTGCTACCTGTGTTTTTGCATAATTATGAGTTCCAGCATGAATACATTTAAATACATTTTAAAAGCAAAGTCATTTATGTTAAGGTCACTGCAAAGTCCTATACTCGGTATATTCTAAATCCATGTATAACACGACTTGTATACCAGGCTTGAAAAGAAAAGAGACACTTTGTCCCAAAGAGGTCCAAACAAAGTCACCTATAAAGCTATTAACTCTATACACTCTCGTCCTGCTTTCATGACAGACCCCTTTCAAAGCCTTCAGAGACCCAGAGTATCACAGAGTAGATTAACCTGTGACTTTAAACACTGGCTGCATCACTCTGACCTTCACTCTCTTCTGACTCTGACCCCTCTCTTCTTCAGATGCTCTGAGCTCTGTTGATTAGAGAGACTCTTATCAAACGGAAACTTTGGTGGTTGAACGGTATGGCCGGCTCATTAACTGCAGATGCAGAGTTTTTTAGCTAATTCGCTCCGTCTTAATGGGACTAATTAGCGCGATCCAAAATAGTGTGCTTGAGAGAGTTTCAAAGCATTTCCCTGAGCACCAGTGGGGCTTTTAGGAACAGTTTGAGTCAAATCACTCAAATGAAAAGGCGTTTTTCCATCAAAGTTATTTTAGAAAGGGTCAAGAAGAGCGAGAAAACTGTTGAGTAGAAAACTGCTTAAGCGTCACATCAGGAGACGCATGTAATTATCTAAGCCTCCAAAATTAAACTGGAAATACTCTCGATTACAAGATGTCTTTAATGAATTCAATAAAATTCAAACGATGCTGTTCTTACCCAGCAAGTACGCAGCGCTCTCCAAAATTAAAAGGGTATCATTACTGGCTTATTCTTCACGTTTAGTTAATGTGTGGTCCCTTTAAAAATCACAACCATTGGGGTTTTAAAATAGACATCCCATATGACGTACTTGACATTATATGGTCCAGTCTTCAGTGTGCAGCGGTCGGGAAACTGGCCGAGTTTCTTGGAGAGACCTTTCAGGTTCTTCTTGGTTTCCTGCAGCTCTTTGTCCTGCTCATAGTCAGTCGATGCGGAGAGCGGCAGGCCGTCTCCGACCCGGACCACGGAGGCAAACAACACCATCGACATCTTACAGCTCTGAATATCTCATTGAAGGCCTGCAAGTAAATACAAACAGAGAAAGCTTGTTGAGGTGTAGCAAAGATATGAGCTAAGTTTGAGCTTTTATTCACTGCTTTAAGGATCTTCATTTCAGCAGAAAAAACAACAACTTTTAATTCAAGGGTCAAGTAACACTCAGAGGGGGCTTCCAAAGTTTGAAATATTACCTTTAAAAGACGTAAATACTTGTTTAAACACACTTTGCTTTTCTGATCATTCATTTTATTTTGCAACTACAATAACTGTTAACCAAACATAACTGCATTGTCGAACAGAAGTTATATAGTTCATGCTGTTATCTAGTGTTGTAGAAGTCATCTTGTCTCGGTCTAGGACTGGGCAGACTCTGGATTTGAACTCAAGACCAGTCAAAACCACCACTGATAGGCTATTTTTCCACGGCACCACTGTGATGAAAAGGAAATGCTGATTTCTAAAAGAACAAAGAACTTCAATTCAATCATAGTTTGATTTTTATCCCCCGGTTATGGCAGCAACCACCGGTGTTACGGTTTAAGTGGGGCACACCTGCTGCACACAAGATGATGATTTGTCAGTGATATCTATGTGATAGCTTGGTCTTGTCTCGGTCTCGGAGCACTCTGGTATAGGGTATGACTCGGTCTCGTTTAGTGTGGTCTTGACTACAACACTATTGTTATTAATAAACCTGAAATGTGCATATAAAAAGCATAAATCTGCAATAATACTGTAGGAGTGCTGACCAATTGGGTAGGTCTGCAATGTCCTAAAATTTAAAATTGCAAATAATCTTTTCTTTCACAACTTTCTGCTTAAAGTGTTTTTCTACATACAGTATGCCCCATTCATATACTTTGCACTCCTATCAATTTCCTTAAAGTAATATCTACTTTATGACAACAAACATTTCAATTTGTTACCGATTCTTTTAGCTGTTTTCATTCATTTTTTGATCTGTTATCGGTCCCTGTTTCCATGGTTAAGTCAATGTGGTAACCTTTGATCTAGCAGAAGGTCTTACTTTATTTCAAAATAAAAGCATGCTTAAATTCAAACAGCGAGTCAAGTACTCTCCGCTTAAGACAGTACAAATATTCTAATTAAATGTCTAACAAAATTGAATTCATAAATGTGAAATAGTAGCCTTTCAAACTTGTTATTAGAAATTTGATTAATCATGATTCACTATAGAAATGTAGCGATTAAAACTGGTAACCATTTGACAGCCCTAGTTAATAGACATTTAAGAGTGTGACATTTAAGAGTGTGAACACATTGGATTAACTATAAGGCAATAAAATGAAAATGTTAGGTAACATTTGCTGCTCTAAACACTAAACACATCAGGCTAGCAGGTCGGATCATGCAGGACCCATCACACGCTCTCTTCCCGGCGTTTGAGTGGCTCCCTTCAAGACGCCGGCTTAGCTGTCCCTGCTGCAGGCCACAGAGGAGAAGAGCAACCTTTTTTCCTAGGGCTGTCCAGCTCCTCAACTCCTGTCCCAGATGTGATAAGGTTTATTATGTGCTCAAAGGGCATTCAAAAAACTGTTGCCTTCATAAACTAAAACGTGTCAGTGTAATTTCAGCAGCATAAGTTTATTGATTTATTTTTTTTACAATGTTTAACTTGTTATTAAAAAGTAACCTGAGCAGGTGTACAAGTCTGAACTGTCGATGCTGCACTTAACCCAATGTGTAAAAGGGAAATTCTAAATGTTCCTAATAAAGAAAAAAAGTGTTGCATCAGGTCCCTTTGCTGTACTGAAAATGTACCGAACCAAAGCTTCAAAACTTGGAACCGTAACGAACCGAAATTTTTATGTACCATTACACCCCTAATATATTAGTTCTGTTGTTCCATTATTCACCATGCACATTATTAACTTATCATTTAGTACTACTACTGATACTACTACTACACACAGTTCTGTTTACATCTGGTCATTACTACACATAGTTCTGTTTACATCTGGTCACTACTACACATAGTTCTGTTTACATCTGGTCACTACAACACATAGTTCTGTTTACATCTGGTCACTACTACACATAGTTCTGTTTACATCTGGTCATTACTACACACAGTTCTGTTTACATCTGGTCACTACTACACATAGTTCTGTTTACATCTGGTCACTACTACACATAGTTCTGTTTACATCTGGTCACTACTACACATAGTTCTGTTTACATCTGGTCATTACTACACATAGTTCTGTTTACATCTGGTCACTACAACACATAGTTCTGTTTACATCTGGTCATTACTACACATAGTTCTGTTTACATCTGGTCACTACTACACATAGTTCTGTTTACATCTGGTCACTACTACACATAGTTCTGTTTACATCTGGTCACTACTACACATAGTTCTGTTTACATCTGGTCACTACTACACACAGTTCTGTTTACATCTGGTCACTACTACACACAGTTCTGTTTACATCTGGTCACTACTACACATAGTTCTGTTTACATCTGGTCACTACAACACATAGTTCTGTTTACATCTGGTCACTACTGCACATAGTTCTGTTTACATCTGTTAGTCCGATCACTGTCCACTCATATCTACTCTTTTTATATTTTGTATTTTTAAGTTAAGTTTAAGCTTTCAGTTGTATTTAAATTGACACTTTATATTTTAGGTTTAAAATGCTTCGTCTACTTGCACTGTTGTTAATTTACTGCTCTGTGTGCCTTTGAATTGCCCCCTGGGGACAAATAAAGTGTCATGAACTGAACAGAGAGTGTGTTACAGTCTATGGTTGGGGGGGTCGGTTGAACAGACAGTGTGTTACAGTCTATGGTTGGGGGTCGGTTGAACAGACAGTGTGTTACAGTCTATGGTTGGGGGTCGGTTGAACAGAGAGTGTGTTACAGTCTATGGTTGGGGGTCGGTTGAACAGAGAGTGTGTTACAGTCTATGGTTGGGGGGTCGGTTGAACAGAGAGTGTGTTACAGTCTATGGTTGGGGGTCGGTTGAACAGAGAGTGTGTTACAGTCTATGGTTGGGGGGTCGGTTGAACAGAGAGTGTGTTACAGTCTATGGTTGGGGGGTCGGTTGAACAGAGAGTGTGTTACAGTCTATGGTTAGGGGGTCGGTTGAACAGAGAGTGTGTTACAGTCTATGGTTGGGGTTGGTTGAACAGAGAGTGTGTTACAGTCTATGGTTGGGGGTCGGTTGAACAGAGAGTGTGTTACAGTCTATGGTTGGAGGTTGGTTGAACAGACAGTGTGTTACAGTCTATGGTTGGGGGTCGGTTGAACAGAGAGTGTGTTACAGTCTATGGTTGGGGGTCGGTTGAACAGACAGTGTGTTACAGTCTATGGTTGGGGGGTCGGTTGAACAGACAGTGTGTTACAGTCTATGGTTGGGGGTCGGTTGAACAGACAGTGTGTTACAGTCTATGGTTGGGGGTCGGTTGAACAGACAGTGTGTTACAGTCTATGGTTGGGGTCGGTTGAACAGACAGTGTGTTACAGTCTATGGTTGGGGGGTCGGTTGAACAGACAGTGTGTTACAGTCTATGGTTGGAGGTTGGTTGAACAGACAGTGTGTTACAGTCTATGGTTGGAGGTTGGTTGAACAGACAGTGTGTTACAGTCTATGGTTGGAGGTTGGTTGAACAGAGAGTGTGTTACAGTCTATGGTTGGAGGTTGGTTGAACAGAGAGTGTGTTACAGTCTATGGTTGGAGGTCGGTTGAACAGAGAGTGTGTTACAGTCTATGGTTGGGGGTCGGTTGAACAGAGAGTGTGTTACAGTCTATGGTTGGAGGTCGGTTGAACAGACAGTGTGTTACAGTCTATGGTTGGAGGTTGGTTGAACAGAGAGTGTGTTACAGTCTATGGTTGGAGGTTGGTTGAACAGAGAGTGTGTTACAGTCTATGGTTGGAGGTCGGTTGAACAGAGAGTGTGTTACAGTCTATGGTTGGAGGTTGGTTGAACAGAGAGTGTGTTACAGTCTATGGTTGGGGTCGGTTGAACAGAGAGTGTGTTACAGTCTATGGTTGGGGTCGGTTGAACAGACAGTGTGTTACAGTCTATGGTTGGAGGTTGGTTGAACAGACAGTGTGTTACAGTCTATGGTTGGAGGTTGGTTGAACAGACAGTGTGTTACAGTCTATGGTTGGAGGTTGGTTGAACAGACAGTGTGTTACAGTCTATGGTTGGAGGTTGGTTGAACAGACAGTGTGTTACAGTCTATGGTTGGGGGTCGGTTGAACAGAGAGTGTGTTACAGTCTATGGTTGGAGGTTGGTTGAACAGACAGTGTGTTACAGTCTATGGTTGGAGGTTGGTTGAACAGAGAGTGTGTTACAGTCTATGGTTGGAGGTCGGTTGAACAGAGAGTGTGTTACAGTCTATGGTTGGAGGTTGGTTGAACAGAGAGTGTGTTACAGTCTATGGTTGGGGTCGGTTGAACAGAGAGTGTGTTACAGTCTATGGTTGGAGGTTGGTTGAACAGAAGGTGTGTTACAGTCTATGGTTGGGGTCGGTTGAACAGAGAGTGTGTTACAGTCTATGGTTGGAGGTTGGTTGAACAGACAGTGTGTTACAGTCTATGGTTGGGGGTTGGTTGAACAGAGAGTGTGTTACAGTCTATGGTTGGAGGTTGGTTGAACAGAGAGTGTGTTACAGTCTGTGGTTGGGGGTCGGTTGAACAGAAGGTGTGTTACAGTCTATGGTTGGAGGTTGGTTGAACAGACAGTGTGTTACAGTCTATGGTTGGGGGTCGGTTGAACAGACAGTGTGTTACAGTCTATGGTTGGAGGTTGGTTGAACAGAGAGTGTGTTACAGTCTATGGTTGGAGGTCGGTTGAACAGAGAGTGTGTTACAGTCTATGGTTGGAGGTTGGTTGAACAGAGAGTGTGTTACAGTCTATGGTTGGGGTCGGTTGAACAGAGAGTGTGTTACAGTCTATGGTTGGAGGTTGGTTGAACAGAAGGTGTGTTACAGTCTATGGTTGGGGGTCGGTTGAACAGAGAGTGTGTTACAGTCTATGGTTGGAGGTTGGTTGAACAGACAGTGTGTTACAGTCTATGGTTGGGGTTGGTTGAACAGAGAGTGTGTTACAGTCTATGGTTGGAGGTTGGTTGAACAGAGAGTGTGTTACAGTCTGTGGTTGGGGTCGGTTGAACAGAGGTGTGTTACAGTCTATGGTTGGAGGTTGGTTGAACAGACAGTGTGTTACAGTCTATGGTTGGGGGTCGGTTGCAGCAGCACCATGGACAGCTCCACACTGAATGAAGGGGCGTTGTAAGGAAGCGCTATCGTGACGTACTTTTACTAAAAACGGATGGGAAAACGTGGATATACAACACACTATCTTGCTCAAAACCTTACCTTTCTATAAACAGAGCACAGCAACACATTACAAGCTCGCAAAGACAGAACGTTTCCACTTGTTAGCTGACATTAGCAGGCAGCTAAAGGAGGGAGGAGACCGCTGTTGTTGGAGCATTTAAGATACATTTAACCGACCGCTTTGTGTTCATATTCTTCGGACGTTTTCTCCAACATGTGCAGGAAATCTGCCTTTCGAGAACCCACCAAAAACAAGCATGCATCATGCAAAGTAATTCACGTAGCCACCGTTAGCAGCTAAGCGTGCTACCGTTAGCATGCTAGGAAGCTAACTTTGCTACATTGCAAACACACCTCAGGTGGAAGCTATTACTGACCCCGAATCACGTGTTTGAACGACCGATTTTATTTACCTGGAAAACGGGTGTAGCATCATGTAGACATCCTTGGTTTGCAGATGTGAAACTAACCAGAGTAAAAAGAGGCAGCTAGCAAACAGTGCTGTGATTCCTCCCTTCCTGACGTTTACGTGGCTGTTTCGCTGTGCATTGTGGGTAGAGAAAACCTCTCATAAGCATCGCAGAGCATCAGATTTTAAATGGTATTTGGATGGTAGAGGGGATTCAATAGATTATTTAAATGCAAATTAAATTTGTGAATAAATAATAAATATAATTATCATTATTATTATTATTATTATTATTATTATTATTAATAATAATAATAATAATAATATTATTATTATTATAATTATAATAATAATAAATAATATCAGGATCTTCCGTGAAAATCTTTTAAAAGCACAAACGACTTCCTTTTTTTTTAAAGTTAGATTTCTCAGTTATATCTCTTTATTTGTTCTTCATTCTCTTAACTTGTGGTCTCACTTTCTCATTAATCCAGCTTTGTCCTGTTGCAGAAATATATGATTTGTATTTTAATAATTTGATCGCATTATTGATTATGTTCCGGGTATTCTCACACAGGGAGTTTTCAACTTTCAAAAAAAAAAGTAAATAATGCTTGAGGTTATCTTCAAACAGGTTTTTCTTGAATTTTACTGCTGGTGGCTTTCCAACTTACAAATGTTATTTTTATGTTGATAAAGGTATTTTTCTCTCCTTTTGAAATAGTTTTTTTTAATTATTTATATGTCCTCTGAAGCATTACATAAATGATTCAATTACACACACTATCACTGTATGAAAATACACACCACAGCTGAGAGGTATAAGCTAAAAAGAAAAGAAAATCCGATGTTCACCTGTTCTTTATTCTTTCATTCATACATTTCAGTCTGTCTTATATTTATTTGTGGAGAACTTTGTGACATTTGCTCTGAGAAATGGGCTGCACCAAACAAGCTTTACTTTCCTTCTCATGTCTAAGGTTACTTTACAACATTTTTTGTCAGAGCTTTCAGAGGACACCTCATGTAACATTTTTCTACACCGATCAGCAAATCAAAGTGGCCGGAATAAAATGAAATGGATTGCATAAAAAAAAAAAAAAACATGGCATAAAAACAGGAATAAAAGTGCTAAGAAGATATTTCCAAAATAAATTGACCCCAAAACAATTTCCAGATAAATTCCATGCACTTCCCACACTTTGTTGGTAGATGGTTAATGGTGTGATTCTGCAGTTATTTCACTCCTTTCTCTCTGAGACTTTTAATATTAATGAGCTCATTAACTCAGTGTCAGATGCTGTGTTACATAATTTAAGATTCACTACATTTAGGCTTTCTTTTTATTTTGATATCATCGTGCTCCAGTTGCTACTTTCCAACAGAAAACAAGAAACAAATTAGCTCCACTCTCCAGCATCCCATGCAGGGATTTTATTTTCAAAGTTAATATTAAAATAACATGAAAAATGTATAATGTTTAACCAAGAGTCGACCAAGTTTGAGTTCACCACTCGAAGCTGAAGTAGGCCGTTCACTTGTGTCAGCATTTTTGCTGAATTTCCATACACTTCCTGTTAGAATATGAAAGAAAACATGACTGTGGCCAGAGGAAATAAAAACAATACAGAAAGGATTAGTGGCCTCATCCTTCACACATACCATGCAATCTCCCCGGAGCTCAGAAAATGTGACAGCCTGAAGGGACCTTTAAACACATGGCCTGGATAAGAGTGTATGTGAGAGAGACAGACACACACACACACACACACACACACACAGAGTAAAGGCACATGATGGATGTCTGCTGCTGCTGACATCTTGATGAATAGTCGCAGGTCTCAGTAAGTGTGCGGTGCAGAGGATGTCAGGTGTGTGAAAGGCAGTGTCGTCATTCACACAGACACAAACACAGCTGCAGACACATCAGTATTCAAACGCATCAGCACCAAAATGTATCTTTCCCCCCGGTGTCATCATTATGCATTTCAACTTTGAGCTCAGGCATTTTTGAAAAGTGTGACATATCTAAAAAAATATGCCTGTCGGACAATCTCTGGTTTTGACATTTTGTTTTTTTTTTAATCATAAAATGTTATTTTTTAAGAACTGCCTGTCTTTGGGTGAGAAGACTGAAATTCTGCAGCCTGAACACTTGTCCTTGGAAGCTGCACTGTTCAGAAGACCTCATAAAGACTATTGGATGTACCAAGCTGACAATTACATTAAGTTTGTTCTGAGGTTGGTGCTAAAATGAAGGCCATAGAGGTCATGAGAATCCAAGGATTTTTATGTTGTGAGGAGAGGGTGAATTATGCCAAGCAAAGACACTGAAATCTAAGGAAGAAATGGAAATAACACAGCAAAGAGGGCTTGGAACAGTCAAACTAAAAGCAAAGCTGGCAGCTGCTAAATATGATTCAATACCTTTCAAAGCAAACTTTACTTTACAGAGGAATTCCAGTATTTTAAAACAACGTCCCTTTTTTTTTTTTTTTTACATATTTTGAGGTCTAAATTACTAAACTGTCCAAAAAAGTTGTGGGATTACTTCAGTAGATTGCTTCAGCCAGCAGCAGTGCTATTGGCTGTAATGGCTGCAATTTAATCATTGGGGGGAAATGGGCTATATTTAAGAGCATCCAAAAAAGTGAATGTTTGCCCACTGATACGTTCAGATTGTTATGCAAGTGCCCAAAACATTACAGAAAGGGAGGAATACTTTTTATTTCTGCTTTAGAGAAAAAAACATTTATGAAGAAGAATATCCTGCTTTTGAAACCCAAACAGATCATCTCTCCTCAAAGCCAGCAGAGTCCATTGACAAACAGCTAATTTACCCGGCAAGAACTTAAGAGTTTCTGCTCTATTGCTGCCAAGATCACTAAGGTTATTTGTTGATAATGTGTAACATATTATACTGTGAACTAACAGAAAAACAAATAACAATAAGATCATCAAGGTTCAAGTTCAGTGTTGCAGGCGTCACAGCCCGGCTCTTAGTCTGAGACAAAGATGGGAGACACACAGGTATAAACTAATTATAAACTAATTAATAAACTAATTAATTTACAAGGATAATTATCAAAACGTAAAAAAAGTTGTAGATTTGAAGAATCTGTAGAATCAGTGGTGAAAGGATGGGGTTTGTGGAAATGTGCTGTAAAACCAAAGACAAAGAAACCTAAAAGCAAAGATATGTGGTTCGCTCAGATGAGTCTCTTTCAAGATCTCCAAAAATCTGACCGCTGCTCTGATTTAAGCATGAGCCCAGTCTGGCCCAAGTGGGTCTCATCTCTAGATTGCTTGCTCAAATGAAGTTCGAGTGAAAACTTTTGGTTGTTGGGGTTCACACATACAGCTCAAATATCAGGAGTTTTTCAGGAGTTTTCTGCAAGTGTGAAAGTCCTACAGGTCTGCAGCCCTGGAGACAGAAAGCAATCACCAGTAAACTCATCAATGCAGAGGGGCCATCACACTAAGTCATTCTTAGTTTGACTGGTGGCTCCGCATCTGGAGCAGGTCGGGTCTGTTTCTGTTTTTTTTTTTTTTAAAAAGGATCTTTCAATGAAACATAAAAGTCTATTCTGTGAGTATACCTTCTGTAAATGTGTCAGACAGTTTTAATAACGTCTGATCCGGTCAGTGGCCAAAACAAGCGCTTCACTTCTAGTCGATGTACTTCTATCAAACTAATTCGCCTCCCAGGATTACATCGCAGCAATCACAGCCCTTCTTTACGACTGCTGGCCCAGGGAGCAATTCCAAAATTATTTTTAACAAAGTCGTAAAGACCCAAAAAAAGATATAAAGTTTTAAAGACACAGGAATTCAACTTAAAAGTTTGTTACTTTTCAGAAACACCCACAAACTTCACTCAAACACCTGTCAGTTTCCACTATCTCAAATAGCATCTACTTCCATAAACCAATAGAAATGACTATGCACAAATATCCAGTGTTTTGGTTGTTAAACATTAGAGCTTTTAATGAGGCCTGTTCATTATGCTTGATGGTTTCACCAGTCAATCAAGTGCAAGCGTTTGACAATTTTATGGTGCTTTTCTGATTGATTGCCCAAACTATAACTCACCAGTGCCTATCAACATTGTCATAAAAGCAGGATGTTATTCTTCTCGTTGTTGACTGACGGCTCCATTGAGCAGCGCAGAGACTGAACATATGGATCTTTCAGGAGAGGATGCAAATCATTTTGATGACTGCATCGTGAGCAAAGGGAAATCTTTATCTCTTCAGAGCAGATTCACAGAGGTCTGTTTATTTCATCGACTCTCTGACCTCACATTATGGAATTACAAAACATTTATTTATAACATCAGGTTAAAACGAAAGTATGTGCAGAAAAGATGAAGTCAAGGTGACGCATCTGACAAACACAGCAGTCATGTGCTGCATGATTTAAAGGACTTACTGATGGCTGTAGCTCATTTGGTAGAGTCAGTCATCTCTCAACTGGAAGGTCGGGGTTTGATTCCCGGCTCCTGCAGCCACATGTCCGATGTGTCCTTGGACAAGACTCTTAACCCCAAATGGCTCCTGCTGCTTCAGCAACAACCTAAGCAACCTCTCTCAGGAAGTCGGGGTTTGATTCCGGTTGCAGCCACATGTCCGATGTGTCCTTGGACAAGACTCTTAACCCCAAATGGCTCCTGCTGCTTCAGCAACAACCTAAGCAACCTCTGCCATCAGTTTGTAGATGGGTAGGTTTGACATATGTTGTAAAAGCGCCTACTCAAAGCGCTATACAAGCTCAAGTCCATTTACCATTTATAAAGAAGCAGAGGTGAAGCAAAGGACGAGGTGGTGTTTGACGTCACAAGAGATAAAATCCCAAACAGCCTTAAAAGCACAATTATCCGTAAAGGGAGAATGGCTTCTGTTAAGGACACTTTAATCTCAGCAGACCTTGGCTTTGTTTTAACAACCCTGTGCCCTCCATTTCTTATGCACCGCTTAAAATGCTCGTCCCTCCCTTCGATGAAAACGCCACGAAAACGCAATAAGGCAATGCTTGCAAGACATGAAAAAGTGCTCCACCTCTTTGAAAATCCTTTAAAGTGAAATTGGGATTGAGAGGGTATTTCTGCCTGCGCTCGCGAGCATTAATCAGACTGATATGGCTCAACGCGGACGTGAATCCCAAAAAAAAAACACACTTTATCCAAGCAGCCTCGAATGACCTGCAGACTTCTAACAAGGAACACAAGAAACTTTTGGGGAAAAAAATCCCCCTAGTGCACTGAAGTCAACAGGTTTTGATCCTAAAGTATTAATCTGTAATACCTTCATGATTTTTCAAAAATAGAGAGTCATGTCAAGAATTAATGACAGTATGTTCACAGATGACATCGAGTGGTGGTGGGTCACTTTTGTGTCCTGTGTCATCATAAAGCCATCATTGTCAGATCTGCTGAGTGCTGCTCGTGGTTCATTTGTGTCGCTTTCTGAGAAAAATGTCAAAAAACAAACAGGGCAGAAAAAAACCTGCTATCACCAGGATTGTCCATCAGCCCAGCGACCCGAACAAGGTCATCTTCTATTTGTTTCATGGTGTCGACTGAGTCGTTTGGCGTTTCTAGCCTATTTTCAGAATGACTCTTAACATGTTCTCACGCTCTGGAGGTTCTTCAGTGCTGTGTCAATGACGCAACTCTCAAACACTCGTCTACAGGGTCTATTTTTGCAGTGCGGCGTCATCTTTCAGCACAGGAAGAGTGTCATTATTCAGAACACTCTCAAACACTCGTCTACAGGGTCTATTTTTGCAGTGCGGCGTCATCTTTCAGCACAGGAAGAGTGTCATTATTCAGAACAGCACAAGGATTGATGTGGATGAGGAGTTAAGACGTAATCATAGTATTGTAATCATGGCACTAAGACTGATGAATATTGATGCTGATGACAGTGATTACTCTGCCGAGGCTCTTTCCAAGTTTTCTTAATTCTGCTTTTTCATGTTTCTGAATAATTACTATAATCAGTTATGTTCATTTATAACAATAATGCCAATCTACATGCCACTTTCGCTGCTCTTATTCTAGCACAGCAGAACTCTTAATATAAAAGTTGAGGTCCGTTTGCCATCATGTTCATACTGACAAGAACGCTTTTGAGTGGGATGTTCACAAAAGTTTTAGTTTAACATTAAACATGCTCAGGCTGCATGGTGGTGCAGTGGTCTTAGCTCTGTTGCCTCACAGCGAGAGAGGGTCCTGGTTCGAACCCCTGGTCAGACAGGGGCTTTTCTGAGGAGTTTGCATGTTCTCTCCCCCCCCCACGACCTTGAATGGGACAATCTCTATAGATAATGTATGCCAGCATGCAGTGATTTCATTTGCATGCTTAGTCAACTAGCACTGAATAACCAAAATCACACATTTCCCTAATGAATGAGCAGATATTATCCTGGAGAGTAGCGTTGGGTCACCAAATCAAATAGTTGTTTGGCTGAAACCACACCCCCTACGGTATTATAAAATGTACTGGTTAAGGATCCATATTATACAAATGTTCACCTTTCATGTTGTCAGTCTGTGAAAACTATAAAGGTGCTTTGCATGACTTGCAGCTCCAAAAACTCTGTATAATTTTTATTTTTGGGCTTTTTACGCCTTTAATGGATAGAGAGGACAGTGGATAGAGTCGGAAATCAGGGAGAGAGAATGGGGGAATGACATGCGGGAAAGAAGCCACAGGTGGGAGGCGAACCTGGGCCGCCCGCTTGAGACGGCAGCCTCCATACATGGGGCGCGCACACTATCCACTGCGCCACCAGCGCCCCAAAACTCTGTATACTAGCACTGTAACACTTTGTGAGTTTTAAAATGAGATCAGCATAACAGGTCAACTTTAAAAAAAAACAATAGAAGCAGAGCTGAGGTGTGCATATTTCATATAAAGAAAAAACAGTGAAAGATGTTTTAAAATGTTTAACTTTATTTTTCTTTTTATCTCTCAGGGTCCTTACTGCAAAGGGCAAAACTGTACGTATGGCTGGGCACAACAACAAAAAAAAAAGAAAGGCAATAATGACTTCTTGGCTTAAGTGTGATATGTTCCCACAAAACATGGATACCTTTGGGATAAGACAGAGGTGATCTCTAGTATTTAGCAAACGTGATGTCACAATCAAGTGCAATAAACAAAAACAAATTGCAACAGTAAACAGAGGGTATTGTTTCCCTTGTGGAGAAGGAACACCTATTTACAGCGACATGTTGACACCTGTGTACAGCACTCATTCAAAATGCCCCTACATAGTCTTGAATGTAAAAAAAAAATCAAACTCAATGATGTTCAGAGCATTTGAGACTAGTTTGCCCTGAAATGAGTCCATCAATAATCACAATGATAACGTGTGACAAGAAACGGTTCAGTAACATCTACTGACAATACGTCTTCTTCAATACAGATGCCATGATATAACACAGAAAAAAAGAAGTCTTTATCTCTCGCTCATAGGGATACAATGTAAACAATATTCAATTTGGTGACCTAAGGACTCAAAAGGATTTCGGCTGGAATGCAAAATTACAAACAAACTAGTTCCCTTTAATTGTGTTTCGCTATCCCTGAGAAGCGTATTCATAATCAAAGAAACCAAAGTCTTGAATAATAAAACACAAGATCAGCTACACAGAAGCCTTTAAGTATTTATAGTGGCCGAAGCGCGTGGGTTGAATAACACACCATGTGAATAGAATGGCCACAAAATGAACGATGATATGTGATGACCCCCGTGGTGTTACGCTGCCGGAGAACTCGCTTACTTCAAAACTTCTTTATTTCTTGGATGTGTTACGAAGTAATCCCTGGGTTTTTGATGGAAGGCGTGGGAGAGTACTGTCCAAGCTATCTGAAGATGATCACTTCCAGCAGGCGGACACAGAACCGTCCAGGGTGTTGTGTTGTATCGGCTCGTCGGTGTTGCTCGATCAGCAGAAAGTGATGGAAACAAAAGGATGTAAAACAGACTGAAACCAAACAAAACCTTTGATTGCCTTTAGCGTAAAGCAAAGATGATATTATTTCAACATCTCTCTTTACAGTGTGTGAATGACGGGAGACGATTGGACGTTTTGTGGACTCCATGATTGATTCAGTGGATGTAGGAAAGGTTCATATCTCAGACATTTCATGATCGACGTACAATATTTTAGCCACTACCAAACTGCAGCATCTCCCATGCTTGTGAATGAGGCCTAACCTTGTTAAAACATTGATGCAATCGTATTCTGAATCAACAAGAGAGGACTGAAAAGAGGTAAAAATGTCACTACGGCTGTGAGTTGTTGTGGATGTATGAAGCATGAAAATATCAAGGGCATTGCGCAGGAATATTTGGCATTTCATGTTTGTTTTGTTCATCTCCTCAGACTCGCTCTGGAGCACGACTGGAGGGAAAAGCAAGGGCACCAGGCCTCCGATTCCCTTCAACTCTTTATTTTTCATATTTCTGCGATTCCAGCATTGTTCTGTTTCTTTAAGGCCACAGTTTTGAGCAAAGAAAAAGAAATGTAAGTCCCATCTAAAACCCCAAAACTCACTTTGAGAGCCCAGAACCATACAGCATATGGACCCTTTGCCCATATTTCCTTCAAACTGCTACAGTACCCACAGTACCACTCCACATTAGACTGAACCAGCGATGGGCTCTTCTTATCTAGACATTAGTGTTTGAAGAGAGCTGTGAGGATTTAGAATCGATATTCTGGACAGTTCTGGCCTTGAAACATGAAACTTCTGTACAAAAATATCGGAACGGACAGGTGAACGTCGATAATCACAACGCGTCTTTCCCATGCTGGATTCGGACCCACTGTGGAGCGATTAACAGCGCAGCCTCCACCTTTAATCAATGATGTGCCCACCACCACCACCACCACCCAGCACTATGGGTGTCAATCTGTCTCACAGAACCCCACAGCGAGACGCAGGGGTCAGTATTGCATAGATACAGTATAAGGTGTAGCTTTTCACATACGCAGTCACAGTGTTTGGGCAAAGACAAAAAAAAAAAGAGAGAAAAAAAATCACTTTGTGTCCATGTTTTATGCCCGTCAGAATATCCACCAAACAAAAAAAAAAAGAAGAAAAAAAAAAAGAAGGTCTTGAGTGGTCGGTCTGATTCTCTGTTGGTGTTACAAACGTGATCCCCACAGTATAAAAAAATAACCCTTTACTGAGGTCATCAAGTCTCCCATGTCAGTGCGGATAGGGCCCTTGTCAGGGTCACAGTGCAATGACAAACTGTGCAGTGCCGTGCCACGCCCCCTCTCCCCCCTCCCTCCCCTCCCTGCACGCCGACCTCAGAGCTCCTCCTTCTTCTTGACCACTTTCTCCTGATCGCGTCCTCTCAGGCTGCGCATGAAACCGATGAATCCTGCCTCCTGTGAAGAGAGACACACGTTTTAGAAATCATTTCACAACATGAGGCAATACATCACTCTTGAAATGCCTCCGTCTGATCTAATAGAGATCAGAGACCCGCCATTAAACATGATCTCAACGAGCCTGACAGCACACCGATGACTGAAGTAAACACAGCATTCAAATACTGAGCAGTTCAAGGTCAATCTGCTGCATTGTTCTCGGCTGCCAATCGTCTAACACTCCACTTAAGTTTGAGCTGAGTTGTGGGGCTGACCCTGTCCGTTATTATCCACTTTCTTCATAAATGATTCAGTTTGTATATCAAATCAGTCCTCTTGTGGTAAAAACAGGAGAAACAGTATGGATGCAAAAAAAAACAGCACACACATCAAATCTCTTTGAACTGAAGAAAACACAGAAGAATACTTCATGAACAAGGAAAGAAAACAAAATAGTTCTAGATCAAAAGTTTGCCGATAGGGAGTCTTCACGGACAACACCAACAAGAAGACGTGGCTGCACACCTGTAGACATGATACTTCAGCAGAACAAGGAGATATCTAGATCTTTAATTCTCTCTTTATGATAATACTGTAACATCTCTACAACTTACCACAGATTCACTTTATGTACCAAATGACTTCTTCCTGTGGTTATTGACTTACTGCTCATTGGTTTCTGGTATGTGGAAATCATTTTGGTGTGTGGATCACAACGTCACCGTTTGTCGTGATAGTTTTATTCACTGACTTTCTATGTAACTTGAAAAAAGGAAACACTTGTGTATATAATGTGTAATAAAAACACAATCAGTGACAAAAACAAGTTAAAGGTGCACTGTGTAGATCTGGAGGGGGAAATTTGAAAGTTGGAGAAGTGAAACAATTCCATGCCAAATTTTCTGAACTGAATACACAAACTTTACTCAAAAAACCGTTTGTCGTGATAGTTTTATTCACTGACTTTCTATGTAACTTGAAAAAAGGAAAACACTTGTGTATATAATGTGTATAAAAACACACAATCAGTGACAAAAACAAGTTAAAGGTGCACTGTGTAGATCTGGAGGGGGAAATTTGAAAGTTGGAGAAGTGAAACAATTCCATGCCAAATTTTCTGAACTGAATACACAAACTTTACTCAAAAAAAAAAATGGGTCCCTTAACACTGTTTAAAGCTAAAAAGCTACCAGGAGAGTTACGGTTTCACTGTTGCGGGACCCCCACCATTACTTATGACGCATCATTTCATCTTCAAACAGTGTTACAGGGACCACATTTTCCTCTGAGGACAGTTTGTGTATAGAGTTATGAACATATACGACAGAATCTGTACATTTCTCCAACTTTCAAATGTCTCTACCAAAACTACAAAGTGCACCTTTAATGCTATACAGTGGTGAGTCTATTGGGGCCCTAGGCAATGGGGGGCCCTCCAACTAGCATTCATCACCATTATGGCTGCCAGTGTTGAAAAACTTTGGTTTCCACCGCTTAGCAGGGAAACGAGATCGGGTGCTATCAGATGGGGCTCCCTTAGGGAGGTTTCCTACGGTTATTGCAAAATTTGCACATTTTGGGCCACTGCTTTGGTATAAGTTTGTGAGCCCTCAGGGGCCCCCTACTGGTCTGGGGCCCCAAGCAGGTGCCTACTTTGCCTGTTGAGAAGCAGCGCCTCTGCTGATGCTATAGTGTATCTTTAAAAAGATATACATGTGCTGTTTCTCAAATTATCATGACTTAAACACATCACTCTATTGACTGTATTAACTTACTGGGGTTATTCATATAACATTTCAATGGCAGTAAAATCCTTCACCAACTCATTCACTTTAGAGAGCTACATCAACAAATACCAATGAATAATTTCCTGTGTTACATCCTATTCCTTCAGAAAATCTGGCATTGCCATCTCACAGTGGATCAGCGGCTAATAATGATCTACATTCATTTGCAATGCAAAGCTGAAAACACATTGAGTCTTTCAAAATCCCCACTCCAACTAGTGTGACTCTTGAGGTTCAGTCAGGGGGCAGAATTATTCAAATTGTGAACCCACGCACACTTCAGGATAACATCTACCGACTGACTGAGAGGTCTTACTCACTCGGGCACAAACTAAAAGACTCTCCATTATCCTTGAAATGTTATATTTGATCAAATGTATTACCGTCAGGCTTCCAGGGCTCTGTGAAGTCATTGGCTGGTATGTACATGCAGATTTAGTTTGATTCCTCATTTGAATTTGGTAAGAGTTTCAGATACTGTGAATAAGCACTTACCCCTCGATCTCCATTGTATTTGTCCACAAACTTGCCGTAGTTGTAATGGTTAAAAGTCGGGTATCCCTCAACTCCTTCCTGCTTGCAGAGCTCATGGCTCTGTCCTTTTGTGCAGTCAACGGCGGCGTACACAATCTGTGGAAATAACAGAGAAGAAACCTTTCAGTCTGATGTTAAAGTAAAATGCATCAAGAGATTTCACCGTTCTCATTTTGGGTCCGATATCGATATTAGGGAGAGAAGAAATACGATGCTGATATATTGGCCAATATCTTTCTTGGATCTATATTCGATCAGTAGAGACAGACAAATATAGATACAGACAGTTATTGTTGTGATTCCTCAAATACAGTTATCAAACACAACAGAACTAAACTATAATACAGAAAAGATGGTCACTCAACTGGAAAGTAACTGTGCATGTATGTGCATCATTGCTTGACAATCTGGAGAGTGATAATGCTTGTTATAGTCCATATAGCGCCCTCTGCTGGTGAAAGAGAACTGCTAGTGTAATACAAATAAATTATTTTTGACTGGTGAATAAATCGAGTAATAGCAGCACATCTACGCACAGAATGTAAAATCCACCACCAGGGGGCTCTCCATCAAAACAATAACAAAAGATGTCGAGGCTGGTGGGGAATCATGGGAGTGATTCTATCTGCTACCCCCCTTTATGATACACTTTGAGATTTTATGTTCTTTGTATTTCACTTGTTTTTTCTGCATTTGTTTCTTAAAGATTTATTGAAGATTTGGCTCATAATCTATCAGAACAATATCACGCTTCTTGTTCAATAACGACATCTTTAATTAACACAGAGCATATATCTTATTTGTCTATGTAAAGTGTTAAACTGTCTCCTAAGCACTGTTTATTTTCAGAACAAATGAGCTTGATTACACTTGTAGATCTATATGAAAAATCTCCACGGATGAAATAACAAGTGAAAATAATTGAGAAGTCAATATTTATCAACTGTTTAATGGCTTCGTACGAGCGCTCACACTCATTCAGGCACTCAGGCAGCGAGCCGGCTGAACACATTCTCCCTGTCCAAATTTAGAACCCTTGTTTCTCTTCCCAGGTTACAAAAAGTGACTGATGTTTTCCTCTCCAGCTAGCTAGAGCATTTGGAGTGGGGGGAGGGGAGAGGAGGAAGAGATCCCACAACAATCACTCCTACATAAAAACAACAAGAGAGATTTATGCTGCGAGGCTGTTGCATCGATTAGTGACAAGCTGCCCCAATGAGGCGTAAATGCCGCCTCACTAGTACATGGCTCACTCAGCGTGTCCTTTAGGACAGCTGAAATGTCACCCTCTCTCGGGGTGCTGAGCGCTGCACATTGAACTTGTCGCTATCAAATAATCACTCTCCGTCCATCTGTCTGCTCGGGCTGAATGTGGAAATGACAAATCTGCTTTGGAAGGGAAGCATTAGACACTTTGTCTGCACGTCCAACCGTGAAGTGTCTCTCCAAACTTCTTGTCCTAATTACAAAATACAAGTGCCCCCTTTTTTTTTTTGTGTGCATGCAAATACAAACACTCAAATGCTGAGAATCTGCATAAGCAGCAACATATTGTTTGATGAGTACACAGTTGTTGAGTGTTTCCTTCATCTGCATCAGCAGCAGCGCAGACATCTGCCAACACAAAGAAAGGACAGGGGAATAAGAGTCTTCTGCACATCTATGGGGGAGGATATTCTTCTTCTATGGTCTGTTGAGTAGGTGTCTTAAACGAGGCCTCAATGCACTCCCACAAGAAGTGATTTCACGGACTTGTTGCCAGCTGTGTATATTCAGCATTACTGAAGTGTTTTACCTTTAAAAGCGCTAAATAGTCAAGAAAAATATTGCTGACAACACTGTGTATGGGAGGGGTCTGCAGCCTTTTTGACTACACAGACCAGAGAGCAGCTGCCATATTTCTGAGAGACGGTGGGGGGGGGTGGTGGGGGCGTTATTTTATTACACACCTTTTGGCAATCCTCTTTTAATGTCATGTTAAGATATATGAAGGGCAGTAAAAGCATAATGCAACCCGAAATACCGTCAAAAACAGAGGAAAATCTAAACATAATTCATCATCAGTGTGAGCCCTGAGCCTGTTGTCTGGAGAAAAGGTGGTCATAGCGTGGCGTCATGTGTGTGAGTGACAGGCTCAGAGTGTTTTCAACATCCGGTCTGATGTGGAGCCCTGTATTGGTGGACTCAAGGCCCAGTACCGGTCCGAGGCCCGGTGGTTGGGGGACCCTGGTGTACCCACGATAGTAATGATTTAAAACGGGAGCATTTTTGAAAAAAAAAAAGAAAAAAGCCAACATCCTAGGCTGGGAAAGTTAAAGATAGAGACTAATTTCAGCAGCTGCAACAGAGGACATACTGTAACTACAGCCTCTGTCTGACCTCATCTCTGAATGTAATCAATCAAAGTTGCTGTAAATTGACAGGAGAAAATTAAGCCGTAGAGTCCTTGTTCTTAAAAGGTCTGCAGCTATTTCCATCATTGATCCGTCTACATGGTGAAAATAGGGCTCCACATCATGTCATTGATCCAACAGTAAAATATCTGAGGAGCAGCACATCATCTGCTGGCTTGTTCTCTACCTAACGGTATCACAACGACAAGCAGAGCAGCAATCAAACTCTAAAGATAAGAACTAGCTCAGTATAAAAATCTGATAAAACAATGCTGTCACACCTTCAATAGTTATTTGCTGGACGACGTCAGAATCAGCTGTGCGGCTCAAAAATCAGGTCTAAATCATCCTGGAATTGAACAGTGTACGCCAGGCTTAAGTTAATTATTATTTATTATGCATTGCATGTATTAATTATGTACAAAAATAAAACTCTGCATGCTACATGCTCAGTATTTAACGGCCTTTAGTTCAGGATCAGGCATAAAAAAGGCTCAGCAGATTTGTGCAGAGAGTTCAGCCATTTACAAATAGATATGTCTCTGATGAAACAGGGTTCTTATTACTTTTGGAAACAATCATTTCCTGCCTTCAATGCTGCTATTGATGAGAATGTGCGGAAAACACATTCAGCCCAGAACAAACCCTGTCCCCAGCCCCCCCGCTGTCTTACAGCAAAGAATGTGGAGTTTTAATTGTTTGCATCTTCAAAGCTTGAGCTAAGCCTGTGTTTGTCTTTAGTAAATGAGGCGAGGGCAGCTAATAGAGTGTGATCAACACCGGCCTGGTACGACACACTAGGGCTCCGGATTTATAAATAGAAAAGGATTGCCAAGTAAACACATGCCTGGTTCTCACATTTACTCTTGTTCAAACACACGCTCTACACCTCTGCTGGCCACTGGAGGGACAACGAGAGGGAAGAGATCTTAAACTTCTGCATTTATGTAACCTTCACGCATACGAGGGTCCCCTGATACGGCACTTTGTGGGGGTTTCATCAAAAGGATACGGATCCAAATATCACCGCTGAATGGAAAAAGCAATGCCAGAGCGCCTTAAGCTGTTGTGGCCACTACATACTGGGTCTAAAATAACATTTCTGCCTGTTTTATAAGTCAAAAGTTTGTTCTTCAAATACCGAGTCAATATGTTCTATTGTAAGGTGGTGGGAAAACACAATAGTTTGTGTTACATGATTGCACATATCAAATCTTCGGTATTTTGGGATGACAAAGTGTCGGATGATGAACTCTGATTTCTTCATGTTCTGTTAAAACAACATTTGGTTTGTATTACGGAGGACACACTTGTTTTTATTGCTGATGATGTATTTCAGTATTTGAAGGAAACTGTGAGTTAACTTCCCCTCCTCACCACAGGGAGACACCATGCAGCGGTTAGCTGTACTTAGAAGCACCTTATAAATAAAAGGTCAGGAGAAGGCCTTCCTCCCTTTGTTCCCAAACACTCCCATGATGGACTCCATGTTTGCAGGTGTTTGAATGACCACCAATGTGAGTTAAGATTTACATTTAAGATTATGTGTTTAAAGAATTTACATTAAGGTTCATTATAATGTGATATATTTTCTTATAAGATAGGGCTAATTATTATTTGAATATTTATAGAACTTTAAACCTTAAAAATGCTTTTACTCAACTAAATTTTCAAGAGTGTGCATATTGATTTGTTTGGACAAATATAGTAATCAATTCTTTCTTTAGAACCATAGCAATCATCACTACATCCAAAAGTCTGTCAATTTTGTTTCATTCAAAAAAACAATAAAGTTAAGAAAAACAAACATAAAATCTCAACTTTTTAAATGAAAAGGAGCAGAAAGAAGATTAATCTTATAATATCTGCCCCCTCCTTTACAAAACATTAATTAAAACAAAACAGAACACTTAATTCAAAAACAATTTAAATTAAATTAAATTGGCTGCAGGCAAACACAGCCACTGGCAGCCCCCTTGTAAGTCCTCCTTACCAATTCATTATGCACAAAGTATATCACAATAACATTTTCTTCATTTATGTTGTTACAGCTGTATGTTTCCCTGTGCTGTTTGTCCCTTCTCCCTTTCCGTCTCCAGCCCAGGTGAAGCCACTAATTGCACAACGAGGTACACCTGGCTCAGAGCTTAAACGCCCAGTGCTGGCTGCAGGAGAGGGGAGGCATTTGGAGTTGGGACTGCTGTGCCGCTCAGTCAGGGATTGTGTGTTGTCTTTTGTCATATTAGTTCTTAAGTTGATCTTTGTTATCATTTAGTTTCTGTAATAGTAATAAATCCCTTATTTTTTTACTTTAAGGTGTTAAGTGTGTTTTATTGGGTCTATTTGGGGTTTGTTGTTAGCCTCATCGGGCCGCCTTATGGTGGAGCGTAACAATGTTCAAATAAAGTGGATTGATCTGATTGCAACTTCGCTTGAGGGGGTTTGTGGCTCCAGTTAGAACTGTCAGTAACTCACAGCATTTTCTCAGAGAACAAAGCAATCATGAAAGGTTTGGATGTTTTCAGCTGAGGTGTAATACTCAGACTGGTACTGTAGGAAAACATTTGTCTGTTTCTGTTGAGTTTGAATGTTATTGGGAAATGTTACAAACGATTGCCTCAGAGAAACGGATGACTAAGCTGTTCAGGATACGTCACTGCTTCAAACCATCTGACAATGATTTTAAAAGAATTCCAAACTAATGAGAGAGGGGACATGAGAGTGAGCACTTTTGGATCCAAGCGCGGCAAACAGTAGACATGATGGTGAAACTTTAAGAAAATCAATCTCATGTTGTTGCTTTTTGAAATTCAGATAAAATAAGATAATCCTTTATTGAAACTCAAGTGTTCCGGTTTATTTTGTCTCAAATTGACATAAATTGTAGCACTAAGTATTGCAAGACACGTGCCCACGTTTCACAGAATTAAGGAGGTTAGAGAAAAATAATGAGCTCTGCAGTCAGAGGGATTATTATATTAAGAGGACGAGCGGGAGTGGGAGTACGTCGGGACACGAGTCCAGGGGGAAAAGGAATGAGAAGGAGTAAAGATGATGGAGGATGAGGGGGAGGAGTGTGTCCTGTTGTGATTGCATGAACCTTGAATAACCCTGAAGCCCCGAGTGTGCCAAAGATTTGATGAGAGTGTGGGCTTTAGCTAAGTGGTCAGATTCCTCAGTGACGCATGGAGAGAAAATATTAGGAACATCGTAAGTTCTTAGAATACCAAAAGTTTAAAGGCCTTATTAGACACTTAGAGAGTGAAGCTGTAATCACTCAACATGCATTTGTTTAGTTGCTTAATGCATTTCTATTTCCTCTGTTTCTTAGGCAGATAACATGTTTAAATGAAAACGACATGGAAGGAGAAGTAGGCTAACAGTTTAGGATTTTCCATGATGAACAAATAAAGAATGTACAGAATCTTCAAAGTCCTGAAAGCTCATAATGTGAGGGTATGATAATCTGAGCTGATTTTTTAAAGCTCTATTACTGAGTAATCTTAATTGCATTACATTTTAAGCAAGTCTTCAATGACGCTCGTGCACAGCAGTCTGTGTTCCTATCATAATTTTAAAGGCAGAATAAACATCACTGGTGTCAAATGAAAAAAAAACAAACCTCATGACTCATACTGTAAAGTCTAAAGTAAGAAGAAAGGATGCCTCTTCATTGTACCGCTTAAAAAGAACAAAATCGGGCGCGCTGGTGGCGCAATGGTTAGGGCGCGCGCCCCATGTATTGAGGCCGTCATCTCAAGTGGGCGGCCTGGGTACGCATCCCGCCTGTGGCCTCTTTCCCGCATGTCGTTCCCCACTCTATCCACTGTCCTAACTCTCCATTTAAGGCCCAAAAAGCCCAAAAATAAAATCAAACTACTTAAATTAAAAATAGTGCATTCACATGCACACGAAACTCTGGAAATTCCCCAAATTTTCTGTGTAATCTGCATGTGTGAACGCCACCTTTTGTCCAGAATTTTCCATTCAAGCCCTTTAGTAAAACGTCTGCCTGAAGTCGGGGTGAGCTGATGTTTGAATGCAGCAGGAAGAGGGTGTGACGACGTTTATATCACATGACCTGGGCCATCTCTGTGTCATTATGTTTTCTGTTCGCCCGTATCTTCTTCTCCTCTCTTTTGTTGATACTTGAATATGTCGAACTATGCATAGCATTGACCAAAAAGAGGCTGCCACTGCTGCGTTTCTTTTTTCATCATGTCCTGCTGACAGAGCAGTCAGAACAATTAAGGGTTAAGTGTCTTGCAAAAGGACACATCGACATGTGGCTGCAGGAGCTGGAAATCGAACCACTGACCTTCCAGTTGAGAAACAACAGACTCTACCGGTGAGCCACAGTCACCCCTAACAACATCCCTAACCTGTCTTCTAACAATTCCCTGCACACAGACATGAAATCAATACAGAACCTCTCCTCTAACTGCGGGCTCTGACAGAAAACTAGTACTGTGTCAGCTCGGAGGATCCTTGCTTCAGCCTCACTTGTGTGTTGTGTGTACATGTTGTGTGTACATGTTGCTGAATGTGTGAACAAGCAACACTAACCTTGCGGTCCTCTTTGAAGAGCTCCGCTGCCGTGGTGAAGTGAGGAACAGCGTTTTTACAGTGTGGACACCCTGGAAGAGAAGAAACACACAGATGGGATGTTACTACTCCTCATCATGACACGATGAAACCAAAAGCATCCCGCTTCACGTCCGCATCAGAACCTTATAGGGACGTTAATGTCCCATAGACATGACGCTCCTAACATGCTGACATTCACAGACGCAGACAAAATGACTTCCATACATCATTTACTCCACTTGAAACATGCTCGTAAAGCATGTGGCCCTTCACGATCCTGCAGTTATTTAGAGCTTTACGGCACATTAGAGATGGCTCACTTGCCTGTTATGAGAGGCTTTAAATCTCTTTATTGCCGTCATAAACACAACCTCTCTCTGCTCCAGAAGCCATCCGTTTATGGTAAATCAATACTTACACAAACACAGTACAACATGAGGATCCACAGCCACAAATCACACCTATATGCACCAGACTCAGGGTTACTAGGTCAAGGCAAGATGAGCTCATACCAAAAGAGCTGACCAGGTTATATGAAAAACATTCATCTGTGAGGGACGACATCTCTTATTCTATATCTTTCTCAGACAGGATTGATGTGTTTCTGCACGGCCACTTGAAATCAGTGTTTTAACTCTGAAGATGCCCTTTTCATTTTGACTTCCTGAAATTGTTCACTTCTTTTGTCACAAGGATCCACTTCTACTGTTGATTACAATCAAACTGTAGCGGCTGCTGGAAGGAATTGGAAAGCGGGGAAAAAGCCAGACCATTTCTTGTTGAACAAATAGAAGGAGCTTGGCAGAGGGTTACTCATGTACAATGTCAGGGTTCAATCACATTTCAAACAGCCTTTTTCAAGAAGTTCCAAATAAACTTTTATAAACATTTTTTTTTTTTTTACAAAACCAACCTGAGTCAGTGTTTCTTGAAGTTAATTTATAGCAACATCCCTTCCATATGTTATTTCTTGAAAATGCCATGCCTACATTTTGGGCGTTACCCTGCTAAGAAAACACCACCACTCTTCTACTTTCATGTTTTTTAGAATAAAAAATACATATGTTATTGTTGGTATCATCAAAATGAACAAAACTGCTTCAATTCAGTTTCCCACAGAAACCTTCCGTGTTGAAAAATGAAGCCACTGCCAAAGGGTAAAACACTGCAATTCCTCAAGTGTCCACTTGAGGCTGGCTGCAAAAGCCAAGGAATACAAATTATGTCCCAAATTAAAATGGCCAATTTTACAACAGAGATAAACATGTTTACATGTTTTGTTCATTTATTGTTACTTTCCTGTTGACTTGTCAGTTTGCATGTTGCATGCTGTTTTTCTTAAACAACAAGGAGGGCACATCTGTAATATAATTTTTTTTTTTATTATTGCTTCCTCAGTGAAAATATTTTAAGATTTAAGAAGACCAGAGAATCTTCTCTCTCATAGTCTGGGAGTCCTTCGTGTGTTTTTTGGCAAACTCTATGCAGGCTTTCATATGTCTTGCACTGAGGAGAGGCTTCTGTCGGGCCACTCTGCCATAAAGCCCCAACTGGTGGAGCGCTGCAGTGATAGTTGACTTTGTGGAACTTTCTCCCATCTCCCTACTGCATCTCTGGAGCTCAGCCACAGTGATCTTTGGGTTCTTCTTTACCTCTCTCACCAAGGCTCTTCTCCCACGATCGCTTACTTTGGCTGGACGGCCAGGTCTACGAAGAGTTCTGGTCGTCCCAAACTTCTTCCATTTAAGGATTATGGAGGCCACTGTGCTCTTAGGAACCTTGAGTGCTGCAGAAATTCTTTTGTAACCTTGGCCAGATCTGTGCCTTGCCACAATTCTGTCTCTGCGCTCCTTGGGCAGTTCCTTCAACCTCATGATTCTCATTTGCTCTGACATGCACTGTGAGCTGTAAGGTCTTATATAGACAGGTGTGTGCCTTTTCTAATCAAGTCCAATCAGTTTAATTAAACACAGCTGGACTCCAATGAAGGAGCAGAACCATCTCAAGGAGGATCAGAAGAAATGGACAGCATGTGAGTTAAATATGAGTGTCCCAGCAAAGGGTCTGAATACTTATGACCATGTGATATTTCAGTTTTTCTTTTTTAATAAATTTGCAAAACTTTCTACATTTCTGTTTTTTTTCTGTCAAGATGGAGTGCTGAGTGTACATTAATGAGAAATAAAATGAACTTTTTTGATTTTAGCAAATGGCTGCAATGAAACAAAGAGTGAAAAATGTAAAGGGGTCTGAATACTTACCGTACCCACTGTACTTGATTTCAAAGTGCACCAACTGATGGTGGCCATGGTCCAAGTTAGCCATTTTTCTGGTGCATAACTGCCCCCGATAACTCTATTTTCAACGAATTATACATACACTCTACACCTGTCCTTTTGCCGTCATGTTAAGAGCTTCTCCTCTCAGCAGAAATCTATTAAGTAACAAGAATATGTCTTCACATCTCACATCTCTTCAGCCATTCAACACGCTTAAAAGCAGCTAAACGGTAGGTCTACTGTGTATAATAACACCTGCTGCCACTATCATTTCCCTCCTCTGCTGTCACAAACATTTTCACCCGCCTGTCTCATAATTACCGAGAGAGGAATCATAAAGGTTAAGAGAAAAGCAGATGGTACTTAGTGTAATGTAACAGCCTTGATTCTTTGTCTTATAACTCTCGCCTATTCATATAAAACACAAACAAAAGAATATATGTAAGGCAATACTGAGATAGCTTAACATCTCATACACAAGGATGGGTTCATTTTGAGCTGAACATACCACGAGATTTCTACAGATGGCTCTAAATACTGTAGGTATGAAGTAAATTAGACACAGGTTTGTATACAAAGGGACTCTTAACGTAGTACTGCCTGAGGTAATAAAGGGCCAACAAGAGAGAGAAGATGTGAGGGCATTTGGACTGAATTCAATTATGCAGATTTGAAGGGTTAAAAGTTTATAACCCAAATCTTTGTTTCAAATCTCACTGTTCCGTCTGAAGTAGCTCCTGATTCAACGCTTTAGCGAGCAGCTGTATGTAATCGAGTCGAAAGCTTTTTAACTGATCAGACAGCGGTGATCGGGGGGCAGATGGGCTGGGAGGGCTTGGGTGCAGCAGGTTGTTGCAGCCTGATGTTACGTCTCTTTGTAGAAGGAAGCACCAAAGATGCCAACAGAGGCAGCAGCCCGACTGCCTGTCTGTGCCCTGTCTGGCTTTGAAGCTCACATCAGATACAAAGAGGTTGAAGAAAGATACAGAGGTGTTTGTGTGTGTGTCCCAGTTGGTTTAGATAATTAAGCAGGTAAGCCACTCAGTATTCTTTTTATGTTTTTTTCAAGTACTCAGATGAAGTGTGTCATAACACTGGGCCCCTAGGTTTATAAAAAAATCATTTCAGAAGACAAATTCATGGACACAACTCTTTTCTTGAAGTGGAAGTTTCATTTAAAAGAGAAGCTAAGTTTTGGGTACGATGACATCGAGAATTTCTAAACTTCAAAATGATTTGGAGAGCCAGACGAGCAAAGTCAGAGAACAGACCATAAAGAACAGAAACATAGTCACTGGGTATATCTCGCCTTTTTCGATTTTAGCAGAAGCAAGCAGCTGCTTCCGATGAAGATGAACCATAAGCCCCGTTTCCACCAAATGGTCCGTTTGCTTCAGTACAGTTTGGTACAGCTCGGTATGGTAAACCCTGATCTTGCTTGCATTTTCACAGCCAACCCTTATTTGGTAAACGGAGAGTAAGGCAGATGGAGATAGCCGCGTCAGCTATGTAATTGTGTGACATAATAGCAGCCCAACACAGTGTAGCCCGCTATTAACTAAGTTCAACTAAAAAGAAGAAGAAAGGGATACTTTAAGGTCGGATCAGTACGCTTGGCACCTAAACAGAAGGGTACCAAAAAAGTAGGATGGTACGGATCCCTTATTTTGGTCCCATTCCCAACTTTTGACATTGGAAACGCCAATAAATGGGTACAGTACCAAACAGAACCGGACCACTTGGTGGAAACGGGGAAATACAGTTAAATTGCGCTAAACACGGTGATCCAAAACGGGCTAAAAAGATAATTACAAGCTCTTTTCAGTTCCTGCCTTTTACTCATAAGTGTCATAACCAAGCTCAGGCGTCATCACGTCTTTGTAATGGTACCGCAACAGTGTCATTTTCACATTGTGCTTTGACGTTGCGAAAGCATGGCACAGAGGGAGCTCCACATTCACAGTCAGACATACACCCACACACAGTGCTGCCCCCGCGCTGGCTTCGCTAGAACCGTCTCACCTCTGTTACACCTCTGTTACTACCTCTGAAGACGGTACAGAGGGGGGGGATCACTTCTTCCCCCCCCATTACGCCACAGTAGCATTCAGAAACGGCAGTCTGAACAGAGCTAAAGTTTCAGAGTTTAAAATAGTATTTCTCAGGGTGATGAACTATTACTATTCTTGCCTGGTTATTTATTATCTGGGATCTAAAAGCCTTTATCAGTGAAATGATGAATAATTGTAAGCTCATTCTGGACCTGAGCAGCTTGTTATTTTATCTCCTGCCTGGCAGTCACGGAGACATCAGGTAGAGATACATTTTAAAGGATCAGATTATGATGTTTAATATATCAAAATGGAGGTAATTTGTTACTTTCTGAAAGATTAAATAGCACAACTTCAGCTTTCCAGGAGATTTTTGGTCATGTCTTTTCCATTTCTCAGGGCTTAACTATATGCAGCATGACAGAATGTAATGTTTTCCAGGAAAAGTGAAATTGAAGCTGGAACAGTGATTCGCTCTCTTCTTACAAACTTGCACAAATCTATTCTCAGTCATGTGAATCATTCCTCAGTGTCTCCATGGCTTAGGCGGGGTTTGAATACTGTGCATGAGGATGCTGACAGGCAGCGCTGAGTTACGTATGCACACTGGTTTAAATCCAGGATATGATCACAACAAGTCCAACAGAGGAGGGCTGTGATTTCAGCTGATTGCAACAACTTCTCAAACACGTCTTCACAAACAGTTCTGATTTTTTTTCCCCCAGTGCCAATTTAAGATGAGCCTTTTATGTGCAATTCCAGACCTCTGTTTAGGAGATCTACACTCCCTCCCGCCCACTACGCTCTGCCAATGAAAGGCGTCTGATCCAACCTTCACAACGGGGTCCTAAGCCTCTGACTAGACTCTTCTCCTCTGTTGTTCCCTTTTTTCTAGATCCTTGCTTGTGTAGTACTTACTTTTTGATGTACGTCGCTTTGGATAAAAGCGTCTGCTAAGTGAATTGTAGAATTGCAGAATTGTAGGAAGTAAGTTGCAAACTAGATTTTGTTAAGGACAGCTGAAAAAAATCCCTTAAAGCTCTTACATGGAGCGTAGAACATGACCAGAGCATGTTTCTTCTTCTTCAGCGCCTCACGGAAATCCTCTGATCCAAGATGGCTGACATGAGAGGGCTTGTCCTCCCAGGACTGTTCAGGAGGAGGAGGTGCCTGAGGACTGCAAACAACAAGGGGGGGGAAATCAGTATTGATCAAGTATACTACATGAGTCATGCTTTGTTTGCTGAGGAACTCTTGAAAAGAGATTTTTAATCTCAACGAGGTATCAGGGGTTATAGAAATGACTAGGGATGCAACAATTCACTCAACTCACGATACGATTCTCTCATGATTTATTTTACAACTGTTTTTCATTTTTGACTGTAGACAAATTATGAGTGAAAAAGATTCCTTTAGGGGCTGCAAACCCACTTCGGTGTGGTTTGGCCTTTTAATGTTTTTTTTTTCCTCGCAACAAGTGGGGGAGGGGGATGCTTCCACACCTCCGATTTAAAAGACAGTGGTGCGTCCTCAATTTAAAAATCTTCCTCTACAGCTGCTGACGCTCACGATTTTATTGTGGTTCAATTTTCAGAGGACCGATGTGAATCTTGGCACTTTTGAATCAATTTATCACAATTTTTCAATTAATCTTTACATCCCTAGAAATGGCAGTGAAATGGAGTACTGGAGAAAAATGTTAATATGTGAATACGAGTGCTATAAATCGTTTACATTAAGAGAATAAAAATCTATTTGGTTTCCCAAAAACAAAAAGGGAATGTGAGCTACAGTAAGAAAGACTGCATCTCTTACTTGTTTAACTTCAGGACTAACTTACTGGAAAGTGTGACTTTGTGTTGGTGTTTATACTGGTTCCATTTGCACACTTTACTGAAGACAAAGTTAAGCAGTGACCTCTCGGCCTGATGAGAGCGTGACTCACTTGTGCAGGAACTCGATGATCTTGTCTTTACTGCGAAGGCTCGGCAGCGTGTACTTCTCCTCACCGTTCACGAAATACTTGACAGTCGGGAAGCCCGAGAGCTTGAAACGATCTGCCACAGCCTTATGCACTGTGGCATCTAATGCCGCCACCACACCTGGACTCTGTGGGGGAAAACAATGGCAAACTTTCAAACACATTCAACTGTGGTTAAACAGGAACTACAGAGAGATCTGTCCCTCAGACTTAGCTGTTATATTCCACCTATTACAACTAATGTTCAACCTTTGCACAGAAGCACACACTAGGTTTCATTTTTTTTACTTTAATTACACCAGAAAAGAAGCAAGGATGAGAAAAATAAAGGATGTACTGGGTCTTCAGGGTGAGAGAGGCTTTAGTCCATCCATATTAGATAATAGCCCGACTTCTCCAATTGACCTCTGCTGTCGGGCAGAGAGCCACAAGGAGAGGGTCCAAGCGTCGGGCCGGTGGGATGCGCAAGGATGAGATAATTGCTACAGTCACCAGAATGAAGTTTTATAGGCGCTGCCCCTGGCTGGGGAGTGTTGGATTCCCACATAGGACAGAATGGTCTGACAGGAGAGGCTGGGAACACACACCCCACTAATCAGAAACACATCGAGCGTTGGCCAAATCATCTGAAAGCCCACAGGCCCAGAAAAGGGATTATAATGATCCGTTAATGAGGCACCACTACGGCCGTGAAGTTCTGTACGTCCATCAGAGTAAAGAAGGCCTTCTAGAGGAGATTTGTGCAGAAGAATCAACACAAAGTTCTCCTTCAAGAACCTGCTGTGCACATGTTGACAAACGCGAAGGTCATTAAACTTACGTTTGTGCCCTTGTTGAGCATTTCAGCAGCTTCATCATACTCTGGCTTCATCTTCTTGCAGTGTCCACACCCTGGAGGGATCAAACCGCACATTAGAGACTGACTGAAGAAGGATTTATGAAACTTGAGAGTCAGATAAGATGATAACTAATCGTACAATCATTTTGTCAATTTTTATTTAAAACTCAATACTAAACAAATACTTTGGTTTAAAACCCTTAAAGGGAGAATGTGTGACTTTTTGATCAGTAGATGTCACCCCCCTTGAGCACCAGCATGGAACCAAAACAAACTGCTGTTTGGCGAAACCTCCGCTATTCTGATGCCTCAGCTTCCCCCGCCCTGGCCACACACCTCCAACCCCCTCCACTCACGTTCACACGAAGGAGATATGAATTACAATGCACTATAATTAAGCACCATAAGCGAAAGTGGCGGACAAAACTGTCCTTTGCTCGAGGTGCAATAACCTGCGGTCTGCATCGTTGTGTTAGCAGGCTAATGTTAGCACACTTTGGTTAGCTCCTAGCTTCACATTGAACATAAAATGGACAAGAATGACTGTGATCTAAAGACAGCTTTATACACAATGATGAACATGATGTAAACACAGCTCCGACAACAGTACAGCTGGCTCACTCATTGTCAGAGAGACATTTACAGGGGATATACTCGAAGTCTGCTGTATTTCTGCCTAAAAGGTTGCACATTCTACCTTTAAAACTAGATATATAATGAGTACCAAGGAAGCTTATAGTTTAGTATCTGAGAATTAAAGTCAATATCCATCCTATATAACCATCACTGATCATTTGAAACCACAAACTTTTACAGCTCTGAAGAAACATGAGGATCATTAATACATGGAGATGTAATGCACTCACAGCACTAATGTACAGATTGTTGTAATCATATTGAAAACTCACATGAGTGATAATCTGTGATAAGCAAATTAAGCTCAATGATACGTAAATGTATTATTTTTCGCTCCTTTTTACCTTTATCATAGAGGATAGCTGAAGAGAGACTATTTAACCCAGCGGTTGGTGAGACTCACTCAGACAAATGAAGGAATGACTTCTTAACCTTGCAGTCTATGAAACCTTAAAACAACATGTACCAAATGCTAAGAGTGTGGTAATGCAGTGTTTGCACGACATGATGCCCTCAGCTGTCTCGTTGAATCGACGCATCGACATCTGTAATCCTCTGCAATGTCTTTCGGCTTCACCCTGCTCTGTCATCGCGTTTACTGCTGCCATGCCGAGTGTGAAAGTGTAAATGAGACGACAAGAGCGACTCATGTTAACCCAGAAAGTTCAGTCACGTCTCATTACTTATTACGTGTCGTCTCTCTCAGATACGGGTGTGTGTTGGTGTTGGTGTAAGTAAGCATGCAAGAGACAAACTGAGTGAGACGAAGAGCTGGGTGTCCAGAGTCATTGGTACAGTATCGGAAAAGAGAGCAGGAAGTAGACAACAGGAAGACAAAGGGGAAACAGAGGGGGGATGTAGACAAAACTGTTCTTTGATTTAAAGGTATAATGTGTAGAATTATTACACTGAAATATCTACATTTATCTAAAAACGACTAAATCTATTATATTTATTTTTTTGGCTGAGTACTTACATTAACTCAAATATTTCCAAAAGTTTTCAAAGACGGAGAAACTCGTAATTTTGTACAGTAGCAGAGAGAATCACTCCCATGATTCCCCACAAGCCTCGACATTATCTTAGGTTATTGTTTTGATCGAGAGCCCCCTAGTGGTGAAATTGACATACTGTGCTTTTAAATGATTCTGCAGATTGTTCAATAATGAATTTAATTGTAAATAAATTCATTTTCGATTGAACAATCTGTGGTGCATTTTTATGTACAGCATCAATTTAAATTTTATGTAAAAGCATAATTTTTTTAGATATTATATATATATATATATTTTTTAGATATATTTTGTGGCTTTTTATGCCTTTAATGGAGAGATAGGACAGTGGATAAAGTCGGAAATCAGGGAGAGAGAGTAGGGAAAGAAGCCACAGGTGGGATGTGAACCCGGGCCACCCGCTTGAGACTACAGCCTCCATACATGGACTAACCACTGCGCCACCAGCGCCCCATAAAAATTATATTTTGTCTTTTACTTTGAAAGGGTCATAATCTGATGGCTTGTAAAGTGAACAATCCCCTGGATGTAAATGTGAATTTGGCAAGAAGTGCAACAATTCAAAGAGAATACATTTAATCGGCAAAGTTCACCTTCAGCCACATACTGCAGACCTCTCTTCTTTAATGAATGTTTAATGTGTTCTTTGTTCTGTATTAACGGATTTATCTGAAGGTATTCTGTAAACACGCAAATGCACAAATGTTGTTGCTGTTGTTTTTTTTTAAGCCAATCTGTCCGAGCTCCACGTGTCAGGAATAAACTGTCTGTCTGCTGTGGAGGTGTGTTTAATATTGCATGAGCAGGAAGAAAAGTGGCAAACACTTTTGGATTTCAAACAACCTTCAAATACATAACACAATATTTGTCTCACACAGTGTACAAGATGTATCTTCTTAGGATGTAATGAATATGCCGTTTGATCCGAGATGAGCAGTGTCTGTATGTGCTCACAGCGCTTCTGTGCACAGATGCATGAAACAAACTTGGTACATTTCCAAACTTGTTAAATTGCCCTTGTCAAAACAGTTCAGGAATTTCTTTCTTCAATATACAATGCGGTGCTGGCGCAGGCTATAAATCAAGTGCGATATGCCTCGTGGAAAGGCGCGAAAAAAAGAGCTGCTTCTCTTTCAACTGAGTCAGTGTGGTGTGTGATCATCAGATTGTGTCCAGGCTTATGAGAGAAATAGAGGACTTCCCCCCCCCCCTTCAGAGTGATGAGTAAGAGACAAAAACTAAAGGTTCGTCCTGCGCCATGCATCCGCTCTGCTTCACATTCAGAACAAGTGGTGCATGAGGGGCATGGTCACTGTGTGTGTGTGTGTGTGTGTGTGTGTGTGTGTGTGTGTGTGTGTGCAGGGGGGCTTACAGAAATCCACTGAAATATTGCTGACTCAGACTGAGTGTGGGGGAGAAGCGCTAAGAGTGAGAGGACAAACAAACTACCCACACGTCACAGGAGCTGTAATATGAACTGATAGATGTTAAAACAGAAAAAAAGTCTTCTTTCCGTCGTGCTGAAGGGCTGTCACGACGACGACACCAGATTTTAAAGTTCGATATGATACTAGATACATTGGCAACACGTCAGTAACCAAACCTTGCCAATGATTTTGTGTCATTTGGACAGTGTCACCCCCTCGGCTTTCTGCCTGTTTGTAAGAGACACAATGTAACTCTAACCCCAAAAGGACTTCAGTATTTGCAAACCTGTCAATCTGAACAGACCATCATTGCTCTCTCTCTTTTGCATTCAGCAGCGTTGGATTAAAATATGACTTACGATTTGTAGTTTTTCTGAAAGCTTCAGTACTTCTTGATACTGTGTCATCATTGTAAAAAAGGTTATTTTTACACACATGGCATCAAAAAGTATAGAAGTTAGTTAGTTAGCATTAGAGTGCTGTAAGGTCATCCTCTGCTGGTCGACAGCAGCAGCACACTGAGCCTGTGGCTACTTACTAAGTGGCCAGTCAGGAAGGATGTTCAAAATCAGATGTACCATCCTTCTGGTGCACCAGCTGCAGGCCAAACACAAACATTCAGGGATAAAACCTAACACCCCGTATTTGCTGGATCACAATATTCTACGTTAAATATTTTGCCTCACACTGTGCCAACAGCACTTTGTCTTGGTCTGGGACACAATCAAGCTCAATTTGGGAAACGCATTGTTCAGTCGGAGGCTTTGCCGCCGCAAGAGACTAAACGCAAACAACCCCTGCTGAGTGCCGCTCAGAGGACGGTGAGAATGGCCTCGCCGAGAGAGGGGCAGAAATGCAAGCTGATGGTGGTGGTTGGGAGACCATTAATCTCACTCTGACAGCGAGGCCATTAAGAAACTGCACTGAAGCAGCAAGGCCAGGCATTTGTGTGTGTGTGTGTTTGAGAGAGAGAGAGAGAGAGAGAGAGAGAGAGAGAGAGAGAGAGAGAGAGAGAGATTTGCAGTGTAATTGTGTGCGATAAATGTTGAGCCATGGTGTGAAATGTGTTTGATGTGTGTCATAACAAATACTGCATTTGTGTGTGTGTGTGAGCATGCGTGTGTGGGGTGATTGTGAGAGTGTGTGTGTGTGTGTGTGTGTGTGTGTGTGATGTAGCTTGTTTCAGCTAACTGCCCTTGATTTGCTTGGTGGGTGACTGGCTGTTGTCAGCAGGGTGAGTCAAGTGCAGGACAAATGTCTGAAGGACAGAGAGGATGAGTCCACTTCCCCCAGTGTCCACACAGAGGTCCCCTCCAGCATGTTCTCCACTACCAGGACAACGTTGATGAATAATTAAACCAACTAATGACACACAAATGATCTCTGAAAGCTGGCTCGATTACGTGTTATGCCTCTGTAATGATTCATTAAATGGTCATATAAAAGGAAGAATGAAAACTTGATATAATAGTCAGTATCAACCTCATAACTGGGAGCGCCTGTGTGAGCTGCACTTTTTGTAACAGTTAATTATCTCTTTTGGCTAAACATAAAAAAATATTAGGTATAAAATTTAAGGCACCAGAATAATGTCATGCTTGCATAACCTATTAATATAAAAATATCTGCCAAAAACAACATAAACTCAGTTATCCATCGCTTTTGATGATAAAAACTTTCAAAGTTAGCATTAATTTGCAATTATGAATTAAAGCCAAAGTAGTGTCCTTCTCTCCATCCAAACATTATCTATACCCGCTGTCCCGTTCAGGGTCGCAGATGGCTGGAGTTTATCCCAGCTGTCATTGGGCCAGAGGCGGAGTTACACCCTGGACTGTTCACCAATCAGCCAATCACAGAGCTGACATATAGAGCCAGACAACCAGTCAGAATCACATTCACACCCAGGAGCAACTCAGAGTGATCCTTTACCTAACGAGCATGTCTTTGGACTGTGGGAGGAAGCCGGAGTACCCAGAGAGAACCCACACACACACGGGGAGAACATGCAGACTCTTCACTGTGAGGCAACAGAGCTAACCACAGCACCAACGGTTAATTGAATAATTTAACATGAATGCTTTTTGTGAGAGCTTTACAAGCTACATTACATGTAAAGCATTACCACACACCTGGTTTAACTAAAAGACTTCTATGGGATGATCTTCATGCTGACATGAGTCATGACCTTTGTTCAATCTGCCTTAAGACTTTTATAAGTATTAATGAAAAGCAGGTGCTGGGTGAACCTGAGGAAGCTACAGGTGAAACACATTGTTTGCTCACAGCAAAGGGATGTTCAGTGTGCCACAGTTTTTTGATTGATTTTTTTTTTTAATGGTATGTTCCTTCAGCCATGCGTACCTGAGAACGTATAGACTGTGCACAGGTACCCTATTGGTCACTTTTAGAAATTTGTTCAAACATGAGAACTGTAAAGTGTAGCTCAGCCTTAAATCCTGAAAGCATAGTTAATTTTAATAACTCCTAATGTTCATGTTCTCTTGAGACCAAGAGCGATTTCATGTACTACAACACTACAGGAAGACATTAGTTACACAAAGGTCATCTCACTACTTCCTTACAAAAGCTTGTCCAAGACGTTACATGCCCCCCCTCTCAGTCTATCCCCGTCTGGGCCTCTTGCAGAACTGTTGTTTTTCATTCCAAAGAGACCGATCTGAAAAATGAAATGATGTCACTTGGCTTTACCTTTTCAGCAGACTTGCACAAATCCCCACTGACTACATTTTTCTTGCCAACTGGCAGTTTTTTAGTTTAAATATTAGAGCAACATATTTGAGTTTGGGGCAGATAATAATGAGCTGGTGGATGTAGCGGATCCCACTGCAGCGTGTGAGTGTTGAGGATGTGTTTTTAATCACTTCAACAGCTGGAAGGTGTGTTTGCCCTCTGGGTGAAGTGCAGCGCTCCAAGCAACCTGCAGGTCTAAGAGCTCTCCCTATGTAAAGAAATTATGAAGACAATGAATCATCATTACGCTAGAGGGAATGGCCCTATTTTATTTATTCATATATTTTTACTGCATGTAGATTGAGAAGAGGAGGGAGGAAGGATGAGGATGTGATTCAGTTAGAAGTTGCTGGAAGGAAAGAAAAAAGAAAAAAAGGCCCAAAAACGGTTGAAACATGATTTAGTTTGTGTCGTGTTACTGTTGGACTGCATTTCTAACAGGGATGAATCTATTTGCATGCCTTTAGAGCTCTGGGTCGCATTTATCAACATGCTAAATCTCCTGCGGACAGCTTCCTCACACGCAGGAGGGCTCGACGAAAGCAGAACGATCTGGAGCTGGAAAAAAAAAAATCTCTTTGCCACTGACAGAATCTGGCATGTTTACAAAGTCCTGCGTAACAACAGCAGTGTGGTGCGTGCATAAAAAATGACAAGCGTGCTTATGTAAACCATATGGCAACAATGAAGTATTCTGCTGTGAGGATGAGCCCGTGTGATACACACAGCTGAAGTCACTGCAGCGAGCTAGTCACTGGGTTTGTTGTTCGGTTTCTGGGGTGAAACAGTGGATGTTATTTGTGTGACTAAACAACTCTTCCACCCAAGAGAATGTGCTAGAAAAGGTTTGACCCAGCAGGAAGGAATGTGAAGCTGCTCAACATATTTTACTACTTAGGGATTATTTCCAGCTTTATCCTTTAGATAAGAAAAAGTCCTTTCTTTTTTTCATAGTAAATGAAAACCTACATAACCCTCAATGAGACATCTGCACATGCAAAACCAACAGACACTTAATGATGTCTGCACAACTATCTTTGCCTTCTGTACATCTGCATTGAATACTTTAATAAATCTGTTTAGTACTTGAACAAATCAGGGCGGGGAGTAGTGAAGTCTAACATTTTTTAGAGAGGGACTGATGCGTAGTTTGTTTGGGCTTTTGCGCTGTCTCCAGTAAGTCAACAGAGACTGGAACAGCCTCATCTTCTCCTTTATTCTGAGACCGCCTTAACCTGACGCAGGAGTTCAACTTCTTGTTTGGAAACGGAACAAAAAGTCAAAGTCCTGAATGTGCCCATTTGCCTCTTTCCTTCCTCAGAGAAGTGATTTTAAAAAATTGAATGTAATAAAAAATAATCAGTCATTCTTTATTCCTCACAGAATCATTTTGGAACTTTTTGGAAGCAATTTAAAGACGACCTGGGCTCTCAGTTCTTACTCATTTTCATAAATGATGACATTACACGGATGAAATAATTGATTGATTATGAAAATAATCATCGGTTGCAGTTCTTACAAAATTGCTTTTTTACTCACAGGGGGCATAGAACATGATGAGGACTGCAGGATGCTCCTCCAGGAAGCTGTCGAAGGACTCATCGGTCAGATGAAAGACTCCAGAGTCTGTCTCGGACCACGGCACCTCAGGGGTCTTCGGCTGGGGGGGCAGAGGGCTGAAACAGGAAGGGGAGGCCGGAAGTACAGAGGTGAGGGACATTTAAAAAAAAAGCGGACACCTTCCAGCTGGTGTGTAATCTGCATGGAACAAAAATCAGATACAGCTGCGGCGAACACTCCACCCAACATGCCTCACAAATACAAACACATCTGGACTGTACACACACATCTGGACTGAGGCAGCCCCTCCTCGATGACGGAGCACGGCGCTGCGATGCCAAGAAAAAGTGGACACAGATATAAACAAGTGCACATTTCTGGCCCTTCTGCACACAAACATTTAAAGACAAACATTTTTTCTTTTGCAATCTTACCCAACATTAAACATTCTGTTAAACGTACGGAGCGCCATGCAGCTTCAAGATGTTAGCTCAGACCAATCGAGCAGCAGAGGTCCGGAAAATGCTGCACAACCCACAGTCACTTATCTTTTAGTGGAAGTCATCCAACTATTTTTTAATCTTTCTGATAAAAAGCTTAGACAAAGAATTTATCAAGAGACTCAAGGTAACTGAGGCCTATTAAGCCCTTTTCACATATGCTCTCCAGCATGTGAAACCGCTAGGGGTCTGGCAGGAAAAAAGTGCGGGTGAAGTCCGAGCTAAAAATGTGGCTGTTTGTGTTCACACATGCAGCTCCTCCGGGTTTTTCAGGAGATTTCTGCAAGTGTGAAAGCCCTATTAGACGACACGTTTGCTTGTTTTCTGCAGCACAAGCAGTGTAGAAGTTTCCTCTTGGTCTGCTTCTGAACAATCAAACCAGTTGTGCTCTCTCTTAATATTGGAGTTACACTGCTGCAAAGACAGATATGATCACTCAGGATACTGACTCTTACCAATACTTATGGTTCCATTCATTGCCTTGAAACTGCTCCTTAGGCTGGCTCTTTGTCTCAAGTAGATTTTATGAAATACAATGCAGAAAAGTAATGGACTTTACGACTTTAAAAGTCTGCTTTGAGATTAATTGTCTGAGTCAGAACTCTATTGCTCCTTTTTGGCACAGAGGAAAGTATAAAACAAGCCACTGGTAGCGATGATTTAGCCTGGTTATAAAGGGTGAAACAGGTGAAAGTGAGCGAGGGAATGGAAAGAAAAACTTTGACAGCTGTTTGAGAAGACAAAAAGAAACTTCATCAAAACATCCAGCAAGGGTGGGAAAGTGCTACAGAAAGAGCACAATGGACACAATGCAGCAAATCAGACTATTCAAAACAAAACAAAAACCTTTCAACAGCAGTTACTACAAAAAAAAAAAAACCCTTTCAGCTTTTCCACGTCTGCAACATCTCGAGGAGAAAAAAAAAAAAGGGGCTCTGACACAACAAATTGCAGATGTGATGATGCTTGCAGGAGGCCACTCTTCCACATTTTTAACATATGGGAACTATTTTTTCAAGCAAATGACTCAACTAAAAGTAGTGGCCTGAGGGACTCCATGTAGTTTTTTTTTTTTTGTTGGTGCCAAAGAGAAATGTGTGTGTTTGAATAACCAGTGTTCATCACATTTTTGATATATGAGGTGTTACTACTGCTCAATTTAAAACATGGCAACCATTCTGTCAAAACGTGATTGCCAGCTTGGCATACACCCCTAAATCATACAGCTGGGCCCTGAATAAGCAGAGCAGTCAAAGCATGAGGCTGGGGAGGGAGTTGTTATGCCTCTGGGCCTAAGAGAGCGGAGCTGGAATACATCCTCTGCTTGTCTCGCTCCGTTTCCTGTGATAGCTGTGAAAGCTCTGCCCTCTGGCCGCTGCCCCGTGGACAGTAATGCTTCTCCAGCCAGGCCCCTGACACGAGTGGGAAAGGGAGATGGAGGAGGGAAGGAAGGAAGGCAGCAGAGCCAAGCCGTGGTTGGAGACAAAGGGGTTATGGGCAATGAGCGGGAGCCAAGGTGAGAAAAGGGAAATGGGACAAGAGGTGTTCAGGTGTAGATTGATGACAGTGGCAAGGTGAGTCAGGATGCTGAGAGGAAAAGAAAAGGTGTGATGAGACAGAGGAAGAAGGAGAAGGTGATGGCAGACACATTCAAGGTGAGAGGGAGAGGCTGTGTAGTCATTGTGGGCGACTGATTGTAGAATGGAGAGTTGGAGATTCATTGAGAATTTCCATCAGCTTGAACTCAAACATCTTAAAGTTTACAAACTTATACGCCTATGCACATCTTCATACTCACTTCTTCATCCAGTCTGCAATCTCCTTTGCACTGGCTCCATAGTTCTCATAGTGGTAAAGGAATTTCCCCTTCCTGGAAGACAGCAAAACACAAAACAAGATGATCACTTCACTGTCAGGAATGGACACAAATGTCAACCAATTCAAATAGTTTTAAAACCACTGAATATATTATACTAATTTGTTCAAAAAAAAGAAAACGTTATTGTGTTAACTTGCTAAAAATAGGGCTGCACAATAAATTGCAATTTTATCAATGGATAGCGAGTGTTGCACCGGGTCAAAATATGTAGAAGAATCAGGTGCTCTTCAGGAATAGGGGACAGAAGTCAAATAGCTAATAAATAGTTGAATAGTCCTGATAAACAAAGTTCTTCCTCAGGACTCAGTTGAGTCGAAACATGTAGACTCATCCCTGTTAAATAAAAGGATAAAAGTCAGAGAGCGCCTCTGACTTTCAGTTAAGACTGTCATTGTCATTAGGACAGTCAACTATGTATTAGCAATTTTATCATTATCGCCATATGAGCATTTGCAATAAACACAGAAAAAGTCTGAATTTATTGCAATAAATATGAAAAATATATTTATGGAAATCTTGTAATTATTTTGATGCAGTCAGATGAAGCTCGAGCAAGCGATCAGCTTCCCCTTAAATTAACCTGTGCCAATTTAATGGATTTGTTTTGATTCAGGGGAAACATGATGCAAATAGCTTCAAAAAAACAAACACCAGTCAGTCATGAGCACGGTCGTGTGCCACTGGCCCACAGAACAGGGGGAGGCACCTCCTTTCAATAAAGGCTCTCATTGGCTGTTATGAGGTGTCATCAAAAGGTCAGTGGAACAGTGAAGGTAAATGTGAAGCAATCTGTGGATCTTTATGGTTGTGAAGTGTTTGGATTAAATCTTGAACTGGATTTGAATAGTGGGGGACCCGTCTTTGGTGGATTATTATGACCCCGAGAGCTCAGTAAATCTTTAATGAGTAAATTAAAAGATGTTTCTGTCAGTGGTCTGACAGATGCGTAGATTGTGGCTGCTGTGGAGGTTGAATCAGCACACACTGGGCTGTCAGTGTGTGTGTGTGTGTGTGTGTGTGCCTTCTGTAATGAACATGTGTGATGTGGTTAAAGGGTCACCTTAAATGAGTTAGAAAAACAATGGACGGTCAGTCAATGATAAGCAAAATCTGACGGATCAGGTTCGACTAAGTCGGGGACAAGCTGAGAGTGTGCCTTTAAAATAAATGCCTCTTAAATACAGCATTGTAACCTCTATCTTTAAATCAGGGCCTGTCTGGTTAAAACACGAACATCTAATCCCACATATACGGCCAAAGACTTCATGATGACCTCCAGTGCTTCAATGTTTTTGATGCCTAATGCTAAGGAAACAACTCAATCGGCACTCGACCTCTCGTGAGGTGCAGTTCCTCGGTCCCTCCAGCAGAACGGACATTGCGCAAGTAATCCAGGGTCAAATGTGATGGAAACACGGACAGGATACTGAACAATCATAGCAAACTTATCATAACACAGTTTCTGGGACAAAGAGCTGGGTCAGACACAGATGGCTCCAAGCCAAAAGGAAATATTTTACGAGTGCTGACAAGAGACTCTGAAGAATGGTTGATACTCGTTCCTCGGCCTTGGTTTTTTTTTGGTAAGCTTTAAAATGCACATGACCCCATTTGAAATGAGCCTGAATCATCTCCACAACTCGACATACTGAATTGATTCAAAACTTCTGCAGATTTTCTTCAGGATCGAGTCGAATGCGACTAAATGAAGGGGATGGCATGTGATCAGCCCTGCATTAAGATCAGTGTTAGTGGTAACTGGCTCTGGGCAGTGTGACTCTGCAAACACCAGAGGGTTGTGACGACTGCAGTCCACAGCTCCAGAGATACAGAGCAGACTCTGTAAATGCTGATCCACGATTACGGAACTGGATTTGGAGTTAAAAACATGAACTCAACTGACTGCTGCTGCTGCGGAGAGTTTCTGCTTGGTATTTAATCAAAGAGATTTAGGAACGACTCTGTACTTGCTTGCTTTATATCTGCTGCTGTAAAACACACCAAAGCCTTGAAAAATCAAATTGAAGATAAGTGGAATAGAAGTGTTTTATTCTTGACAGCCTTGGGTGTTTCTTCTTGGTTTAGAGGACAAATCAAGGACAAAAAAGCTGATTTAGTTTCAATGTTATTGTTTTTTTTTTTTAATTGATAGAAAGTGAAGGTGGGCTGCTGTATTGGCTAGTAAGCTTTCTTAATCCCCAGGACTAAAACGGTAAAAGACCTTGAATGCTTAGACGTAAAGCGGGTGCAAAGGCGAGATAACTCCAGTGGTGTTGATGCCGATTTCCCCCGCAGTGATTAGCTGCTGTTTATCAGTGAGGGGCTCATTACTGAAGCCAATGGGCTCGGATGGTCGTTAGCTAACCCCCGCGCTGACACTAATGTGCTCCAAGCTAACGGACTGGCCCCCGGCTCAGCTAAGCGCGGGCGTGTGCGTGTAGCTGCGCACACAAGAAAACAAGGGGCACATGTACAGGAAGAGAGCGAGCTCACGCACACGCTGACACTTTACCACAGAGCCACTTAATCAGTCCTGGTCTAATTAAAAGGCCAGACTGGGATGAGAGTGTTTAATGCGGGAATAGGAACGATAAAGCCGGCACAGGAGGAAGAAGAACGAAGCGGGAGCACCAACACACAAGTTAACAACACTGTAAATATGAGAGGAGAGCAGGGATGCTCTAGCTGGAGGGGGGGGGGGGGGGGGGGGTCTGCATTATCAAACACCATCAGTCACACATGCAGCTCCTACTGTGCATGCGACTGTGTGTGTTTGGGTGTCTGTGTGCATATTGAGATACTACGGCTGTACAGTAAACTGAAGTTATTGGCTCATCATCAGCAGCATACAAAACACTAAAAAGAAACATTGAGGTGCTAAATCAATGTCACACATGGCCTCAAGGTGTTCTTCACACACACACACACACACACACACACACACACACACCACACACACACACACACACACACACACACACACACACACACACACACACACACACACACACACACACACACACACACACACACACACACACACACACACACACACACACACACACACACACACACACACACACACACACACACACACACACACACACACACACACACACACACACACACACACACACACACACACACACACACACAAAAACGTGGCTCCTCCAATCTTTTTAAATGGGACAGCCTCGTTGGCACAGTGTGGTTCCTGAAGCTAACAAAACACACACAGGGATGTCTGGGAAAAAACTGGCAAAACTTTTTCCCAACTTTCTCAGAGTTGTATAATCCTGTGCGATAATCAAAATAAAGATTTAATTGCAGTGCTCTGTTGTGCTGTTTTCTCTTGATTATCAGGATTATCAGTTGGACTTGAAGAAACAGCAAATCACATGCAGCTGCAGTTTTTCATTTTCAGTTTGAACACTTTATATTGTGATGTCTGGATCGGACGTACACAAACTTCTTCACTTAGGAATGACTGCGTAATAGAAGTTAAAGTCAGACATTCTAAATTCCCTTTAGTTTTTAGAGTAATCAGTGATAGAGGTGGGGCAAAATATCGTTGTCTTGACTCATTTGATAATATTATAAAAACGCTGGTTCCAAATATCCAGATCTTAATTTACAAAATGGGATTCTGAACACATTTCCCTGCAGTTAGGCTCACCATGTCACTACATGACTCCTGACTGTGGAACTTGAATATATCAGGGTAAAACTGGCCACACTAGACGATTTAAGGACTGATTTTGCCCCCCACCCAAGAATCGAAGGGGCGTGGCCTGATTCAAGGCTTGTCCTATCTATTTTTTTTGTCCAAAGAATCCTGAAGTGTGTGGTGTCACTGGTGAGTTGTTATCATGGTCTATGTATCGCTGCGATTACCCAATTCAGTAATTCTTTAAATCTTCACAGAAGACAACATTAGATAACAGTCATTGATGGGCAGTTGGAAGAAAGCGATGTTCCTTTGAGAGAATTCTTTTTTTTTTTTAAAGAACTATAACAAGGAATCAGTTCATAATTTTGTTGGCAGAAATGAGGTCCATCCACATTTATGGTCTCATCATTTCAGCTGTCCCTCTGCTCCGTTATCTGACAGTTGCACCCAGCTGCACCCTGAACATCCTCTCGATTCCCTCCTGGGAGTTGACTTTTTTCAAAGGGAATACCAGACGACTTTCTTCTTCACACCTTATAGAATTAGTTTGTGAACCTCAGGGGACACGATTGCGAGCTGTAAGTCTGTTGCCATCCCGTCTGTAGGTGTTAAGAGTGCTGGACTGCACTTGCCGTTTGAAGTGGCCCTACTCTGATGTTCGGAGCCTTGGAAGTGAGGGCTGAGCCTAAAGTGAGGCAGATGAGAGGAGTCGACTTACTCGTAGTAGCAGAAGGTTGGATAGCCTTTGACGTTGTACTCCTGCCTGAGGCCGTCAAACTCGGCGGGGTGCACGTTCATCCCCGCCAGGATCTTAAAAGACAAACAAAACAAAAAGGTAAAATGAGGTCTGAGTTGTCATGGAGTTAAAGGAAAGTAAAGGAAGAGAGAAAGGAAAGAGAAAGGACATGAAACATCAGAACAGGTTTGTCACCATCACAAGGGCACTGAAACAAAAAGATGGATTACTCCAAGGATAGATTGAGACTGCACTGGAAAAAACATGAGTATAAAAATGTTAAGATTTATAAAACTGCTTTTTGGATGTATCCTGGAGTCAGAAGGGCGTTATTGTGTACAACAAGAACAGCACAAAAACTGTCATTTATAACTACTGTAATATGCACTCTTTAAATTGTGTTTATTGTGCAGGCCAAAAAGAAGGAGACATTTTTAATGAGGCATTTCCTTAAATATCCTGAAACATGAGAAAACAATCTGAATTTCAATGGAATGTGGCTTAAAGGTTTCAGGTAAAGTCACACCTTGCAACTGTGACGGAATGACAAATCCACTGCCTTCCCTTCTGCTTGTAGGTAAGAAAGCATGACTGTGAAAAAAGATTTAACAAACCTAAAAACCTAACCAGGTCCCCTGCATTTCCTCTATCTGAAACAGACTACTCATGATGTCTGGAAAAGTTCTCAAACCATTTCCTGTATTTTGTAGTTGACGGTTTCAAAGTGGAAACTGAAAGAGAATGAACGATGATAATAAGAATAATGAACTGAACTAAAAACACAGACGATTGCAATCAGAACAAATCCACATCAGTCTGAAAGTTATTCAAGCTTTTTCTGATGAGTTGTAACATTTCAGACATCACCTTTCCACTTCCCCGTGTCCATGACACAGAAGTGAGAAATGTGCTGAACAACTTGGCCGACCCCCAATTCAAACCTTTCACTTCCCAGCAGCACCGTTATTCTCATGCAATAACAGACACCCTCCCAAAAAACACATAGCCCAGCGTCTCGCACATAAACTCGCCCGTGATCCGTTCAGGAAGCTTGCATGCATTACTGTTGAGATCCTGCTGAGTGGTTGAAATGTTTGCTACTCAAACGCTTGGTATTCAAGCAAATAAGAAGTTAATTATCTTTTTTTTGTCACTCCTTTTCTGTGTAGTGTGAGCCAAAAGAAACTTGCTAATCTTCCTCTGTGTCTACTCAGGCAGCTGCCTCTCTGCTCTCGTTGCAGAGATCTCTTAGATGCTTCTTCTTCTGGCTCTTGAAAAGAAGCGTTTATGAACACAAAGCTTTTGTTTCCCAAGCTGATCACAAAGGCCTCTGGATGTTGTTTAGCATGCATTCCTCCAGCGATGTTAAAAACATTTCAATGGCTGGGAACAACAGAGCAGCCCTCCAAGTTTGAATGTGTCTGTAATACTGCTGCCTGTCTGCAAACTGTCAACATGGGTCTTTGTGGGACCCATGAGACCAGGAGGAGGAGAAAACATGACGAAATCAGGAGGGGGGAAAAGTTAGGAAGTAAATACACCGACTTTAAATCCATACAGAGGCTTGTAAACTTCAGCTGGAACAACATTAACTCTTAATTGTGGCTGCAGGTGACATCTCCAACAAGTGAAAAGCACATTAAAGTGCTCACTGTCACTAAATATAAACCTGTGAAAACAATATGGAGCCCTAAAATCATCAAGAACAGATTTCTCTGCTAGACTCCGAAGCTTTTCAATGGGCTCCTGTGATTGCTCTGGGTCGATGCAACCTGACAAATACAGATACAGTTAAGTCTAGCAGAGAAGGAATCATGGCTTGTGAATATCCTTTCAAAGCCATCTGGGTTATTATTCTGCTGAATCTAAAGCTACGGTGCAAAAGTTGCAGAGGTGTTGTAATTTTTTGTTTTAGAGAAGTTTCCAGGAAACACATCCAAGAAAAAGCTTTAATTTGGGCCCGCCTGACAGACCGTCCTCTTGCGGATTACCAAGCAACCATCCAGACATTCACTGCTGACACATCTCATCTAATCTGCAAACATCAGAGAGGGACGGCTGAAGATCAGAGCCTGTTAATACAATAAGACAGAGGGCCGAGTGTGCATGGAGGGGTGGGGTAGGGGTAAGGGGGTCCAGCAGACTTACATATTTCCCCTTGGTCTCTGTGGCAGCTTGCTGAAAGATGGGCTGCATTCTCTTACAGACGCCGCACCCTGCAACCAAAACGGAACAAGTGAAGTTATTCTCGTGAAATGGATGGGGACAATTGCTCTGACAGCATCGGAACCAATTTCAGAAGATGTCCAATCATCTGCCAGGGGAATTGTTATTTCTTTTGTCAATAGCAGCTTGCAGTGTGCTGTGTGATGTTAGGAGATACAGGATGATGCACTCAGAGGCACTGACCAAAATAATAACTGAGCAGAATACAAAGAAAAGTCCACGCACTTGATTTACTATTGAGCTACAACAGGAGACGAGGACATTCACCCCTCAGTGACAAAAGAAGGTTCTGATGTTTGGTGGTGAAGGAAAAAACAGGTTTCATTTTGACTCACTGGTTTCTGGTTTGCATTGTTTTTGTATTTTATACCATAATAAATATCAAATGTGTGTTCAAACTAAGGTTGTCAAAATGTTAGATACTCAGATACTATTTGAACAAGAAAATCTCTGTTATTCCAATGATTAAAAGTATCGCAAAGTAACGAAACAAACAAACAAAACAAAATCTTCAGTCAAATTTTTTACTGAAAGCAAAAAAGAGAGAGAGAGCACCGTCTGCAAGTTTTGGGACAACATCTTTCGGATGTTCAGTGACAAATATAACAGAACGCTAACTCCTGACAGGCTGTCTGTACTATTGGGTTTCTCTGATCATGTTTTGACTCTTTCTTCTGCTTTACAAAAAGCCCGGAAATTTGTGTGGTTACAGGTTACTTCGAGTTCAAGTTATTTCGAGTGGGTGGAAAAAAAGGTTAATTGACACGGTTTCCTGTCTCTGTCTTGAAGAAATTTGGTTTACACTGTCAAATGTTAATAAATAAAAATCTATTAAATTGCACAAATACGTTTCCCATGCAATTAAGACAGCATCTTGGAGTTTCGCCTAAAGGTTTTTGAAAGCTGAAAACAGGAAATTAACCAATATTGGGTGCATAGGACTTCTATTTTTGTTGCTGTGGAATCAAAACAGATAAGGATATAGTTTGATTTTACTAGAACTGTATCAAAGCTGAAACTGTGGTGTTGTGACAACCCTAGTTGAATGTTTTTGACCAAAGAAAAAGCATTTTGAAATTGGAAATTTGGAAGTATTTTGAAAACTAAACAATTTACTGACAGTTTTGCAGTAACTGAGGGATGAGAATACTCATTAGTTTTGTCTTCTATGCGACTATAAGAAGTCTGCAGCATATTTAATTGATAAGAGAAAGCGTCCTCTGGTTGCGATGTATTGATTATTGATTAATGATTACCACAGTTCATCACAGCATTGATTAAACACAGTAGTTTTGTGGAGTATCACTAACATGCGTCGATGTCCTCTCTTTAAATGACGCATCTCAAACCATCAATCTTTCATATTTTTTTCCCCCGACAATGACGGCAGCTGTGAGTGTGAGTTTGTTCGAGCACGCCGTCTTCCAATCACAGAACGTTCAAGTGGAGCGAAGAAGAGCGCCTCTTGTCCCATTTACAGTGAGCTACTTAAGAAGTGTGTTAATGAAAGGACTCACAGGGAGCATAGAACATCATGAGCACCGGCCTCTCCTCTTTCTTCAGCATCTTCCTGAAGTCCTTAAAAAAAGAGGGAGAGAGAAAGGGAGCAAGAGGATGGTAAAGAAAGGTTTCATATTAAAAATATATATGTGAATAAAAGACGTTGTATTTTCCCAAGAAAACACACCAACGTTGACTAATATTAAAAAAAAAAAAAAAAGATTAAAAACAATAGCTTTGTTCCTCTAACAGCTCCCCCCAAGGTAGATAAGATTTCCCAAAATAGCTTTGAAATAATAAAACAAACCATCACATTTGCTTCATCAGCAATCTACTAGACAGCGTATATTACACAGAGTCATCACATCAGCAAATAAAGCGAGAGAAAACATTTTTGGACAGCAAGTAGACCAGCCTTCATACCAGTTTCTCATCCTCATCATCACCTTCATGAGCTCAGCGACTTCCTCAGAAGGCGCTTATTCAGCAGAACCGTTTGTTGACACCTCTAACAGGCCTCGGGGCACGAGTGGATGTGCAGGGCTGCCGTTCATTAAATCAAAAGACTTTCTGATGCTGTTTGTAATGGTACTGAGGGGGAAGGGGTTTGATGTACCGTATGAACTGACTGGTGTTTGTAGACGTCCTGAACTATGTAGAGCAGCTCTTTGATGATATGTTCGCTTTTATGTGTGAGGTGTAGTGTTGCAGGGATGGACTTCCTGCTGTGTGAAAGCTGTTCATACAACACTCAACAGGGCCGCTCAGTAAAGAGTTTCCCTGCGATGGATGGATGAATTGATTGGTTGATGTTCAATTAAAATATGTGTTGTCTATAGGGATGAGTATCGTTAGGATTCGAGCCTGACTGATTAATCAGCCAGCCGATAATATCAGCTGATATTAGCACATCAAGTGACTATCAGTATCAGCTAATTTTGCCTCCAATTTACAAGCTTCTTTGTAAATAATCCAAATCTTTTTTTTGGCTCACTACTTACTTTCTCTGTCTCTATGTGGACGACATCTTTCGCCTCGGGGTTCTCCTCCCACAGCGGGGGGCCTGACGGGTCTTTCAGGAACGCTACCATGGACTGAAGGGAAGAAAAATAAGTAAAAGTAAGATCATGAAACAAGTTGTCACTTTAACAAAACGATCCTGTAAACACTGCATGACTGATGACGGCTGACTTGAGCATTGAAGGCATCACAGTTAAATTTAGAACAGACAACACTGCAGGCTGTGCCAGGTGGAGGCTCATACAGAGCAACGTGTTCATGCATCAAAGAGGTGTCACAGCTATTCCAATACGTTTGGGCGTTTGTTAATGGGCTTGGTAAAGCTCCATGTAAATAGAATGAACCATATGTCTGCGGAGGCAACAGCAGGAAATGTTTCATTCAGCGGGACAATAACAATGACAGAGTGGACACAGGCGGAATATTAAATGATCAGTACGTGGTTTTCAGAGTTACTTGTTAATGGTTTAAACTGAGACTTTAGGCGCTTCATTGTTGCAGAGGCTTTTACATCTGTCAGGGAAATAAAAATGGGCAAAACACAATTAAAAAGAACTATTTAATCATAACAGTGGAAAACAAATATGCATCTACAAAGTTTTGTTATGATTGGCTTTAATAAACTCAGATGAAACAAACAAAGGAAACCACTTCTATATGGTCTCCATACTTTAATCTTAACCAGGGCTGAAAAAAGTTTTGATTTTTAATCTTTGAAGGAAGAATGTGCGACTTTTTGATCCAGTAGGCCCTTGAGCACCAGTATGAAACCAAAACAAACTTCTGTTTGGCAACACCTCCACTATTCTGAACCCTCTGCTCTGCACACCTCCAACAGGTCTCCACTCATGTTCACACAAAGGAGTAGTTATCAATTAGAATGTACCATAGTTAAGCACCATTTAGGGCAAGCGGCGGACAAAATGTCCTCGACTCGAGCAGCTGATGCGAAGAACACAGGATCTCTGATGTGCACTCACCTTAAAGGTAGCGGGTCTGTTGTACTCTGTGTGAAACGTCCCATCTCTGCAAGACACACCAAGCACAGTGCTCACAACGCCGGAAGTAAACGGCAAACAACATGCTCCTTAAGCTGATAACACCAAATTACTTTCCAGGAAGCAGTGAGGTGTAAAAGACTGTCTGACAGCCAGCTGAGTTTTTCATAGTTACTCACTTGTAATGCATCAGCTCTGCTCCTTCACGTTTGGAGCTCGTGTCCACCTTCACCTTCTTACAGAGCTTACGGCCCTCTGAATCTCTGAGAGAGAGAGAGAGAGAGAGAGAGAGAGAGAGAGAGAGAGAGAGAGAGAGAGAGAGAGAGAGAGAGAGAGAGAGAGAGAGAGAGAGAGGATACAAAATAATTAAATATGTGAAAATCTTAAACAACCTTTAATAGAATAGAATACAACATGTCTTGTCGTTGCTATAGAAAGTTTAGCAGCTCTCGTCAGTGGCAGCACAGACAGACATACAGGAATAGTAACAATGTAAAGACAACATGAACAGCACAAGTGAAGTGAAGTCTAAAAAAAGCTCTGAAAAAGAAAGTGCAAATAGTGCAAAGCAGCTGTCAAGTTCAATAAATAGTAAACAGTATAGGCCAGTACTGAATAATAGAGTGCTGGCGCTGTGGTTATTGGTTTGGGGGGGGGGGGGGCGGCAGTGTTGTGTGTGGTGTCTTTCTTAGGGTTGGGGGCTGGTGGGGTGGGGTGCATTTTACTGCCTGTGGAAAGAAACTGGGAGGGGGGAGAAGAGCCTGTGTTCAGGATGGACAGGGTCTACAACGTACATCACCCTTTGAAATCACAGTTTGTTATAGAATATAGACTTCCTCTCATCAAACAATTCCAATTTGGAGGTCATCTCAATTTAAAAGGGTGTCTACTGTATATTGGACACAGTTTATTCAGTCAATATTTCCACAAACAAATCTTTCTCTATAAACTCAAACTTATGATTATACAAATATAAACTTAGACATTTAGGGCTTTCAAACATGCAGAAAACTCCTAAAAAAGGACACTGTAATGTCGACCGCATTGGAAATGAGGGAAACCTCAAGCACAGTAAAACAAGCAGAAACCCTGAGTAGAACCCGACTCATGTGGAACGGCCATCTGCCTGAATGGGCATCCTGGTTAAACTTTTATGTACAGCTTGTTAGTTTACAGGATTCACTTTAATAAGGAGGCTTACTCCTGTAACTTTAAAAAAAAGGCCACAGTTAAAAAGGACATCATGATGCATCTAACCACCTACATGTACTTCACACATGCAGCAGTGAGACATCAGCAGCAACATTAAATACTCTTTTCTCTCCTGGAATGAAGCGCAAAAAAGGATATGCATTCATTATGAGAGGGAGAGATGGAGAGCGCCCGATGCTGACAGATTCAAAGAGGTGGAAATTAATCATGCCTCCAAGTCACTCAGCGAGCCGGATATGTTTAGGATGGTCCTGTGTTTTATGAAGAAGAGTGAATCAGTGTGTGCATGTGTTGACAGACAGTATTTCAGGTAATGACTGTGTGCTTAATACCATATTCTGCTGACTCATGAAGGCAGATGGCACCAGTTGGGGGGGGACACCAGGAGCAGATGTGACCTCGACATGTATTTGGAGATGATGCGCAGTCATCCGACTCAAAACCAGCCTTCTGATTCTTTCTCCTTGAAACATTTCCATGCGTCACACAAAGGTAATAGAAACCCGAAACTCTCAAATGTAGATAAAGGACCTTTGTTTGACTACTTTTAACACCTTTTGATGTTTTGAAAAGTAAAAGCAATCCTGTGGACAGTGAACACTGGGATTTTACACCTTACAACATATATGACAGAAAGGACTTGGCTGCAGATGAAAGCTCTATTTTGCTTTGACTTTGCAGTCTTTTAACGCATGCATTCAACTTTACAATTGGGAAAAAATGGCATTCATAGTTCATTCTTTTAAAGATATTTCCATTCTTTTCATGTCTTTAACAAGAGGACACGGCAGTGGATAGAGCCACTTCGAGGGCTATACAGACTCTGTAGCCTGGAGTTAAATTTAGCCCCTGAGCTAAACAAGAGCACCAAATTGCACCTTAAAAAAAAATGTATATTTTCCATAAGTCCTGCAGTAATTTTTGCAGTTTAGGGCTTCTCATCAGTGCAGATTGTGTGCTGTTTTATAACACCAGAAGAATAAGACCTTCAGGTACAAACTCAATTACATAACTGATAAATATCCATTTTAAAAAACACCAGCATGGGCCTGGGACATTCCAATCAGAGTGTGTTTTTTAAAGGTTACAACACACAAGTAAGTACACACAAGTTAAAGGTTACAACACAAGTTCTAGCAAAATGTTTACACTTTAAAAGCCTTTTTTGGAGTTTATTTTCCTCAACGTCTCATTTTTCCTTTATACGGTGTGCATCTAGTCTAGTTACAGACCGCCACCAGTTTCTTTTTTAGAGCTTTTTTTCGACTTCAGTGCTTTAACCAGTATCACTCAACTGGTGGATCGGGAGCCGTTTTTAGTGGGTTGCGAATGGGTGCCCAGAAAAAATAACCATGTCAAACAGTTCATGGAGAGCTTTTAAACCTTGCTCGTTTTATTCTGTATATTTGTTCCATCATGTTTTGTACCGTCTTGGTCCAAACCTCCATTTTATTTTCATTAAATAAATCAAATTGGTTGTAAAATATCAAATATTTGGGTCACAATTTGTCATTAATAAAGATCTGTTCTATTCTATTGTACCAAAAGATGGAGACATTTTAATGTTACTCACTCTGTTTCTGCACAAAATGTTCATACAAGACAGATATGAAACTACAGAAGTGTTGTAAACTCAACTGGGCTGTACAGTTCTGGCATGAAAGACCACCTGGTATTGCGTGGTGCCACTTTGAAGAAGCCGGTGAATAGGCGACACGTGGGTAGAAAGACCAAAAGAACAATGGACTTGGGCTTTCAGCCTCTTACTCATCTTGTCATCCATACACAGTAAAACTGACTCAGAGGAAAAAAGGACTGCATTCCTTTGTGTCTGCAATATAGTTTTTGTGAATCAACCTATGAAACAGCATAACTATTCAATCATGCAACACATACAAGCCAAAGGACGCTAGAATGACTCACAAGCTAATGCTTAGTTCATAAAAAGAACGGTGGCCATGAGTGGCATTTCTCTAAAGGGCTGTCCACCAGATCAGCATAACTGTTGTACATTCATCTGTGGGTTAACGTAGGTTGATGCATCAGCGCCAAAGCTTTAAATGCTCCAGTGAGCAGGAGTTGATGTAGTACGGTATGAGTGGAGACTGATGGGAAGTTATAAGGTGCTGACAGACAAATGTGGTGATGAGATAGGCTGCAACAGTTAAATAGATACCAACAAAAAATTGTCCAACCCTGTGTAGTTAGGATTAAGAAAGTACAATTATAGCAGAGCTTGCATTATTTAGAAGAAAAAGTTCTGCTCTCTTCAACTATCATCTTATTTATCAGGTTTGTTTGAACAGAATCTTAACATTTTACTCTCTCTGAAATATAAACTATAACTTCTGACTCTTTAAATTCAAAGGGGCTGATGAATATAGTTCTGCTTGTATGCTGTGTTTAACCAGCATCAAGAATTGCAAGCTGACAAGGACGTTGTTTATGATTCACTGTGTGAAATGGCATCGCCAGCAGAAACCATAATGATGGTACGCAAGTTAACCACATATCTAAAAACATGGATGTAATCTTTTAACTTTTTGGCTTTTAAAGTTTTTTATTACCGCTGTAAAAATTTGTACTCTAATGTGGGACCAAATGGGAATTCCTTGGCTACTGCAGTCAGCCTCAACTGCAGCTTTTTGCACGTCGGCTTTTGCTTCATTTAACAACTCAAGGTTAACAAAAGCGAATTGAAGACAGGGTGTGTTCCGTTAGCTAACTCTTCACTCGCTGACAGACCAATCACTGCTGGAAGATGGAAATGCATCAATGACCATTTTCCCTTTGTGATCTTTTCTAGGAATGTGCCCACAATGAAAGGCTTTCATCTGCAGGCCATAGGCTCAACCATGATACCTGTTGGCGATAGATTGTGACTTACAACTTTTCATTATTCTTATGCAAATCTTTAAGCTGTTTAAGTAGGACGTTGGGGAAAAATAAGGGACCCAACAATTTGTAACAGGTCAAAATCAACGGACTCCCTTTCTGTAGAGGATTATTTATGAATTCATCAGGCAAAGAGGATGAAGCCCTGCATGCTATTTAATTATTACTTAGTTAAAACACAAATCCTAATCTGTGCTGGCCTTGTTTGTCCTCTACTGGCTCAATTGATCTAGACAAGAGCATGTTCTAGGTCTGTTCTAACAGTCCAGTTCTAACTCCTGAATGGAAGCCGACAACACGGTCCTGAACTTCCTGTATGAGCTCATCCATCCCTTCGGAGGATCCCTGTTGGCCAACACTCAGGTCCCTGTCATCTGTTTAAAGTGTGTCATTCTGGCCTTGGTGGCCTTCTTCCTTGGCAGGGTTGCGAGTTCTCACGCTGTGATATGGGCTCAGCTCGCTCTCTCACTCTGTCCACCATGAGCTCGCAGCTGGAGCTTCGATTTGGAACCGACCCATTTGAGATGGTCGAGAAAAATGCCAAATAGCACACAATGCTTTGCCACAGAGCCTGGCACTGGACCTGTGTGTCCTGCAGTGATGAGCCCGGCTCACTCTAGCTCCTCTGGCAGGAATCTGGCCCAGTATAAATCTCTGCTCAGTGTGAGTACACTCTCTTACATGCTTGAGTTGTTGGAGGAGGAAGAGAGAGAGAGATTATACCATACAGTCCAAGACAAAAAAAGGTAACTGAATCGAAAAGTAAACAATAAAGCAGATTGTATCATGGAGTGTCTTTGAAAAGAAACGTGGACACGAACAGTTCTGACAATCCTTTCAACTCCAGACTGATATGAGTTTCATTTTCCTTCCTGTCTATCCGCCTTGTCTTCAATACCAGATATGCTTGAGAGAGATTGTGAATGCTGCAATGAGGACTTGGTGCCAAAGGGGAGTAACTGTCTTCCTGTTTCCTGTTTTATGATACATTTTTCCTCCTCTGGTGAAGGAGACGGTTCTTGCAGTTGATGGGTTGACAGGTATAAAAGAATGTAAGTGGAACTGAACATGAGGAAGGGCAGAAAGAACAACAATCCAAAGTCGGGTCACTGGGGAGTAAAGGGAGTTGTGCTCGAAGGCCGTAACTTGCCAGAGATAGATACAAGAAAGAAGAATGACAGATGTCCTGCTCTACTTTCAGAAATAAGAAGGAGAATTTAGAATGAAATATTACATAAATATTAAAAAGTCAGAAGTATTTTCTTTATTTCCACAGCTGCAAGTAGTGATTGTTTTGATTTTTTGTACAGCTGCCGGTTATTTTTGATTTATAATATGGCTTTGTCAATGATACAAAAAAATAGGTAGAGGAAATCTTTCTTTATTAGGATCCCTGTTAACGATACGAAAGATAAGCATCTGCTATTCCTCCTGGGATCCAACAAACACACAGTCATACACAACATAAATACCTAAATGGCAATGCAGTGCCTAATTACTACAATTAACATAATGAAGTGCTTAAACTAACATTCAAAGTTACTAATATTCAATTTATAACAACATCATAAAAAAGCAATTTGTTTTCCACCATCAATTGTTAAACTATCTTTTCATTTGCCATCATTAACACAGCAAGATATTAATCCTTGTTACTATGTGATGTTGACAAAATGATTTCAATAACACAAAGTTTAATAACTTTATGATTCAATAAGTTAAAGTTTTCATTATCCTTTAAGATCCTCCTCCCCACATGCCCAATTTCTTCTGATTGGCCAGTTCCATGGAAGCCTTCATGTTGGGGGCAGAACGCTGCAGAGCTTCCAGAGGAGGACTAAAGCCGTCTTCTGAAATTCTCGATATCATATCAGAGAACCATCGCCGTGATTCACAGGACAAGCCGTTAAGAGCAGACTTATCCTGGAATCACTCCAACATACGTTCACCTCATGATCACATGTCTGTGTTGTGTCTGTGTTGCTGCTGTCACCAATTGCTCCAAGAGGGATTAATAAAGTTGTTGAATGATCTGAAACTTTGCCCACGTTTAGTATGGGCATCCAGCATTGTAACACTATGGGCAAGTTATAAAATGGGGATGGACACAATAGGTCAACTTCAATAATTGAATGGCTTCCTGTCAAAAATTGCCTGTACCATAGAACCTGCAGGACAAAGCCATTTACACCTCGATTAAAAAGCCATAAATTGTGTAGATGGATGACAGAGGAGACATTCTCTGAGGAGGATTAAATTGCTCTGCTGTCAGAAAAATACATCCAACAAGAGAGGACATTATGCTGAGAGAGACTGGTAGCCAATTGGTGTGACTAAGAGAGGATTTTTTTTTGTGCATGCGTACAATTTAGAAGAAAAATAATGAACCCTATTACTTACCCACAGTTGACCCATGCAATAGTCCCTTGGCCCTTTACTGTCTGGGCCACATCTGATAGCAGTTTCAGGTGAGAGTCCCCTGATGTAGCTGCAAACACAAGAGAATAAACCTCAGTCAGAGTTGTTAGCAAAAGCGTTCAATAGCTCAGGAGAGCCTGGAGACACAGAGGACACTGTCATGTCAAACACAGCGAGGAGGAATTGAGTTACAGCACAGCTCAGTGTCTTACTAGAGAACAAAGTGGCAAAGAAAGAGATCACTGAGTTTGGGATGCAGGGGTGATGGAAGAGCGCTTTCTAATACTCTTCACTAGATGGGTTCGGGGAGGGGGTTTAAGTTACATCAGCTTTCAGCATCTTACAATAGTGAGACTTAGCAGGGGATGGAAGGATTATAAGGTGACACAAAGACTCTGCAGAAGTAGACCAACTTTTCAGCTAACAAGGGGGGGGAGGCACAGCACGGATGTTGTGCACACTCTCGTTTCTACCTGCTGCATGCTGCTTTCTACCACATTGTGAGCCGTGATGAACATCGAGTGTGAGCTCATTCAAGGACAACACGGAGGGGTTCATGACCACCGGAGATTTTGCACAATCTACCGTATCAGTGAGAAAATAAAGCTGAGCTGTGCACTCTGCTTTCTGTGTTTGGAAAGAGGAGACTCTTGTATGTAATAAACTGTACGAGCTAACACAACACACACAGCAATATATCATATTTTTCTTATCAGATGTGGCAAGAAAAGGAGATTCCTGTGAGTAATGTTAACTTGTGTAATGTTCAAACTTTTGTAACACAGTACATCATTTTTATACTCCCCCTGAAACCCGGTGTGTTTTATTCACTGCATAAAAAGTAGAATTCCTCTCAATGCTTCAGGCCAAGGCTATATTTAGATTTAGGGGTACTGCTATGACTCCCCAGGGTGCTGCCTTGCACCGGGTTAGCAACAAAAACATCTGGCAATTCAGTGTTAGAGTATAACCATGTAAGGAGAAGGATGCATGCAGAAACTGTCTGGTAGATGTTCTGATAAGCTTAGGAGGATTGATGAACGCTAACCAGAGCTAATCTCAACAGGGATTCAAATGACTGCAGAGGGTCAGAGGATGGTGATGGGAGGGGCAGGGGGCGACCGTCCTTACTCATGAGGTAAGATGAATGTGGTGCAGCTAGAAGTGGTCAGATAATTGGTTAGTGTAGAGAGGATTTAAAGGAGCAAGACAGAAAACCTGCAGGAAGAGGGAACATTAAATTAGGCATGCCTGTGTGATGCTGCAGCGAGGGAATAATCATCAATCAGAGGCAGAGCTCAATGTGTAGAAGCTTTATACAGTCTTTTTATTCATGCTGACATGGGCCATGAATAATGAAACAAATAAATCTGTAGCTGTGGGGCTCTGTGAGTCTTCTGATGCTTACTGAGGAGTAGGAGGGGCGTTTTGATTGGAAAATTAGTAATATCAAGCGGCTTCTTCTACAAGCCTGCTGTGTATATTCCTCTTCTTCTAAGAAATATGTTAATTTAAAAGGAATTAAAGTCTACTGGGCTGCATTAGGAGATCTAACCTAATGGTTGGACGAACACAATCCTGTTTAACTTTGTTTGACTGGGCAGAGGGGTTTCATTTTTCTATTTCATAACTGATCCCTTACTCTACAAGATAAGTTCAAAATCCATTCGTGAGATAGACCACCCTTTAAAAGAAGTCCGTGGGCAATAGCTGCACAACACAGTGAACCCAAATGCAGCTTATGATACCATGGTATCATAAGTGAAGTGAAAAAAACAGAATATAGCATAGACTCTGCATTCACTGTTCTCTAGCCAACATTTCTCTGCAGACTCTCCTATCTGTTTTCCTTTTTCTCTTTCCATGGTTGGGATGGAGGATTTCTTTACTGGGCGCTTGTCCTTTGATTGGGCAGTATCAAAGTGTTTATCTGTGTGTTTAAGTATCTTGTGTTTATTTCAGAAAGGTGTTTATTTGCCTAATTATTAATTGATTTGTTTTGCTTGTTTGAAATGTAAAGCATTTGGTAACTACTTTCCAACCCAAGTTCAAACAAACTGAGACACTTAATAGTAGTAGGGGTACTAGTAGTTGTAGTAGTATTACTATGCCACAGCTTGACTGCACTCTTATTACAGATGGTGAACAGAAGAATTTATAACCATGTTTTACATTTACATTATTTTAAATCAATGAAGCAAAATGTTGTTCTACAATTTAAGTTATCTTCATGCAAGCATGGTTATGCACTATTATTGAGCACAGCTGCACCTTACTGTAGCTGTGCTTTCTCATGAGCAACTGAAGGAAAGGCTTTAGATGTCATCATAGATCAGTTACTTCATATATCTTCAGTTCATTGAGTCTGATGTGGGCGCATCCCATAATATGTGGTCAACCCTTATTGACTGTTAGTATGTGGACAAGAACATGGTGCTGAAAGTAGGCAAAAGTTGTTCACATCTTTAAACCTACAGTGGTCTCTACAGCCAGGTCCATAAACAAAATCACTACGGTAGGATGCCAGTCTTTTCTCACCTGACTTGGTGTAAAGTACCAGAACATTGGTCCTCGTTCGGAGCAGCTTCTTGAAGTCTTTGTGGTCGCTGACCTTCTCTATGAGCGGAGACACCTTCACCGCCTCCAGCACCTGCAGCAGCCCCACCTGTAGAAAACACACCAACAAAACTATGAATAATCAGACAAACACACCAACGGCCAGAATCAAATGCCTGTTCAGATGTGTTAAAGTCGATTCATTATTATTTCTGCTCAAACAAAGATGATGCCCACTTAAGTGTCTCTTTGGTTCATGTAATGTCCCCCCCGCCAACACCTTTGAACAGATTATCATTAATGTTGCAAAACTCAAATGCAATTTGCCAAGACCTCCTCAGACTTTTATTATTTCGATTTATTCTACGAACTTTCATCCATCGTCGAACACAGGACAAGTTTGACCTTTTTACTTAGCCACAATTCTTGTAAAGCCGAATATAGAGACAAATTGCAAAATATACTTTCACATGTCATTTTTCCAAACCACGAGGCAAGTTAAAATATTGGCTTGATACAAGTGAAATAAGTTTAATACAAAGAGCCATAGCTCTCATATCAGTCTTGTACCTCTGCAGCAGTCCCATCAGTAAATAAGTGCGACACCACATTTTCTTCTTTATGTGACTCATAACTGCCACAAACAAGATCAACAGTTTAAACTTGATATGTATCTCTGAGCTGGAATGTTATATAGGAATTTCAACCCTGAATTTAAATTGTTATTGATTTCACTTCAACTGCTGTACAGCACAAACAACACGGTGCTGTGCTGATACTCCAGAATGAGCCCGGTTCTAAAGGTGATTCAAAGTGAGCAACAGGTGGGCACATCTGCACCATTAGTCGGAATGGCTCCTTCGACTTTCCAAACACCGGCAGTCTGGCTAATGGTGTGAAACACCTCATATAACAAACAAAGCCCATATTGAGAAGCTTGCACTTTAATCACAGACAACTAAAAAAAAAGACAGATTACACTGAAGCCATACGAAGTTAACTACATGCATTTTAATAGACTCTGTGGCATCACCATTCATTAAAAAACCTTTCCTCTAAGCGTACGGAGAACTAAATTAGACACCAAACATTGTCTGCTCGCTCAGCGTTTCCTTTCCTGCCTGATGAGTGATATCACCTGAAATGAAAGCAAGCACATGTCAGGCTCATTTTCTCATTTTAATTCCCAACTGAATGCTCCTGTGAGGTGAGTCTGAAGGGAATCTTAAGACAGTACACTTTGGACATGACTACATTTCTTAAATTAACAGGGCAAAGCCAAAGGGCTTCTAAAGAGAGGGAAAGTAAAATTTAGTGCCAAGTTATAGAAACACTATCCATCTCAGGCAAATCATCAGTCATCCTTGGGATTATTTATGTTGACTTGGTGTGTTTTGATTTTGTCAGAGCAGGAGGTGGATGTGATGACAAGATAAAAACAAGTGACGTATCAGTATTCAGTCTTAGGACTCGAATGCATCACAGTGCAAAGAGTGGACTAATTAAAGGCTCGCTTGGTGAAACTTGTCTGCATAGGTGGACATTTAGTAATGGGAACGAGAGTCTGGGGGGCAAGATTAACAAAGAGATGAGACAGGATGTCAGGGTTTCTAACTTATCAGAAGGAGATGCTTGACGGTGGCCCGGCAGGATTAAAATTATGCAAACTGAACAAGTCTTTCACTTCAATTGCTTTCTGTGCCTCTAAAATATTAAAAGATTCACTGAGCATGTCCTTCTGGTATGAATAATGAAAATGTGAAGACAACAGCCGTCACACCTCAAGTGATGGCTTCTCATAACTAATTGGGGAAGTGAAAATTTCTTGTGGTTCAAGTTGAACAGATGTACAATAGTGATGTGTTGAATCTGAACCTTAATGCTGATATCAACTAAAATTAGGTCCAGATCTGTTGTTTCAAAACCTCATGTAGAGGACGGCACAAATGCAGTTAGACGGTTTACGTCCCTAATTATGATTTTTTTTAACCAGGCTTCAAACATGTTCATTTCAATTTTAAGTATCAAATACTCACCTCCAAAGGAACTGCCAGTTTGCTCTGAACAAAGTGTAACTTGCTATTTAACTGGATTTACAAAGTAACCAGTTTCTGAACCAGAGCCACAGAGAAGCAACATGTCTAACGTATAAATATTTCAAATCTCCACTTGTTTACCACTGATACGTCCACCACTGATACGTCCATGTTTAGAATTTCTCAAAGAACACTTGTCCAATAAATCAATAAACCCTGTACACTTCAAGTAGAGCTTTGGTAGCTAGGAGGAGTGTTTGAAATATTTCTACACACAATATTTTGATGCATCTTTGGCAGAATCCACTGTTACAGCTGTAAATCCAAACAAGCATACAGCTCCTATCTTCTGTGAAGGACCACGTTGAAAACATCAGACAGGGTTGTTCAACCTTTCAGGCATTAAGGTTGCACACACTCGGCAATAAATTGCTTTTCACTGATTGTGCACATTAACTTAAAACATAATTTCTGCTAAGTTGTTTGGGTTGGATTTTATGTTATGCTCTGATTGTAAAGGCTGTGGGAACATTTATGTTCATAAAGCAGGTTGTCTGTATGCAAGGTGCAAAATATATGAGCAATAACACATTTGGCAGGGTTTAACTTGTACTTGGTAAATACTGACATAAATACCATTGTATCAATTTATTTTGAAATGTATACTGGACATTGTGCAAAATGTATTTTTATACATTTTCAGAATCTAAAAAGAACAGAGTGAATTTATCGTATTAACACTAAGTGCATTATGTACCTTTTAAAAGTATTTTTCTTTCACTCATTCGGGTAATGTAGACTAGGGGATTCTCATCTTACTTAGAGGAGCATGTTTATAGGTTCAAATAAGTAATAAAAATACGGAGAGCTTCAATGTCTTGGTCTCTTTAAATGTTTTAAACCTTCAAATGTGGATTGCATACAGCATCAAACAGATTATGAGCTGACTGTTTGTCATGTATGGATTACAAAACAATGACAGGAACTGCAAACAGACACATTTAAATGTAATTCCTGCACAGAATGTACCGTCTGACACCTACACCTACAGCCGAGGCAGCTGAGAATGAAACTGATGCTGTCATCAAGCCAAAGTCCCTGATATCTCAGATATGACACGATTCTTCCACCAACTGAGGCGTGAGTCATCTTTAAGTGACAGATGTACAATAATAGAAATAACAAGACAGTACCGACAGTTTCCCCACAAACCATCTTAAGAGACAGGTCCATTCAGAGGCAGCGTTATGGCACTGCTGACGATTAAAGCTAGAGATTTATTACAATAAAGCACAAACACGCTCAGCTGAAAAAAACAAAACAAAAAAAAAACAGGGAAGTAACAGAGCAGCTTTATAAAGAGTTAATTTTGAGGTTATGAGCGGGAGGAAGCCACAGAAATAAATTGATAACAAAAAATAGTTGTGCTGACACAATCCAATTTATTTTCATGGCGTCTGATTTTATCTGCTCAGTGTTGGTGTTCCTTTTCTTTCTCCACCTCCTACAGTAAAAAGCCATTTTTCAACTTGAACTGCAAGTGATGATAAATCAGAGAACAAGGCTCTGTATTTATCAGCCATCTTGAACAGCTGTCTAGTTCTCTCCTGAAACGACAATGTGCACTTTGGCACCCACCAAAGGTCTCTGACGGCGACTGAACTGTTGCAAGACACACATAGTGCTGTCACTCTCAAGACAACGTGCATTTTCGGAACAAGATGGTGTGAAACACTTCCTCTGGTAACAGGGGGACAGGCGTCCATTGCTTTTAGCCCAGGTCTTATACTTCAATGTTTTCAACTTTTAAAAAAGTATAAAAGCTAATACCATCCAGTGTTACATGATTTTTGACACTGCTGAGTATTTTTCCATAACCACACATTCAAAGCTATTTATAGGTTGCAGCTCTGGGGCCTCATTGTATATTGTGTTCCATTTAAGGCTCTTATAATTCAAAAAAACCTGCACAATGGAGCAAAATGGACTGGAAGGTGCATGATGGGTTCAGCATGAGAAAAAACACGAGCATATTCCCACATTTACTACTTACATTGGTGATGGTAATGACAGTCTATTTCCATTGAGTCAGGGGACAAGAGTTCATTGTTCCCTGTTCATAAAAAACTTTTTTTTTTAATCTGAGCAATATTATTTAGGTCTTGGTCATCCAATACTGCCACTGAAATCCTGGACTGATGGTGTCTGGGTGAAATGCATATATGTAGCATAATGTATAACAATGAGTGTGAGATGATCTTTTTCCCCCTTGAATATCTAATAACTGACCCTCATTAGCATCACTAAGTGGGAAAGGCAGATCCATGAATATGTGCATCATGGTTAGTCAGAATGAATCTGATTTCTTTATCATGATGCAGCTCCAATGAGTAAGCTTGGCACGTAAAAGTTCAATTCTATGTATCAATGCATTCATTATGAATTAACAACATGAGCCTATTCAAAGTTATCAAGCCCACAATGGTCCATAATGTGTCTGATTGACAGGTTAACAATGAAAAAAGCTCATTCATTTTCAATTGCATGAAATGCAAAAAAAGAAAAGAAAATTCAGATTTTAGAGTGTGTAGTTGAGCCCCTTACTTCATTAATATCTTAATCCTTTCTACCATCAGACTTTTTTCTTGTTTTTTTTTTTACAGGATTCCTTCATAGAGGCAGAAGACCTGAGTCAGGAATGTGAAAAATGCAAAGCTATCTGTCAATAAATGGGCCGAGAAAGATTTTCCAGGAATGTTGAAAAACGTTTTGATGGGACGTTTTGATTTTGGAATTTCTTGTTGCTCCATTTGGCATTCTACAGAGTTAAAGAGCTAGCCTTAGCACTTAGCAGGGAGTGACTGATTGGCCCAAAAAAATAAGTATTTTTTGGAAGTTATGAATCTATTTAAAATATCAGAAGAAAAGAATCTCGATTTTTACATTTAGCGATTTTCCCCCACCCCTCATTATGTGAACTGTCTAAATGCCAACTGGCCTTTGGTGTGACCTCTAAAAAAATCCATTCTGACAGCTGAAAACTACTTGAATTTTGTTAACCATCTATTACACCACTGAGCAGCATGCATGTGAAGGCTCTGTTGAACTGGCCTTTTTCTGACTGCACGACTCATTGCTTAGAGAAAATCCATTACAGCCATATACTGTACTTCCCCCCCTTCCTTATGTGCCATAAAGGTTACGTCCAATCGTGTTGCTGTAAATAAATGTGGCGCTAACAGGGCTGTGGGCACCCAGCCCCTGCTTGCAACCCACACCCTCCATCTGCTGTGACAAATCTGCTAAATGAATGGCATCCACTTCCAGCAGCATTACCGAATCAGCACAAATCAAAGCAGTGTTAGTCAAGCACTTGAGTTTTCGTCTGACTAATGAGCCAGTCAGGTGTGTGTCAACCGGACAATTTTAAAGGAAGCTTATAGGTGATGGAAGAAGAGGATATGTCTACTAATAAGCTCACGTTACATTGTGGAAGATGGCATACAGTATATAGACACATAGTGTTGTTCAGTTGTTTCTTTAAGCAGGAGTTTACTGGTTTGAAATTTGAATTGCAGTCTTGGATCAACTTCTTTTGTTTGAACAGTTGGGGCAAACAAAAATCCTTCTGTGCAAAGATAATGAAGTCTTATCAAATGCAACTTGATATGTAGATGTATTTCTAAAATTCATTTGGATGGATGGCTTTCTATGTTTCAGTCTACAGCTTCATGTTAATCCTGAGTGTTGACATTGGTCTGATTACTGTATTTCTATGGGCTCAGCAGCTCAGAGTTAAAGGCATGTGTATAATACTCGGGTCTTGTAAAATGTTAACAAGCGTCAGCTATCTGCCACTGGGGGTTTTAGATGGATCTAGTGTAGGACTATAGGGAAAGTAGATCAGTTATTTATTGTAATGCAATGCATCTACTGGCGCACAAAATATGTCAATTAAAATGTGCAGTGTGTTTTTTTACAATAGCTATTAGTCTTGTAAAAAGTGTTATTGCCCAGAGCTGTAAAGGTTATTATTGATAAATGTATCATATAAAATATATGGTCAACAATTCCCATTGATGATGTCAATATTGTTTTTTCATCTCCTTTAAGTAGACATAGATATGGAGTTAGATGCAGTTTCTCTAGCAGTCTATTCTTAAAACAAGCAGTTAACTAGTGGCCTATTTTCTTTTGTTGATAATTGCAGTATTTTTGTGCACATGGCCTGAAATTCCTGCTGAGCACCAAATGCCACTAAAATCTGTTTTTTAGGGGACAAATCAATAAAGACTAACAGCCCCCCCCCCATCAGAGCTAACCTTGCTTATTTCTTGAATCTGTAAACAAAATGTCACAGAGAACATGTAGGCTCTCATAGAGTATTGATTATTTTGGCCTGAAAAAACAAACACATTTTATAATTGACAGGGAGACAATTTGAGTTTGCCAGCCACGGGCAGTGGAATTAAAGAGTTCATTTTGTGTGCGTGTGCATTTGAAGGGAGTTTGGATTAAATTGTTTTGACAGGCAGGACTCGACCGTCCAGACAGCTGCCCTCTAACAAAGTGCTGCAGTGGGTTTATCCCCTCCCCTTGTGGAATCACCTTCATATAACCCACACAGACTAGTGGTTGGTGATAAGGACAAAATCTGTCACAGGATTGTGGAAATAATGATGTATCATAATTAAAGCTGCAGCAAATGATTGAATTGCAACACCCGTTTATCTACCGTTGTTTTTTCCTCCCTCGTCCACTTTCTTTGGCTTATAGCGAGGCTGGCACTTGGCAGCCTGCCAAAAATGTAGTCTGTCTTACAGACTCATGTAATTCAACATGTTGCCATCATGTTAGGGATAAAGCTCCACAAGGTCTCCATTATCGGGAAACAATGGGCGATGTGGAGGAACTGTGTCTTTCTCGTGACAGCTGAGAGTTTGATAAACAATCAAGACTCGAATGCAGGAAAACATTCAGTATGTTTACGTGCAGAGTCGAGTTGAGCTACGGTGATACTGTAGCTCCATTAGGCCATTTAATTGGACTGCAGCTGTCGTATCAGAACAAATGCAACGGGTGAAAATCAATTTATTGATGCAAGTATGTCAGATTCTGCTGGTAGGTGGCGATATGCCGCCATTCAGCTAATTCCTACTGGACCTCCTCCCAGTTGACCCATTAACGTCACATATTAAACAACCCATGTAAATCAATGTTTTATTGTTGTTATTTTGTATTACTTCAGCTGACACAACATAAATTGTGTCCGTCCAAGATTGCCTGGTTCTCGCTCTAGCAATTGCCAAAATACCGTCTTCTTTTCTTCTATGCATGTGTACGCTGTTTGACTTCCGAGTCAACGCCTGGTGTGGAAACTGTGGCGCAAACATGAAACGCAGAGGCCAGTTTGGGGCCGGATGAAGCGTATATGCAAGAGTAAATGGATCGCCAACTGCGTTATAGGTGTGACCCAATTTCAGTCAACAATAAAGATGGCTGCCAACTTCAACCTTTAACTTGAGGGTGTTTCTCTCCATAACATGCTGACAGCTATAGGCTATTTAAACATCCTCCTATTTGATTATCCTGCAGCAGAACAATTACACTTAACATCCAGACAAGGCCGGCAAGGAGGCAGTTGGAGACTCCAATCTTGGACTTCATGAACAAACGAGTATTAACGCAATCAAGGTGAGTATTGATATCCTAACACTGGAGTATGTAGACATATGCGATCATCAGTTGTGGTCTTGTGGACGTAAAAACATACGAGTCAGCACTTTTAATGTCACAGTCACGATTTCATTTCAGGTCACGTTTGCTGTGGCACATTGCCAACATATCAAATAGTGCCACCTTACAAATGCACACAGAGAGCAATCTACTTACAGTGTAAACACAACCAAGTTCCACCCATGTTTGCCAAGGTATGCTGCCATACAGGAAGCGAAGCAGGAAACGGTCTGGATCAGCATTACACACAGAAATGTGATACATGATACACTTTGTACACATTGAATTATTAGAAGATTAAAGACTTTAAAGGAATGCACTCGTGTGTTAGTTTCCATACCATGAATCTTCAATATATTTGCAGATGACTTGCATTTTTGACATTTTCTGATATATTCTTCTTATATTTCCAGGTTAGCTAGGGTCTTCCATTTCTCTCCAGACAGCATGAACATGAGAACATTACTGCACTGTGTTACCTCAACACAAGAGTAAATGTTTGACAAAAAATAATTAATATAGGAGGCTCACTAGGAAAGATTACATCAAGATATGTATTTAATTCTCTGCTTACTGACTTTCACACCATGCTGAAATGAATGGAAACCATGAATGAATGGAAAATTGGTTTGCTTAAACACAATGCCAACTACACTCTGCTGAACTTATGAAGAAATGTACAGTCTTGAAACAACTCTACCTTCATGGTAAGTTGTTTTTGTTGCAACTGCTTTAAAGAGGATGTAGTTTATGCCACTGTTGAATGTTACTAGTCCACATGGAGAGTTCTGTTGTTCAGTCTGTCCGTGTTGATTTAAATGGAGGTGGACAAAAAGATATTGAACTACATCCTCCAAATTCTTCATGGAGATTATCAAACCCATGTAAAATACTCATACGCAAGAAATATTTCAAGCTAGTTTGACCTAAGACGGGGCCCGGGGCCACATGCTCCGACCTTAAATGTGGCCCTCAGGTTAATTTTTTACACATCAATTAATTGGAAACATGAAGAAAACATGATGAAATCTGCCATGAAATCATGAAAACCAGAAATATGTCCATAATAATATCTGATCACTGGTATATGTTGAGTTAAATTTGAGACATAATCGACTGTAATCGTTTAATTTGGCCCTCTGGCAGTGAGAATTAAATGAATGTGGCCCTTGTTGTGACCAAAGTTGCCACCTGAAGAACTGAAAACTCAGTGTCTGTGCACTACAAACACACAAGAGCTGAAGTGAATAAAAAAAACACTTCCTGAAAGAAGCTTAAGGCATGATGGAGAGCTCCGGGGGGGGGGGGTAAGCATGCAAAAATGAGGAGGCATTTTAGGACTAAACATGTTTCATTACCAGTTGGGTAATTGTAATAATGTAATAGTTCACTGCAGGCCTACACTTAATACAAAAACAACTTCCATTCATTGAAGATTAGTTTTAATGCTGCATAACCAGTTCAGTTCTGACTGTGTCATGTGACCTGAAAGGATTCTGCACTACTTCCAAAGGGCACCTCTGACATAAACTGCATAGTTACTGTTAACTGATAGGTCACACCCACCTGTGAATGTGCAACATTGTGAAAGTCAGTTTTGAACTTTCAATTCCATTTACAAACTCCAGTGACTGAACAGTTGACTCCTGCTGCGGTTTAAAAAAAACAACAATAATAAACCCGCCATAACGTAAGATTTGAAGTAAAACAGCAGAAGCTACATAAGGTGGGGGTGTGGGGTGTGGGGTGAGGGGGGCTGTGGAGAAATACGTCACCTTAACGGTTCTGATTTTGCTCATTTCTCCGGTTCAAGGAGCTCAAACACAGGGGAGTCACCCCCGTGTTACACAGCCGACCATGGGGAAGAAACCCCGCTCTGTGCAGGCAGACATGCGGAGACACATTCAGAGCTTTTACCTGCGCAACAGTAACCGCAGTCCACCCCACATTTCAAACCAGCTAGTCACATCTGAGCCCCAAGTTCAGTCAAGGGGCTGTCAACTTTACCTCCTGCACGGCGGTACAGGCTGCAGACGAGACGCGGCGAGGAGCGATTTCAAAAATTCTGTTTCTCCAGAGCTCCTTCATGAAACGTCCACAAACAACCTCCGGGAATGACGCAGAAAACCCGGAACAGTTTACAAAGCACACACAAGAGGTTCGTTTTGACTCACCAGCAACACCAGCATGAACATTGTCGCCTCTCTCATCCGACTCCCGTATCGGTTCCGAGAGGCCATGATGCCGTTGCCACGTCTGGATACGCAGGCGCAATCGGGTTTTTTCCACGGATTCTCGGGCACGGCGCAAGGCTCCTTGGGTAATGTAGTTTTTGAGGAATGTTCAGTGGGAGGCGTCGTACCTGCCCCCTCCGAACCTAGCTGTTTCTGTCATGTTGTTTGGATATCATTGAATGTAAGTAGCCTACTATTGTCAACATGAGCTTTTTTTATAATCAGCACAACGCAGCCAGTTGTACTGCAAGACAATTAATTAAACATGAGTCTAATTAGTAAATTGGCTTGTGAATGAATGGCTCTTAATTAGCTCTTTATCAATTCCACTTCCCTTCCTTCCAAGAATAAGGTTTGATTATAGCTGTATGATGTGCTCCACAGATTTAATACAGTACTTGGACTTAATCATTTAATTCTAATTTAGAGAACTAGGCTACATATTCAAAATAAAAAACAAACACAAAAATATAAACTAATCAGCATGTTAAAAAAAAAGAAAGAAAAAAGAAAACTTTATATTTACATTAGAAAAAGGCAGAGACAAAGCGTGGAATTCAAAACGTGGGCTTCATTCAGATTAACCTTGTTTTATCTATTAATGTTTTTTTTTTGTATAGTTTATAGACCCATATAGATTGATAGCCAATAAGCTTATGATTTAAACGTCCCTATAAATTCTACCACAGGGTATAGGTAGCCTACTAGACTAGAACATATCGTAGGACATAATATAACAGATTAAATGTAATAGTATAGAATACAACAGAAAACAATGACCTAATTTACCTTATCAAAAAGCAGAACAAGTTTCTGATTTGAGCTTGTTGTATAGGCCTTTTTTTTTTACAGTTTATTTGTCCACTTTCTGACACCCCAGCCTAAATAATGATGATCACTGATTGAGAATACAGCAGAGTAGGATCAAACTAGTCAATCAAAAATAATAAAGTAAACCCGTTAGTTTGTTTTTGCTGCATCAGAATGATAAAAACAGTAAATTAGCAGTTATTTGGTTTGTTTACGTGGATTGTTTGTTACCATTTGCTTAACTCATTTCTAATTCCTCCTTCCTCAGACCAGTCAGGGGGCAAATACTAGGCACGCCTGCACTGGGAAAAGCAGTATATTTTAATGGGGTTTGGCTTGTACCATTTTCCCTACACCTGTCTGACCAAATAGGCCTGTAGAACAGAAGCCAAAGGACTGAACTAGGTCTCATGGCAATATGTGGCCACACTTGTCTGAGTTCTTTTGTCTTCTATGATCAAAACAGCAGCGCATGAAAAACACTTCGCTTCCCAAAGGGGAATAAATTGCCAGGTAACCCGTGTGCACCCCGCACACACCGCAGCAGGTACCGTGGAGTCCCAGGCAACGACGCGCGGGACAAACCTTTCCCAGAAGCCTCTCTGTCTCTGAGCTGCACGCTGTGATTCACTCTCAAACACTGTCTGCTTTTCGCTCTGCTCGGAAACCGCGGTTGCGACACTCTTCCAGCTCTCTGGAGGGTTTCCATGCTTCTTTCCCACTGCGCTTGCAAATCGGCCCCATCTTTGCTTACCGATCACCCCCCCCCACCCCTTCTGTCCCCCCTCCTCCTCCTCAGCCCGGTGGTATCGTCCGACGCTCAAGGAGAGGGAGAGCGCAGTTGTTGGCTGCAGGTCGCTGGGAGAGGGACGCGCACAGTGGCTCAGGACACAACACTAGAACCCGTTTCTTTTCTGTATCTACTGTTAAAAGTGCGAGTGTGATTCTCTCCTCATCTCTGCCTGGTTTTATTGTCAACTTTCGGATTAAAACATCTTCGAAGGTAAGAAAAAAACCCACTTTTTTCCATCTTTTCTTGGGGAAAAAATACATGAAATTACGAAACAAAAGCACTTTTTGAGATGTGTTGTGCATCAGCTTCAAGCTTGAATCCGGCTTTGGATTTGTTGTTAAAGGCGAAATGGACGTGGGTCGAGTGTGATTAGGGTGCTGTATTTTTAAACCGGAGGCAAACAACACTATAGCCTCCTTTAACTTGATAAATTAACGAAAATCACCCTCCATCACTAATGGATTGGCTGCTCGTGCTTTCTTCAGCCACGCTGAGCTGTGGGTTCCGTTTTTCCGTGGACCATTCTTCCATCAGGCTGGGTTTTGTGCAATGTGTCTTCTTTATTTTATTGTAACACTTCCCTGCGCTTTTGCCCACTTTTGTCTGCCTCAGGCGAGGCGATTTTCCCGTTGATAGCATGTGTTATTCAGAGCAGTTTGCAGCTCCTTTATGCCATGCCAGTTTTACTTTCCACTCACGTTTCATCCCAGGATCAGAGGACCATTTGTGGGCTGCAGGAGCTGCCTGTGCCTGCCACATTAGCGCTGTCTCAAACTTACTTTGTTCTGCACGCTGCTCTGTGGTGCATATCCAGGCGAGATGTCAACTTTAAAAAAAAATCCTCAGAGAAACTTCTTTATCACTGAGATCAATTAATGTTAGTTGATTCCCTCAGTGCTGTGCGTTTATGTTGTATTTTTCTTTCTTCAAATTGTCTCAACTCAGACGTCGCTGACTAGTTTATACCACAAATAGCTCGTGCAAGATTAAACATCTAAATGCACCCTTCCCAACTTTGCTTTTAAAAAACAAAACAAAAAAAACCGACTTAATGCTGCTAACGATGACCTCATTGCTGATCAATTCCAATTAACAAATTGGCTTTTACGCGCGGAATATGCAGCCTTTACGCACACACCGAGTGCAAGTGTCCTACATCCTTTTATTCTCTCCAAATCCTTCAAATGTTCGTGGGACTAATTCCGCACGAGAACGCTGAAACCAGCTCAGAAAGTCATTATTCAAGAGCTTGTCACTCGGATGAAATGCTTCTCAATTTCTCCGCGATACATGCAAGACAGACAACCCAGTTCTGTGTTATTTTGAATTGTAAAGAAGGATAAGAGTCTAGCAGAGAACTTCTCAGAGTTGGAGTGTTGGATAAAGAAATGTAGTTTCCAAGGTGGAAAATAGGACATTTTCCTCTCGCATGCTTTTTTAAGTTGATTGTTCTTAAAAATGCATTGTTGTATCAGGAGAAAGGGTTGTGTTGTTGTACAACAACAGAGGGCAGTGTTGAGCAGTTTTGTGCAGCTGTGTGAACACCTCACCAGGTGATGTTTGCTGCACCAGGAGCTGGACTGTCTTTGTGCTGTGTCCTCCACAAGTGAACTCGGAGAGATATTCTGCAGACCAGCTTGTGCTGCACTTATGAAAGCTTGGACAAATGGAAACAAGCAGGGACCAATGTGCTTGTTGCTGGTGTGATTTGCTCAGTTGATAAAATGTCAAGCACTTCTGAACAAGCTTTTATCTGCGAGTGGTTTAACAAGAACAGCTTCCACAGACGTTTATTCCATAACTGGTGTTTAAAAAAGCTAAAGGTTTAAAATATCTCTTTCACTCGACTTAATTAATCAAACAACTTATTCACTTGAAAGCTATTTTTCACCACCGCGGGGGCTTTTAGAAGCTGTTTTAGAGCTGCACTCTTTTCTCATCTGTAGCTTTTTATTGAGCCTCAGAGGTTCAACAGCATCAATGAAGGGCTCTGTATTATTCATTAACACTCAAACGGCTCTCAAATGCAGCCGAGCATGGCTGCTGTGGGAGACGTGTCGGATGACAACAAGTTTGAGTTGGAGCTGAGCTCTTTTGTTCTGTTCAAAATATGCAACAACAAAAAAAAACCCAGAAACTATTTACATGGCTGTCCCTGAATCATTTCATAACTATAATTATTGATGGTAATATGAGTAGTCTGCAGTTTTAGCCCTCTCTGTAGACTCATTATTGCTCACCATCCTGATTAATGCAGCCCAGTTTAATATCCAAACAACTTCATTCTCCCATCTGGAATTCAAAACAGCATTTGGCACAACTCCTGTATTTATTTAGTTCATTAATCAACACGTGTGAAAGTCCCATACCCCTCACTCCCCTGCGTTTTGATTGATATTCATATATTCATACAGGTTTTTGTCAGGCCCACATGCTTGTCTTATGGATGATTAAGGCTTTTGTAATATGAAGAGCTGTTTTAGTGTCCTGGGTCGCTCTTTTCAAATGGAAAACAGGTTTTCATCTTTGATGAACTTATGAGGGCTCTTGACAGGTCCTGGTGAGGAGGGTGGGCAGGGACCAGAGCAGCAGAGATCTGAAACAAAACATTAACTAGATGGAGGACCCCAAAACTCCTTTAAGACCACCTCTATGTTCACTTTTCATTCATCCGTCTTTCCTTTATGTCCTTGTAGTTACAGTTTTTCGGTTGTTATGCAGAGTACTGTATCTCTGTGGTGTCTGATGTCTACATAAATATTTCATTTTCACGAAGAAATGTGGTAGGTGTGTGTGGAGTGGATGAGCTAGCCATGTCTTCATCAAATTTTTAATGACACATATTTAAAATATGTGCTGTGTGGATTATTCATGTCGTCGGGCATCATGTGAGCAGAGACAAACAGATATGAAAGTTTAATGTGTCGAGAATTTGATCCGTCCTCTCCTCCATTAGATATGACTTCTCTAAGAAAAATAAAAGCAATATACCATTTTCAATGCAGTCTGAGCGTAACACTTGTGAGAGTGTTGATGTTTGTGTGACTAAAGAGATAAACTGATAGGTCAAACTGGTCAGAGAAACACACATCATACAGCTACACTTACACATATTTCAAGGCGTATGAACATAGAAAATGCATCTTAAGGAAAAGCAAAGTGTTCTCCAAGAGTTGACGTTTTTTTTTTTTTCATTGCAAAGTGCAGTTTTTTTTCTTGATAAAGGAAGGTAAAAGTGACAGCTCCAGCTGCATGATGTTTCTGCTTTTAGTCTGTCGTTCAGCTGTTTGGCTTTTCATGCACGTCAAACAAGCACTCTGAGATGTTTGCAGACACGTACATGAACCCTTATATCAGTTTATATATGCACTGTAACACGTCTTGCTCTTTCTTGAAAGCAGCCTTGACAAATATGCATTTCCTTGCTTTAAAAGCCCAGGAAGTATGCTCTGAGAAGTGCTGCGAGGCAGTGAGTGGCAATAGCTGAGACATGCTCTGCCGACCGTTGATCTTGATTTGCTCTCTTTTCCACACTCCCCGAGCCTGGCACGCCAAAGCGAAGCGGAGGGAGATTGTGGACTTTTAAAGTGGCCTTCTTGAGCAAGGATTCACATGGTAATTAGGTCAGGACACAGTGAGGAAAAAACAAAGCTGTGGGCATGCGGAGAGAGCAGAAAACATACAGCGTTTTCTGTGAAGAAGTTTCAAGGAGAGTTGAAGAGACACACATGAGAGATGCTTCCTCAATGTGGCTCTATGAGCTCTGAACACAGCAGCGGCATTGTAGTGTCTGTTGCTCTATGTTGGGTAAATATAATGCCAGATTTGAAATCACAGCTTGTGTTTGCAGATATGGTCTAAATCTTCACTGTCACACAGTGTTGACAAAAATGATATTTACCAGTCACACACATTATTGGAAGCAGCATTCCTTGTGTTACTTGAAATGAAATAAGAGTTGTTCTGATACAGGATTGCCTCCTGTGATTGAAAACTGGAGCTGTGATGAAACATTTTCTGGAGATCTAGTTGTCTTAGGCAGAGGTATTACTCTCATACTGAAAGAATAAAGATTAACAATGCAGATGTATTCAAGGTAATGCTACCCGACGTTTTCACATTTTGAAGGCATGTTTGACTCTGCAATATTAATAGAGATATCATGCTTGTCTGAATCAGGCTAGAGTAGTGTGAAGCCATGTAGTACGGTTCCTAATAAGAGGAATGTAGGTTGAGATTTCGTAAATCTACGACCTTGAGTCCTTTAGAGACAAAGCCAGTCCACCTTTATCAGGTCCGCTGTTGAATCTTTACAGTCATCTGCAGGAGACGGAGAGTTAGATAAGGCACTGAGACGCACAAGGTGTTCACTTTGGCTTTAAGGTTTGTAACTGGCCTGAACATAAAAACATAAAGTAGCCCAGAAAAGATTGATTGAAGAATATTCTACTTCTGATATCGCCTAAAATGCAGCATGTATTGGCAGTCATTGCAAATATCTTACACCAAAATGAATGAGTCCTCTTAAAGATATACTTGTTCTCATCTTCCTAGAAAGAAGCATGCAACGCAAAAACACAAGTTATGGCTGCTTTTAGCAACGGCTATTGTAACGCAGCAAAGAAGAACTGATTTCAATTATTGTGCGATGACTCCCAACATGGCGGTGCAAAAAATATCAGCAATCAGCTGTTCAACCAATACTATGTAAAGTGCCTTCCATATGGATTGACATTCTTTGGACTTTTCCAGGTTTTACAGTGTTACTTCGTCATATTCAAATAGATTTATTTGGGCTTTACACTATTTGATTAAGAAACAAGGGCAGTCCAAAAAAAGCAGCCATCTGCTGGATGAACAAGTTGACCTGAAATCAGTTGATTGCATTTGATCTCGGTCATGGGGTTTCACAGCTTAGCCCTCAAAGCTTTTCATTTTTTTATTTGTGAAAATTTAAAATACCATGTTCTACTCCCTCACACTGAAAATGTATACAAGCGGGGTTATTACAACTGAAGCACTCAATGTAAATCATTATCAACCAATACTCAAGTCTAGCTAACAGATGGAATCAGCAACAGGCTTGACGGATAAACTTTGCTTTTCTGCCACAGAGCACCCTAACGAGAGTCAGCCTCAGACTTGGGCTCACTCTTTTGTTTTCTGACAGGGTGTGTTAGAGGGAGAATGTGCTTGTGATAACCAGACAG